CGCGCACACACACACACACACACACACACACACACACCGTTCACAGGGGCATTTAAGGCTGAGATGAAAGAGCAGTGAATGGAGTGACTGGCAGCTGTATTCAGCCTGGGCAGTGGCTGGCAGCAAACCAGGACACACTGCAAGTGGGCATTGTTGTTCTCCCTGTGAAAGGCTCTTTAGACGAGATGAGCGGTGACACTAAGAGGTGCGGAGGAAAGGTTTTTATGATTCAGTGGTTGAGCTCGGCTCTTTGTGAGGGTGTGTGTGTGTGTGTGTGTGTCTTTATCTGCGCGGTAACATTGATTTAAATGTTGTTTTTGAAGGGGGCCTTGCTGAGGCTGGGAAAGGCTTTTGGGAAAATCCAGAAACCTGGACAAGAGTGTGAACATTTTAAACACCGCTGTCAGCTGCAAAAGCACATCAAGAGAGTTAAAACAGGATGTATGTGTCTTAGCATTGACTACATTGTAAATATTTAACCCATAAATCATGAATAGAGAGGAAACAGATCACTAGTGAATGTACTGATTATTTTCATTCTTCATTTATCTGAAGCTTGATCGTCTTTTTGTACTCGAAATAGTGAAATTTGTCCGTCACAGTTGCCCGTTATAACAACTACAGATGTCTTCTTTTGTCAACAACACAGAAAAGTCATCAAATTCTCACATTTAATCACATTTGAGAAGCTGTAACATTTAACATTTGTGCTTCAAAAGTGGCTGTTGTTGGTGAATTTTCTTTTGATCGACTAATCGATTAACTGTCCGATAATCTCAAGAAGCAAACAGCTGATGTTTCCTGTTTTTATAGCAGCTTTCATAGCTTGTATAGAGACGCGGCAGATTTTATATTTAGGAGGGTACATGCTGTGCTGTATTGAAAACATGGGATAAATCTGTTTTTTGACGGAGAGCGGAGACAAGATGATTACCTTTTTATAAAGTGCCACATTTATCCAGTGGTGTCTGAAAAGTCTCTTCAATTGTGTGACTGCTGTTTATTCTCAGATGATAGGAAAAGGTACTGAGTGTTGTTCCTCTGAGCCCTCATCATGGGCAGAGTTAGCTCTGTGTACTGTTTGGGAACATGAAGGGACTTAAACCTGAACAGTCTCTACAATATGGTGTCACTGTCACAGAGCACAGTTTGGTCGAGCGTCCACACTTTCTCGTCCCCCTGTCGTTTTGTTTGGACTAAATCTACGGGAGATCTTCAGGAAATGGCCAAAGTGCTCTGAACAGTGTCCATCCTGTTCTGTTATTATCCAGAGTGCATTAGGTAACAAGATGTACCATCATTTGCCTCCCACTGCTCTTCTTTTAGGGGAGTGAGTCAGAAAGTCAGAGAGGTAAACATGGAACTGTGCTGCTGAACATCCACAGACCAAAATGGACCAAAGTGTTTCAGAGCATTAGAGCAAATTGCAGCTCTCCTGTAAAGGCTGTGGTTACGAACAGGCGATAATGTGGTATGAGTGATTATTGTCTCTCAGCAGAAGCATATCATGATGGTATTACAGCATAGTGTGAGAAATTTGCCATACAAATTATTATTTAAACGCAAGACCAGTTACTTAGTCTACTTCTTGTTTAGCCCATAGGAAGCATTTGGGGTTCACATTGTCATCACATTGATTCCTTTTTTATTAGATTTACTACACTTTTGCCATTTAGTGATATACAGACAAGTGAGTCAGTGCACCTTTGCGTTGATTCTCCTCGTGTCTGGAACCAAACTGAAGAAATTATTCCTTCATTTGGTGTTTTGATGATAGTTATAGGCAGCGCTGTCAAACATCAAAGTCTCCCATAGGTGTTCAAGTAGGTTGAGACATGGAGACTACGAAGGCCATAGCACATGATTCACATTAAATATGTGCTATTGTGCACAATTTCCAACCCTCTTTACTGATGTTTTTCCATAGCTCTAAATGCAGATGTCACTTTAGCCGCCATTCTTATTGAAACTCTAGCCGGTTGAGCTGTCCATGTAACTGAAGCTCCTGCCATCCGCGCCCCAACAATGAGTGCTTGTTCAACGTCACTGCATCAATGTGGGAAGTAAAATCACTTAAGACGGTTTCTTCTGGTGTTAAGTTGAGCTTGAGAGCTACATTTGTAGATCTTTGGGTATCTGGGTAAGTCGAAACGAAAAAATGAAGCACCTGATGTTACTTCTCCTTGTATATAGGTTGACTGAAAGAGTGCATGTGTGAGTGTTTACAGCAGGAAATGGATCACGTTGGAAAGGAAACGTGTTTATAGTCATTTCGAGTGGAAAGCTGGCAGCTGTCGAGAGGGTGACAGAGTGGAGACATGCAATCTCGCTTAAAAATGGGGATGACGACGAGCGTTTTAGAGTGTCTCCAGAGATAGGACTCTGATGGTGGTGCATTGTGTTGCACACGTGAAAACTGCCACAAATAGTTGAGTAACAAATGAAAAAAGAGAGTTGGAAACGCCTCGCTGCTTTCTCCTCCTAACAACTGGGCAATCATAGTATAAAGTGGTTGAAAGAGGGTTCTGTCCATTGAACATGCAGTTTGGACAGAAGCTGAATCCTGCTTAACGTTGTCTGCATGTGAATGTATCACTGTGAGCTTCATTACTCAGTATTTTCTGCTGGGATGCTACGATCAACTACCAAAGAAATGTGCTAAAGAGTCTGCAAAGCTCCACTGAGCTCACAAGATCTACAAAGTTGGACAACAAATTTAGACATTTCACATTACGTATAGTAATTTTAACCATTTTCAAAATAAAAAATATTCATTTGTGCAGTTTTAAAACTATTGTGATAATAGTTTCATCCCATCATTGAAAAAATATCTCATAGAAGTTCATTAATGGCTCCATCTGACCAATCAACCAGTCCAGGAAATACACCTCTCCAACCATTGGTCCTAATGATCCATTCACTGAGTCACAGCATCAGGGTCCTCTGTGTTAATCTCAACTAGCTTCTATTAATAGCCTGAGCAGTATCAGTATCTGGTCCATTGTTCCCCCACCGCAAAACACGGATCTAGTCTTTCCTCGAGCCCCGTGCCGGGTCTTTGTGTGGCTGTTTGTCTGCCACACAGTCGAGAAGAGATGATATCAGGTTACTGGTTCAATCAGTTGTCGGACTGTGGATGGAGGTGTTGTGTGTGCTCACATTAGCATTTCAACACGAGCCTTTCACTGCCCCCCCCAAACACACAGAAGTCCTCCGGAGACATAAAGATGGATAGATCAGTGGAAAAAAAAAAAGAACGGGGCCCCACACACAAACACAGCGACACAAACAGACAGAGAAATCCAGTGTTTTGCTTGTCGCTTCGTTGGCTAAGTTGTTGAACTGGTAACACTGCGGGATGGCTTGTCTGGTTTGTGTGAGGATGAGAGGCAGAAACGGAGGAGAGCTGAATACCAGAACTTCACAGCTCTGCTTGTTAGCGGAGTTTAATTTGATTTGACAAATCTGTCTCATTCTGTTTGCCTCCTTTAGGCTTGTCTCTTTCCAACGTAGTTCTCCTTCAGCTCAGCTGTAAATTGATACAGATGAGCAAGATGGAGATCAAACGCCTCAACACCAAGTTTACAGTCATCATATTATTGTCACCAAGGTCAAGTGTTGAGCCATTATTTGCTACTAAGAGATGTGTTTGTTTGGTGTTTATATGACTAAAAAGTGCTGCGTTGGTGGAGGCGTAGGAACCAGTAAATCATTGAAATACAGTTCAGGGAAACATTATAATATCATGAGACACCCCTGGAGAAATGGAGTCATTTTTCTTTGTGTTACTATTTGCAGAATGAACAGCAGAAATATGCTGATCGTGTTAGAAACTAGTCTGACGTGGCTGGATTTTTTCTTATTAAGGTAACAGAGCTGTTATCTGAACACACATTATCGGCTTCAGATTTCAGCCTCACATGCAACCTTCTCTTCCTGTTCTGTAGCAAACACTGACCTCTAACTTGTTAACAAAATCGCACTTCATGAAGAAACTCAGTTGCCATCCTTTGATTTCCTTTTGCATTCTCGTGACATGAGGAAAGCGTACCACCTTTTAAGCATTCATTCATTGAACGGCTCTGAACTGCCCTTTCGGTTTAAATGTCACCCTGCTGCCACCAGCACCCGCGATCTGGACAAAATCTCACCCCGCTAGTTGAAAGCGCGATTCCGTTATCTCCGTGGATTCTTCCCCTTCGGGGCACTCGATCTCTGCTACATCATTATCTGACAGCTATATTTGGATGTTTCTCCGTCTATTTCCAGCTCGCTCCCTGAGTGGCCACGTGAGTCATGTTGAGTTCTGCATCTCCGGCTTAAACAAAAAAGAAAAAAGAAAGGTTGAAATCTTGTCAGTGCTGCTGCAGGTAAATATAGACACAGTGATTAAAAGATGTCTTAACTGTGTTGGAGGCTGGTTAGATAACTAAGCTACAGGGCAGTTTGGATTTGCTTTTCAGGAATTCATTGTAAGTGTTAGATGGTGAAACTGGTCTTTAAAACTGCAGCACATGTGTGGTCAAGTATGTAGGGACTTCCGCTCTTAGATTTCTAAACAGCTGTCAGTCTGAAGAATTGCACATTTAGAAAAAAAAGGTCCCCCACTTAGTTCAGGTAGAAAATATGCCAAAAGTACAGAGCACGCTTAATGAAAAGTGACAGGAGTCATGTGTTGTGACACCTGCCTGAGGGGTAACAGTATGTTTGTAGCTGAGTGGTGACAAATAAGCCCGAGGAGCCGAGACACGTTAGCGCAAGCTCTGAATGCTGCTCGTCCACTTCGCACATCACCAACAGTGTCGACATTGTGCCGGGTTGCTCACTGCACTCCGGTTAACCCTCCTGTTGACGTGGTTCTGGCGTTAATTGAGTTCACAAGATGCTTTTGTTGGGGCTGTTACGTACGACCGACCGTCATCCTGAATCATCCTCTTCTTGTCCGAATGTTGCCACTGGCTTTGTATTGAATGGATCTGTCTCGTCTGTCTTTTCTCCAGGAGTGTCGTCCCGCGTCCCGGAGATCATGGCGGCCGGCACCCACTCCCCCGGTGGGCCCAATGGCATAATCCGGAGTCAGTCCTTCGCAGGCTTCAGCACGCTACAAGAACGACGCTCACGGTAAGCGAAGGGCCTCACCGGTCCTGAACTGTTAATCAATGATGAAGTTACTTATTTCTGAAATAACAATTGGGTGCAAGGGGTGAATTAAAGTATCTAAAACACTCCCTCTGATTGATTTTTCCACAGCAACATTTATGTTTTATCTTTTTGGCATGCCTGCGTGTTATTGATCGTTGCCGCTTTGCTAGTATGTCAGCTTTTAATATTTGGCAATAGATTAGAAGTGCAAGGCAAATTACATTACAACATTTTTGCTGCATGATCCAAAATGAATACTTGTACTGCTCTCATTGACTGATCTACAAGAGAAGCCCGTCTGATAGAACTTAATCTACTCTGATTTAAGTGTTCTTGGAGTTCTTTAACTTTATTTAATAGATACAGAGTTTGTTGACATGCAGGCTCCACATGTGCACAGCGAAATGAGCAAGGAACAGGAGAGAAAAGAAAGATGTGATTACAAAAAACCACATTTCTTTCACAAGACAGATGTTGCCGGCACATCAGGCGACATGACTAGTTTGTTTGACCATTTAAATCATCACTACAGAGTTCTGTGTGACAGGTGCAAAGCCAGATCAGAATGTCATCCAAAGCAAAAAAAAAAAAAAAAAAGATTCTGGAAAAAAAAAAAAAAAAAAAGATTCTGGATCATTTTGAGAGGGTTAACCCATATGAGAAAGGTTATAATCAGCTTCATTCAGCTTTTTGAAATGACCTATTAATATTGATGCAGCTGCACTCGCCTACACATCCTAATAATTTGTTTTTCAAATGGTTATCCAAGATGTATCTCAAAATGATTTGCAGAAAAACAAAACGTTGTGATGCCAGTTTTTTCCAATATGTTGCAGCCCTAGTAGATTGATAAACACACGATATCAGCTAATGACCACATGAGTGGTGTTTCTTTTAGCTGAAATTGACGAGCAGAAATAAAATACCAAATTTTGTGTCCACATATACCGTCTTATGTGATACGTTTGATACATACTGTGGTCACAACTCTTTGAAGAAATAACTTTGTGATTTAAAAACTATTTTTTCATAGAAGTCAGCCAACAGTCTCAACATCGGTGTAGATATAAGAAAGTTAGTTGTTGTACGTTGTTGCAAAAATAGCAGCAAATTCTGCATTTGTATGTGTTGAACTAACTCCTCATCAGCGGATTGAAATTTGACTTTGCTAAAAATAGTTTTCAGTCGTCAAGTAGCAACAACCGCCATTCACACTATCTGGTGATTTGACCGTGATTTTGTATGACAGAGATGAATGAGAAAAAAAAATCACACGCGTCGAAGCTCTGAGTCAGTTTAAAATGTTGAGGGGAAAGCAGCTATATTTAGTCTTTTGAAATGAAAATGTTTCTATGTTTGTGCCCTACATATAAGTACAGCTTTTCCTCACACCCAACTGTCAATCTGAAGTAAATCCTGCAAAGCCTTCGCATGCTGGTGACTTTGCGTTTTTAGCTGTGCGCTGATTTAACAGAAATGACCCATTAAGAAATCTCATCCGTTACAGCAAACCGGGCTTATATTCAAATTTCACTCACGCAGATGGAATGTACTGACTCAATAATCTGGAGTTCACGGTGATCAACAAGCCACAGCAGGTTTTAAGAACCTGTAAAGAATCCTTAAGAGCTGATCATCGCTCCGCCGCCACGTACGCTCGCAGCCGGCTCAGATTTCGGATTGTTTTCATTCATAGCCAGAAGTTTGCGGCGAGAAGTTGGAGATCAATAGAGCTCTCGAGAGATGAGCGTTTTATCTGTTGTTCTGCCTCGTTGACTCATCTGCGACGGTCCTCGCTCCATCGCCACAAGACAAAACGTGCCCACATTCTCATCCCAGTTATATCTCTTAAAATCTTTCGGTTTTCTGGTCGTCTTCAGCGGTTCTGAACCCATCTGAAGACGCTGTTCCCCCTCTTTTCTCCGCGCTCAGACAGCGAATGGGATAATTGGCTGGAATGACTGGGGCTGTGTGGGCGACTGACAGCGACAGACAAGTTACCATTCTGATAATGAGCGAGGTGGAAAGCTGCAGAGATACGGCTTCTGAAGCCACTGGAGTGTGTCACTGTCTGAGTATGCTGTATCTGTTAGCGTTATTGAGCAGTGGACGCTCCGTGTGTGTGCCCATGTGTGTGTTTCATGTGCATTCACGCTTGCCTGCATGCTGCAAACTGAGGTGCAAATTCACAATTATAAGCCTGTATGGAATTGTATGTATGCGTATTTCTGTCCCAGCAGAGAGACCCTCTACAACACCACAGCTTGCGTGACCCCAAGGCTACGCGGCGCTCTCATTCAGTGTTGCCCTACATTTGTGGCAGCTCAGCTTAACTTGTGCTGCTGCTGCTGCTGCTGCTGGCGTGCAGCAAGACGTGGCACGTTCCAACTTGTCGAGCGTTGGAATTGGTTGTCGCGATGTCCCTGAAATGACTCCGGGATCATTTCATTAAGACGAGGGAAATGTCATTTGTCAGCTAAATCTGTAATGGTTTTAAAAGCTGAAATGTGCATGAGCGGCTCAGAGGAGTGTGACCTAAAACGGATTAATACGAGGAGAGAAAGGCGTGCGAGGTGGCTGTAGTGATTAGAAAAAAATGTGTTTTGCTCTATTTAACTACAGAAATGAGGCTCAGAGAAAAGATTTGGTGAGTTACAGGAAATTATTTGATAATTTATGGGTTGTTTCATAATTCATCGAGAAACAAATGCCAAAAAGATTCTTATATAAGAGTTGTCATTTGCTCTTTTTTATGTAAATGTTATTTTAAGACTTTGAAAATGTAAACTTTGGCTGTTAGGAAATGTACTGCAGAGTTTGGACTCTTTTTTTCTGTTATTTATGATGAATTACGATGATCTAAAAATGTATTTCAAAAGAAAATAATCATCACTGGAGCCTTACTTAGAACAGTTTGTGGGTAAGTGAAGGCGTCCTACTTTATGTGTTTGCACATATGTACACATCGAAGGCTTTTATCACAGTTTTATAAATGAAAAACTAAACCGAAAATGATTGACCATAAAGATAAGTGAGTTGCAGCCCCACACTACAACTATGAATCCAGTTAAAGGAGCTCGTGTCACTGGGTGAGTGTGAGAGATTTGTTGACTTCTCCTCTTTGAGTCAATCACACAGTTGTTGGTCGATTGCTGGAGGACTGCAGAGCGAACACACTGAAGAGCACTAGAATGTCATTGATTGCTGCGAGCGTGATTGTCTCAGTCCGTGTATTTGTAAGTTCTCCCCAGCTGAAGACGAACGACAAGTCGAACGCAGAAAGTGGGAGAAGCACATGTTTGCAAATATGTGTGCATTCGTGGTATTTAGCACATCCCTGTGATTGATGAAGAGGTTCAGCGCTCAGGTTACGCTGGGAGTTTGTGCGATCGGCTGGGTTATTGATTGCGTGTGGTGCTAGTTTGACGAGTTTTTTTGGACCATGTCTGAATGATATGTAGGTTAGAAGTGTCAGTCCTGTGTGACTGAGTCATCGTGGTGCGAGAAGACTCGACGAGGCCACGCCATCTGACAGACGAGATGAATTCATGCTGAGAGTGGCCGAAGGGCACGTTCAGGATGCTGTAAACTAATGCAGAACTCTCACGATGCTAGTTCAGGCGGTGGAGTGTGGCTATCTGAAATACTGAGCTGTTGTGCAAGTAACTGAACTTTCTTCTTCTTTTACTCCAAGCTGCACGAGGAGGTCAAAATCCTTGACAATGCTGTGAGGCACAAAGTTCTGTCCATTGCACTTATTAAGATGTGTGTTTCTGTGTGTCTGCAGGTGTAACTCCTTCATGGGGAACACTGCGGTGCAGAAGAAGCCTCAGTCCAAGCCCAAGAAGCCCCACCTGTCAGGCCACAAGGGAGGCAGCAGCTCCAGAGAGCCTCAGCCCAAAAGACTGGAGGAGGTTTACACGGCTCTCAAACAAGGCCTGGAGTGAGTAACTCCTGCACCGAAGCACACTTTATGATGTGTACTATCACTCACATTCTGTCAGGAAGTTGTTAATAGAAAGCAGTTTCTCCTTCAAAAATATGAAGTCGCAGAGTAATCATTTCTCTTAATATTACTCATCTGTGGGTTTCACTCAATAGATGTTAACCCCTTTAGTTCGAGGCATTTTTTAAAAAAACTTTCCACCTGAAAAAGCATCATAAAAGTGAACAACCTTGGCCACTACTTATACCACACACTTAGGAGATTTTTTTAAATATGGTAAGTCTCCTTCTCATTCCGTCCACATTCCTAAAATTAAAGAGTAAATAGCCTCATAAAGACGAGTCACACTGGTGTTATTGAACCCGGTTCAAACAATTCTCAACTACAACTCTGCTAAACATGATGCAACAGAAAGAAAACACAGCAAACCAACATCTATAAAGGCTGTAGTGGTCCCAGCCAGACGACCTCTTCAGTGAATGTCTGTCTCTTATGATAACACTGCTTGGTCCTGCTACACAGATCTTCAGGGTGGAAGGAGTTAATAATGCGATGCCTTAAATCTGTTGACATCTCCTCTGCAGCATATTTACATTACTCCATAAATGCTTATGTCCAAGTGTTTATATTGCAGTCATTAATCTGTGTGATGAGTTTGCATAGCTGGATGACTTTACTGTTTCTGCAGCACAGTTTTAACACGATGATAATTCAATGCAGGATTTGTATTAAAGTGTTTTTCTTTTTCGCCCTGTAGTGAGTATCTGGAAGTTCATCAGACAGAGCTGGACAAACTCATGTCTCTGATGAAGGACATGAAGAGGAACTCTCGCCTGGTGAGAAATGACTGAATATCAACTTGCATTGCTGAGCTCGTATCTCTTCTTCATGAAGGTTCTCGTGTTTGCAATTAAATACAAGTATTTACAACTTTAGACCGATGCATGATTGCATTACTGGATGCTATTTAACCCTCTAAACTCCAAGCAGTTTTCAGCTCTTGTCCCATTTTTACTCACCGTGTGCTCATGACTCACTGCAATGTAAAGTCCTGCACCTCTATGGAAACATGATTGCTTTCTTGGTTTTCACTCAAAAACTCTTCTTCTTCTGTGCAGTGTAACAAAATCAGAATGCCATAAACAATTTACAAGAAACTGGAGTACACGTGCTCAACATTTTTCCACGTGCACATTGGTGATACTAACACTATGAAAAAAAATGTGACTCTACATGCTACAGATACCTACTTACTCTACTTGTCTCCTGTCTGCGCTGTGTAAGCACAGCCTGCAGTTCATCCCAGTTCAGCTGAATGTTTGTTACGTGACTGGTGACTGCAGTGGGGTCACTGATGGCATCACGTTTTCCCCCCCTTTTTTTTTTTTTTTTTTAATAGAATCTGATTATAGCGAACGTTATTTGGGACACATTTTGAAAGGAGATAAGTAGAATAAAGGAATTTTGATGAAATATAACTGTAACTGCACACCACAGATGATTAGTTCAAGGGTTGTCAGAAAGTTGAAAACCAAACGATTTGGATAAATGGTGTCATTCCAGTAATTCTTTTGCAGAGATAACATGCCTTTCAGACTCTCCTGTAGGTTCAGAGGGTTAAACATCATAAAGTTATACTGCAGTTCGATATAATAGGAACGTGACAAAACCTCTGCCCCAGAGATATTGAGTGTTCTCCTTTGTTTTGCTTGGATGTGTCTCAAAGAGCCCAAAGAGAACAAGTGCAAACAATAACTAACTAATGCTGAAATATTAAAATCGATAAAATGTGCCTCGAAAATATCTGTATACGGATGCAGCAGTTTTCAGCAGTGCCAAAGTTCTGATGTTATTATCATTAAAATTATGAAATGTTATTAAGTCAGACATGGAAAATACTTTCTCTGTTACAAATCACATAGTCGTGTACATGTAATGTAATTTGTTAATCTGTTCTTTTTTGTGATGCCAGATAACTTTAATCTACTTTGTATTACATAAGCGGCCTCAGCTGTGCCTTTAGTAATTGTGTGTGTGTGTGTGTGTGTGTGTGTGTGTGTGTGTGTGTGTGTGTGTTTTCTCTCCAGGGAGTGCTGTATGATCTTGACAAGGTAAGTTGATGGAAGGGAGGGTCTACTGTAACAAGCACTCCAAGTTTGGTGTGTGTGTCAAGTGAATCTTTGATGTCGGAAAGAGTTGAAGAAGGGGGGGAGAAAATGGTTAAAGGCAGAAGAAAAGAGGGAGGGAGGATAAAGTGGAGCAGTAAGAGGAATAAAAGATGAAAGTAAGAAAAAATAATTGGTGGGACAGGAGGACAGACGGCCTAACAGCCAGCTATCTGAGAGAGAGTAAAGTGCTGTATGCTATATAGTATTTATACATATATGCTGCATTGTATTTGTGTGTATGTTTATATATATTAAGCAGTAGAACCTGACTGATATTGGCTTTTTGGTGCCATTGCTGATTGTAGGGAGTAAAAAAGTCTGATAACTATATGTAGGCCAATGCTCTTTGTATATTAAAGCTACAACTAACTAACAATGTCCTCGGTCGAATAATCTGTTAATTGTGTCCTCCTTTAACAATTAGTTGTTCAAAAATGTTTGCTCAAAAAATACTCCGATTTATCAATATCAAGATAGTCACTGATGAATTTAATAACTGATTAATCAGCAGTACATGACAGTTCTATGGTAGAGTTATACTAAAAAAGGAAAGTGGGGTCATTGTTTACTAACTATACAGCACCGTATTTCACAAACTAGTTAGCAGTTTACCTTGAAGACACCACTTGACTCCGCACCACCTTGTGCTCTGCTACATGTGCTGCAGCCACAGCTAAGAGGATTGTAAACAAAGGAGTCAGAGCTGCGCTAGTGGACAAACTATATGATAAAATTGTTTCCAAATTAACTCAGGCATATTTTTCTGCATCACACTCTCAAAAAGAAAGTTTTCATATTGGTTCACACATGTACACCGATACCAGTACATCTGTAATAGGCCAATATTGGTCAGTGATATCGGCTAGCTGATAGATGAGTCGCACTCTAATAAGGAGGATATTTACATCAAACCTATGGGGAGTATTTTCTAGACGTTTTGTGCGTCTGTGACATACAGATCATTATTTTTACATCAGTAAACCATATGTAGCTGTATTCTCTTGAGCGCCAGTAAATCCCTGTGCTGTCTGTCTTCCTGCAGCAAATCAAAACCATCGAGAGATACATGAGACGCCTGGAGTTTCACATTAGCAAGGTAAGCACCGATGTGTGTTCTGATTACTTTTCGAGGATTGTTATTCTTTTCTCTGTGTCAGATGAAGAGTCTTCGCTCTGATCTTTTTCCTGCATGTCTGCCTTGAAAAGCTTCCATTAAGAGCTGCTGAAGATGTCAGGTCTCAATACCTTTTTCACATTAAGCCTCTCCACATCTCGCCTCATCCACATAGTCACTCAGGAATCACTGTCCTGGTACACATTTCTACCTCTTGGTTTATATGTAGCTGAAGCCAGCAGCATGTGAGCTTTGCTTGAACATGGAGGAAACAGCTAGTCTGGCATCTCCAATGGTAGGCTGACTCACTGGATGTAGACTGTGGGTATAAGCCTGTCACTTTTGGTTCATATATCTAGCGGTATTCTCCCGTTATCGGCATAGGAAACACCAACCTCCGAGCATCAATTGCAGCTTCTCTTGCAGCACCAAAACAACCAGTTAACGCACACCAGAAAAGTCCAGACATCATCTTGCAGGACTCTGATGCCGGATGTTGGTGTGTATTACTGACACAGCCATCATCGTCCGATTTGACGGCAACACGTGCCATTGACTCGACCCATCTCTTCCACTTCCCTTGAGCTTCTACTTTAATAAAGAGCCACACACAACTTCTCCAGAGATAAAGTATAGGCAGGCCTCACTCTTTAAGGGCACCGATTATCGTTTTGTGTTTGTCATTAACATCAGGCAAAGTTGTATCATACAGTCAGCATGGTCTTTTTTCTGTTGTTGTTGGCCTTTAGCACAGAATCATCCATTTATTTGACAGCAGCCAAAACAAGCTACCCCCTGACATTATTTTGCAGGGGCACCATCATGCCTTGTGGGCTTAGTGCCACCTGAGATGGTTGGTTTAAAGAAATACAACCAAGCCCAAATGTTTTTTTCTGTCCTGTCTGTGAAGCTCCGCTAACCCACTCCTGCGCTAATCTTCTCCTTGAACTCTAAGAAGTAAGAAAATCGATAAAACCACCACTTCCCAAAATGTCAAACCTTTAACCTCTTGTTCTGCTAAACTACAAGGCCTTCATTTGCCTTCTTCCTTTACTAGAATAACTCCTCTTCCTGCCGGTTTAACCGTAAGTAAAGCGGCTGTGTTCATCCAAGCTTGACTGGACTGTTGCCGCCAGGTTAGCTTAGCATTCCAGCTCCTCTCTGGTTCATGTGTTGGTATATTAGAAAAGTTTCCAGCTGTTTCATTGGTCCAGGCAAAAACTTCTTGACAAAGGGTGCCAGGTAGGGATTTTTTTCCCTCCTCTGTCCTCTTTTGTAGTGTCCTCACAGGTTGCCTGTTGGGGACATTAATCCCCTACAAGGTTGCGAGGCTCAGTGACTTTTCTTCCACATCCCCTTTTGTAGTCCTGTAATGGTCTCCCTCGCTGTGCATCAAATCAGACGTGACAGCAGGCAATCAGAACACACACGCCCAAACAACGGCGCCGCTCCGAAGGTAACCATGGCTACCCGACGACGGAGCCTTTGAAGTCCGGAGGAGCTCAGGGGAGACGTCTATTGGGTGACGTTAACCCTTTATGTTGGCACACAGCCTGACAGACAATAAAAACTCACCTTGAGACTTTTTGTCCGAAAACAAACACGTGTACACAATATGTTAACAGAGAACGAGGCGGACGGATCTGTGCCACACGAGTGTTAGTCAGGGTTGAAGACTACAGTGAATCTGGGTCAGGGCAGTTAGCGGGCTCCAGCGGGGAGCGATTGACGGGTCCTTAAAGGAGGAAAAATGAGAGGGGGAGATGCAAGAAGAAAAGGTCTGATGAGATTTAATTAAAAATAGGTAATGTTGTCTTCAGAAAATGTGTTTGCAGCTTGCTCCACTTTGACTTTGACGACAAAGAAAAAAAACCAAGTCGATGCTTGTTCTGTCTTGTGAGGCTTTCACAGGATGCTGCTAAACAAACACTCACTCAGCGCCTTTCTATTTAACATCCAACATGATTTTGAAGCCCTTCTGTTCTTTCGGGCTCCGTGCAAAAATAGAATTAAATGCACTGGTAAATATTTGAAATAGCGAAGGAGCGTCTGATGTATCTTGCCAGACAGGTAAAAAGCTTCAAAAGTTGAAGCGTAACCGAAAAGTTAAATCTAGCGCTCGCAGTGTTTCTTCATTCTAAATATATACACCTGCTCCTTTGCTAAACCTTTTATTTTTATTGACTGTCAGACTTTGTGTTGGTTATTGGTTTGAGACAAAAAGTCTCAGGCTTTCGTGTTCAGAAATAGACTTTGCAGATGTTTTGTTCCTCTTTGAATCTGTCAGATTCTAGTTGTCCTCCTGGAGTTTCTGTGCAACAGTATTACTTAACTCTTTGAACCCTAAGCAAGTTTCTGTGCTCCTGTTACATTTTTACTCGCTGTTGGCTCCTTTTCCCCTCGTATATAAAGTCCTGCACCTCTGTGGAAACAGAGTAGAGAGAACTGACAAATGTCTTCTGTGCAGTGAGATACAAACATGTACAACATTTTTCCAAATGCCCACAAGTGTTACCAACACTGGGGGAAAAAAGGTGAATAATGTAGATCATTTGTGACTTACATATTTAATATGTTCCATACTTAGCATACACAGCCTGCAGTTCAGCCGAATAGTCCCTGAATCTTTGCCACATGACTGAATAATGGTTCCACTGTTGAGCTAATGAGCGCAGAATTTTTTAAATTTTTTCAGAATCTGTTTAGACCGAGCATGTTCTCTCCGTGCAGCGTGGGTTCTCTCCGGGTTCTCCGGCTTCCTCCCACAGTCCAAAAACATGTTGAGGTTAATTGGTGATTCTAAATTGTCCGTAGGTGTGAATGTGAGTGTGCTTGGTTGTCTGTCTCTAAGTGTAGCCCTGTGATAGACTGGTGACCTGTCCAGGTGTCTCCTGCCTTCACCCTCAGTCAACTGGGATAGACTCCAGCCCCCCATGACCATAGTGAGGATTAAGCGGTGTATAGATAATGGATGGGTGGATGTTTAATATGGTCTGTACTTGTCTCATTTGTGCTCTGTAGAAGCACAGCCTGCAGTTTAGCCGAGTAGCCTCTGAATTTTTGTCACATGACTGAAAAATGGCTTTACTGTTGAGCTAATGAGCGCAGAATTTTTAATTTTTTACAGAACCTGTGTAGACTATTTTTTAAAAAAAGAAGAAGAAATGTAGAATAAAGTGATTTTAGTTAAATATTACAACTTTAAAGTAAGATTTGGTTGTTTCCTGACAGCACATCAAAGGTAAATAGTTCAGTGGCTGTCAAAGTTTGAAAATCCGGCAATTCTTTCTGTTTTTACAGCTTCTTGTTCTGATACATGGTGTCATTTTGGTGATTTTTATAAAGATGACACACCTTTCAAACCTGCTGGTGGGTAAACTATCTTTTGACTGCAAGAAGTGCCGCTGTAGTATCGAACACTAGAGACTGTAGTCATGACTTTTCCCAACAGAAGGATGATGGTCTGCAAATGTTGGGTGCAATATGAAATTAGTTGACATTCATTTTAACAGAACTGTCTAAATAAGTTCCTCTAAATATATATCTATCTACAATTATACACAAATACAGTTGTAGTCATGGGCAATAGAGTTTGTAAAGCTGCACTGTTAAATGTCAGAGCAGAAATGCAAATGAGAAACAGCGTCACTGTTATATAGTAGTTTGTTTTCTTTTTTTAATGTAAAATGTCTCACTCAGTATTTATCAACATCAGTCAGTACAGGATGACAGTATAATTATCAGGCTTCTATCACACTAACTGTGCTCCAGGCAAGTCTGCAAGAAATGGGGCAGGGCAAAATAGGAAGTACATGTTTCTGAGCTGACAACTAGTGCTGATAAACATGCAAAGAAGAAGAAGAAGAGGAAGGTCATAACCTTTTATTTCAGTGTGGATACTAATGATCCTAAGTGCAGTCAAAGAAAATGAAACTTTCCAAGATCCAAAACCAGAAGTCCAGCTTCCTTCTACTGATGTGCTCAGGAAATGTTTTTTTCCCGACTGTTCAGAGACAAAAAATGCTCCATCAGTAGAGCAATATACATGAAAAGAGATCCTAAACCCCTGTGTGTTCAGCATCTTTATAACCTGCAAGTTAAATGATGGCTCCATTATTACAAATTTCACTGTCCTGTACACATGATGGATCACTGGGTGTGTAAACAAAGCAGTCAGACAAATACAATATAAACCCGGAAGCAGTAAAAAGCAGCTCAGAAAAGCACTACCCATAAAAACACCGTCACAGTTGTGCACTCGGCATTTCAGCAGCTGTGAGCTACAGCGAGCGTGTTTGTCAGCGTCTGTGCTCGGGCTCAGGCGCGTCTCTTTGTGCAGGACAGCTGCCGTGAGGGACGACTTAACAATCATCCATCAGCAAGTTGTTAGTTTGTGACTCACATCAGCCCGCTCTTTTGTTCCTGTGCTGCCTGCAGATGTCTGAGCAGTAATTGGCACACATGGAGGAAGCAGGTGGCACAATACGGCCCTTTCTGATGTCCTGCATGGGACAGGCTCTGTGGTGCATGTGTGTGTTGACCGCTAGCATCAGCAGGGCATCATTAAAGAGATGAGTGACAGAAGATTGAAGGTGAGAAGAGCGGCTGCCAGGCGCCTCCTCTTCCCCCGAGAGAGAGAGCTCGTGCATGTTAACCACTTGCCAAATTCAATCTAAAACGAGTGTGAATGCTTTGCATGTGATTATTTTTAATATAGAGCATTTTCGGCTTCCCCCCCTCGAATGCTAATCTTGCCACCAACACACACACGCCCACAGTTCCCCAGAGAGGGGCTTGTGTGTTTGATGCTGTTTGGTGTGGCCCGCCTGTTTTAATCTGCTTATAATCACTCGCCCCCCGGCAGAAAGTGTGTCTGTGTTATCCTGCAATCCAGGATAATGGCCATATCTTAAGAGGATTCCTGCCATATCCTAAAGATTCTCTGGTCACATTCAAAACAAGGCAGTTTAAAGTCAGATGCACGGCAGATACTGAGACAATCCTTTAAAAGCAAAAATGATCCTTAAAAACACAACCACACAAACATCCATTTTTAGTATTTTATATGGATTATATCATGCAAAAAGAGCTCAAGTGGATATTTCACCCTTTAATAAATGTGAACACAATATTATCCTCATCCTGAGCATAATTGATTCCTCAATAAAGGTTTTCCCATAATCCCCCACTTGGTCTCTGAGCCGTCCCACTGAGCTGTAATTAACACAGTCCAAAAGAGGCTCCATTTAGAATACATTTACATGTAATATCTGTCAACATCTGGTAAGAGTTAATTAAGAAGGTTCAGGTGGTTTTTATGGGATTCATAAAACAGATGCGATTTTTGTATTGAAATAACCCTTTAAATGAGCGGGTTGGTGTTGTTTTCAGTGCTGTATATTCATGTAGAAGTCATCAGCTCTTATGTTTTAGGAGGTTTTCTGGTAGAAAGTTGTAGGTTTTATTTTTGTCATGGCAACAAATAATCATGTATATTGTAAGAAAATACTCCTGGCAGCTAATTTACACCCAAACTTTTAGCTTATTGTGATGGAAGATTAAAAGAGAAGCAAATATTAACATTTTAAAAAGCTTGAACCAGTAAATGGTTTAGCAGTAGTGCCTGTATAACCTGCCTGGTATGTTTCACTTCTATTTTTCTTTTGTTTGTTTGTTAGTTGATGTTGCTTTGTTGTGTATTTGATCTGTCTGAGCAAGTTCTACATCAATACAAAACCCAACAAAGGAGAAGAAAGATTAAATGCACAGTCAGGAAAATCTCCATAGGTGTATACAAGATGTAAACCACATGCCAGTGTGTGTCAGTTTCCAGCAGAGTATCGGCACTCCTTCTTTCTTCTCCTGCCTTACTGTCCGACACTCAGAAGTGTGTGAGACTCAGACACGATTTCCACCCGTCTGTCTGCGTCGAGGTTTCCGTCTTGTCTTTGTTTGTGTTTTGCCTTTCATGTTTCTTCTTTTTTCTGGGGTGAAATGTGCCCGAGGCGCAGCAATATGCTGATGGCCACCCTCTGGAGTGGAGCTTGGCTGACCTTCAAAAGGACATTTCCTTGAAGGCAGCGAGGGGCTATTGTAATTGGGGACAAAATTTAGCTTCATTAGCTGATAATGATATGATTACTGATTGCCTGAAATGAATGATGGCTATTCATCAGCCTCTCCATTTGTGAAAGCCAAGTATTGTTCCAGAGGAACGCAATTTTCTGCAAATGAATAACTCCTTGTCTGCTTGTTTATTCCAGTACAATAACGTAGTATTTCTCGACTTAATAAGTTCAAAAGTTCACCCGGGCGAACGTTGCTTCTTTTGACTTCAGCTCAGCTGGTTGCAAAGCCAAAAATTTCGTCTTCTGCTCATGTTTTCCTCTTTTTTTTTTTTCTTTTTTTTTGTAAATAAAAAAAAAGCTGTCAGCTGTTGGCTCTGAACCACCTCCATAAGAATCAGTGAGCTGAGAATAACAGTTGAGGTTGGATGTTGTTTTATAGCTGGCTCAGCTCAGCTGCTGCTGCCGCGCCACATACACCACATACCACAGACAGACAGACAGACAGACGGGCTGGGTCCCAGCCGGCCAGGTCCCAGCCGGCCGGGGGTGGGGGGGTTTTGCTGACGGCAGGCTGGTTTGAGGTGGAGCTGGTCCAATGTACGTGTGCTAAGATAAGTTATCACATCATCATCATCAGACTGCATCATCATCCTCTACAACAGAAACATCCCACTGAAACTGCCTTCACTTTGTCACCATAAAACCCTCATTTGCCCACAAAATAGGCTCTCCATAGACGTCGACGTGTCCACGCTCACAGAGTCGACTCTCGCTAAGATGCAGGCGGTGTTGGGTAAGATAGACAAACAAACGCTCGGAGAAGCTGTTAGGACGACAGGAGCCAGAATGGCCCATTTTCTCCTGCTTCTCCCTAATGAGAGCCATAAAGAGCGCGAGGCATCAATATTTCAGCGTGCTCGTCAGGCGGGCGGCAATATTTCCCTTTGATGAGGCTCACCAGAGGTGTTTTGTTTTGCCCGGCTGCCACTTCGATCGTATGTGAATTTAGGAAGCCAGAACATTAGACGGGCAGGACGCTGAAAACCCTGCTGCTGGTAGGTTTGTGTTATCAGGGAGAAATGATTGTGAGTGACTCAGCAGTAGTTACTGTTTCTGTCTGTTAAGAACAGCTGATGGCACTTACTTTGATTTGTGAGATTATCATTTCAACTCAGTTTTGTTTCATGAAGCTATTTTGGGCCCTTTTTTTTGTTTGAAGTGTTTGACTTTTCAAGGAACTAATAAAAGGAAGTGACAGCTACTGAAACCTTGATACTGTTGAAACTGAATACGCCTTGAAGTTCTCACTTTAAATAGCAGGTTTCTGAAGTGAACAACAGAGCGGAACAAGTATGAAAACTAGTGACATAATATGACAGGAAAAAAACTGGAGAACACAAATAATATACTCAACAAATACAGTAAACAGGACAGGTCAGCTTTAAGGTCATAGATTTGCCATTTTGTTTCTCCCTTACCAAGAGTTGGACTGGTACCACTCATGTGTTCATCAAATACTGCATGCTTGACCCCAACTCTATCAAAATCCACTACTGATGCTACATCTTTTTTGTATAAAGGATACAAAAACCAAGCTGTGAAAATGACAACAACCAACACAGATTTCATGAACAATTCTAATCATGTACACAACTTCCGTCCCCTTTGGCTCAACAGAAAAATAAATCTCTCACTGCTGGGACCAGGAGAACTGTTACACCATCATGTTTTGATTTCATTCCAATCGAAACCCCGACATTTTAGCCGACAGTGAGGCAGCAGGATGTCGATGGAGTCGGCCCGTCCCCCTGCGGGTTTGGGTTGGATCAGGCTTGTGCTGCAAAGTGAAGTCATCTCCAAATGAGCTGTAAAGCCCCGTCTGTTGTTGCCTCGCTGTGGGAGTGTCCCACTGGGGTCGCAGGCTGGGACGATGCAGGCTGCTGCCACTGGAGGCTACAGTCGCACTGATACATACCAGCTGTATCTGTCAGTTCACTCCAGGACTCTTTTCTCCTCTTGTGTATCTGTTTCTCTGCGTCATCACTCTTGATGACTAACTTTGCCTGCCTGTAATTTCAACCTTGTCATTACTCTGTTATTCATTTCAATGTCTCCACATTTGTCGTCTCTTTCTCTTTTTTTTTTTTCAATTTCTGCACTCTGGGAAAAATATTCTTCTCGCTCATAGTGGAGCATCATATTTATACTATCTTGTCATGAAATAGTTTTTACTCTTGTTAAAAGCAATAAAACAGTAAAGTAAAATCTATTGCAGTGAAATCCTGCACAAGCCCAAAGCTGCGTTGGGCATCTCTGAATGAATCCCAGTGAGATGTGAGCACATCCAGAATAATTCAGATGGCACTTGGACGTTTTGGGGAATTTGCTTCCTGCCCAGGGATGTTTTGATGTGAACATATAAAGAGGTCCAAACTTCAAAGACTGACTTCACTTCATTACCGCAGAAGTTTCTCTCTCGTGTGTGTGTACGTGCACTAATGAACTTCTTGTCCTTGTGGCGCACTGATTAAACACGGAGGGACTCTGTGTGTGTGTTCACGCAGGTGGATGAGCTGTACGAGGCCTTCTGCATCCAGAGTCGGCTGAGGGAAGGTGCCAGTCGGATGAAGCAGGCCTTCTCCTCCTCCCCCTCCACTAAAGGCACCAAAGAGAGCATCGCCGAGGTCAACCGCCGGTACAAGGAATACACTGAGGTACTGAAAGAGCTGCGAGCATGGATGCACACCTCATGAAAGGCATGTTAAGTAATGCTAGCTGGCTTAAAAATGCTAAAATCTGATATAATGAGGTGTTGCAACACACAATAAATAACACATTTTAACATAGACATCCATAAATGCCATCAAAAGACTGAGCAGTATACATTAAACATGGGGTCACACCTGCAAACACCCACTATATACCTAAATATATGTCGCTGATTACTGCTTACACTGTTTTATAAACACTACCATGCAAAGTCCTGTACTTGCAGAATGATCTTTTAATCCCAATAACACACACACATCTGTTGTCACCTGACTTGAAGGCTTAGATCAGCCTTTCCGCCTTAGCGTTGGCTGGTTTTGTCAGAGTCTCTTGATTACTATTGTTGCTCTTGCGTCTTGTGGGGGCTGTTTGTGTAATCGCCCTTATTGCTCTCTATCCTCCAGAACATGGGCACATTTGAGAGCGAGCTGGAGAACCTGCTCGGGGAGTTTCATATCAAAATGAAAGGTGAGATAAGAGTCACTCAATGAAAAAGTTTATGGCGAGTTTACAGATCTACACACCATGCGTGTCAACCGCTGCAGATACCATCAGATAGGAAACCTGTAAAATCCCCAGAAGATTTACAAATGGGAGCAAAATGTGTTAGATATTGTAGTGTAAGCTACGTTCCACTGCATCATTGTACCAGCTGTAAACAGCAGACGCATCAAGCTGGTAGTGTCTGATCGTATGATGCAAAGAACCATTTTAAATCTGAACTGCACCAGAAGAGAAGAAGTCAGAGGAAGAATCAGCCACAAATGATGATGTTTGTGTGATCCTGGGCTGAAGTTATGATCTGCAGTGTCATGAGATTGCTTTAGTAGAGCATGTGACTGAACTTTTATCACACATAGGGCGCCGCTGGCGAACAGGGGAGAGAGCGGGGTCCCCCAAAAGCAAAACAAACGCAGCGAGACCCCCCCCCCCCACACACAAAAAGTCCCCGGGCAAAAAAAAAAAAACCAAAAGGCGCCCAAAGGCACACGAGAACATCGCACAGCACAGCTATCACAGATTTTAGAAAATCCAAAAGAGTATGTATATATACAAAACACATAAAAAGGAGAAAACGTGTATAATTTACTGGCATTCCATATACGTTGACATGTATGACACACTGATACTTATCCTTGAATTAACAGGCATTCCTTCACTAATGTTTACAGCACAAATTCACTACAACATATTTGGAATATGTTCACATGACAATCTGTAACAGAGAGATCTTCTGTCAGTTAAAATAGTTGTGCTGCTGTAAGACACCGACTCCCTGCACAGCCTCTCATCGTGCAATAATTCATCCTGAAGGTCGCATAAAGTTGCTCGACTCATGCTTCCCTGCATCACATTAGAGTTTTCTTTCCTTCCCCTCGTTCCTTTATGAATAATGAAAACTGTATTTCTTTTCTCTAACAGGTTTGGCAGGCTTTGCTAGACTCTGTCCTGGAGACCAATATGAGGCAAGTTTCTTCATATTCCTACTTCTAACTTTCATACTGACACGAGAAATGTAAGATTTCACCCAGTTTAGTTGAGGTTTCTCATTAGAACAAACAGACAATTTGATTTTTCAGTTTGAAGGAGCTAAAATGATGTTTTAATAGCGACAAGGGACTCAGCTTTTTCTGATGTTTGTAGTGAGTTTCAGTTAATTGTTTGGCTTTCTTTGCACTGCATTCCCAACGCCGACACATGCAGTTAGCACTTATGTGATTTAGGTAAAAGGCCGGATATATCCACAAGAAGTTAGGTAACAAAAACAGAGCTGAAAGAGTAAATATTGCACTTAAATTCATGAATAACAATCTCTACACAACATTTTCTCCATTAAAAGGTGATGATTTAATATGTCTGTACTATTTATAGCTTTTCTGCTGCCTCACGAGTGGCTAAAAAATTCAGTGACAGGAATTGTATTATTCATTCCTCATGACTTGCATGAAGGAAATGTTTTGCTGTTAAGTTCATAAAAGGTTATCAAAGCTTTCTTTGGATTGACCCTGTTTCTTTCTTTTCTGCCGCTGCTTTCTTGCTCTTTCCTGTAGATCTTCATGCGATACGGACGCCAGCGGTGGAAGCTGAAGGGGAGGATTGAAGTGAACTCCAGACAGAGCTGGGATGGAGATGAGATGGTCTTCATGCCTCTCATCACTGACCTGATCAACATCAAGGTGTGTGGAAACCCCGATAAGCTCTTGTATAAAGCCCTGTGCTGCAGTACATGATCTTCCGCCTGAACTGAGCAGTAAACTGGTGTTTCGGTGCGTCAGGTGACGGAGCTGAAGGGTTTGGCCACTCACATGCTGGTGGGCAGCGTCATCTGTGAGACCAAGGAGCTGTTTACTGCCATGCCTCAGGTGGTGGCCGTGGACGTCAACGACCTGGGGACCATCAAGCTCAACCTGGAGGTTACGTGGTAGTAAGTAGACACTCGGTTCTTTGTTTTTAAAGACCAGATTCTCCTTCAAAACGCTCATAGATATGTTGTAATACATATGAAGTGCAGTACATAATGAGTTGGCTCATATGTTGAACCTTATATACCAGATGACCAAACTTAAAGGATCTTGCCAAAGTAGTTTACTTGTATTTACTTGTTGTTGTTTTGAAATATCACACCAGATTCTTTTTATTTTAAAATAACACTAATTAATACACTGATGGTATCGCTGCTGGGTTTCAGGGTTGCGAGATATAAATATTTTGATCCTTGAAGAGTCTATTACTGGACTGGCCTCAAGCTCGGTTTGCCAGTGAACTCCCACAACTTGTTGTTTGTGTTATGTGTAGCTTTAAACTCAGCGTTTGCATGACTTGTGGTTTACTGCCATCTGGTGGAGAAACACCTATGTATCACATGGCAGTTAAATAGCCCATATGATTTACATTTTCAGGTTTAGAATTTTGTCTTTGGAGGTCTACAAGAACACCTTTACATGCTTTAAGGTTCAAAAACATGATTTTTGTAACTGCACATCATCTCACCGTGTGTTTGAAATGTACTCTTGTCCTTTCAAATGAGCTCCTGTCTCTTTAAAGTCTTTCTTGGGTTACATGTCCTTACCCCAGATCTATGAGTATAGGCACAAGAAAGGTCCCTAGCTGAGGAAGGAGGAAATAATTGTGGACTGTAAAGAAGCTGCTCATTCAAACTAACCTTTTTGCAGGCATTTCACAAATGTGTTGCACTGTGATGTCAACAAGTAATGGAAGAAGATTTTACACGTAGTGTTTTAGGGCAGATAAGGAGCAGCGTTGTCTATGGGGGAGAAAAACTCTTTGGCGTGGACTTTATAAGTTTGCAAACCTTTTATGTGCAGAAAAACACAGCTATATAACACACTAAAGGAAAGAGAAAAAATATGATAATATGGGCTCTTTAAGTAAGAAAATTTCCTGGAACAGTAGGGCAGGAAATAGGATGAATCAGACAGAGCAGTCATATTAAGTGTCCTATTTTCTTTCCCGTCCAGCCCCTTCGATGTCGAGGACCTGACTCTGTCGTCTGGCAACGTGAGCAAAGCCACAGCCCTCCAGAGACGAGTGTCGGTCTACAGCCAGGGCACACCGGAGACTCCCACCTTCCAGGACACCTCCTTCTTTGTGAGTCCAGCACACGCCACATCGTCTTTAGCTTCACTGGTGAGGCGGTAGACAGATTACTTTTTTTTTTTCCTTTTAGTTGTTAGCAAATTCTGTGATCCTTGTGCACTAACCCGGGCACTGTCTGCACTGTACTACGAGGATAATAATTATGCCCCCCAGTTTTTCTGTTGATGCATCATGCGTGTATTAGCAATGCTAGCACTACCCCAAAACTAACCCTCACCCATTTCCCTGCTATCCTCCTCTTCTTTGCATTTCCACATTATAACCCCTTCACCCACACTCTGTCCCACCTTACACCCTCATCCACCCCCCCTGTATCTCACTCACCCACCCTCACTCGAACACCCAACTCCTCGTCCTATTTGCCTGCGTGCATTGTGTAAAGAAGTGGCAGCCATATCCCGTGGAGCGCCAGCGCCTCTCCTTCCTGCACATGCTCCGAGACACCCTGCTAGAGAAGCTAAGGCGCAGTCGCTCGTTTGGTGACCTGGCCTCACTCCGGCCAAGGCCCAAATCCAGTCTGGAGGTCTATGTGAGTGTGTTGTGGCCCCCTTGACCCTCCTAACCCGACTCTGTGTGCCCCCCTTACCTCCCTGACATGATGGGGATCCTCTGCTGGTGTGGACAAACTTGCATTTGTTCGGTCCCTTTCTGTCGGCTGCAGAATGTCACGTGTGGCTGTTTGCATGTTTATTTGCATGACATGCTTTAAGCTGTCTGTACTCTTGTTTTCAGTTCGGACTGACTTTACTGTGTGACTCTGTCTTGGTTGAACTGGTAACAAGACTTGAAAGAGAAAAGTGGAGTTAGAGTGGATGTTTAAAGTGCGGCTCTTATTCTATCTTAGAAAGGAGCTTCCTCTTGTACTTTTCTATCTTTTCCTGTGTGGACTGGTTTCAAGCTGTGTCTCAGTATCTTTTCTGTGACACACATTTACATCTTTGTCTCTGTTTTCAGTCCACTTTGCCAGATGACGTCTTTGAAAACGGCGGCTGTGGCGTGGCCGAGTGCAAGCGTCTATCCTTCACCTTCTCCGACACCTCCGGTTCGACGCCCAGCCCCAGCCCCGCCCCAAGCTCCTACTCCCCAGGCCAGTCCAACCCTGAGATCACGGTCACTCCTCCAGAAACAGAGCCAGTACCTACACAGATCCTCCCAACCAGGGAGGACTCCATCGCAGAGGAGCACTTGGTGGAGGAAGAGGAGGAGGAGTACGAAGAGGACGGGGAGACGGGCAGCAGAGGAAGCAGAGGCAGCAGGACCAGCGCCAGCCTCGCCAGTGATGAAGTCGAGGTCGCAGAAGACTCAGAGTGGGAGCGCACAGAGTCCCAGCGTAATTCAAGCTCCAACTGCGGTTCGGCTGCACCGTCCTTGTGTTCCGACGGACACCTGTCCACTGTGGCTCCGGAGGATGTTTTCCTGGATCATGCCGACGAGCTGAAGCCTGTGGAGCTGGACACGGAGGAGGCGGGCAGCCTGACCAGGCAGCTTGTGAAGAGGCTGACTTCCTCAGAAATTGTGCCGCCCGGCGAGAGCGCTAATGAGAGTGGAGGGAGCCTGAGTTGGGCTGGAGAGGGAAGCAGGGCTTTCCTGGAGAGCAGCCTGGAGGAGGCCATCCACAGCCTGCTGATGAGACTGGAGTCACTGACGCACCGCTGCAGAGAGCTGCAGGACCTGGAGCAGGAAGTAATGCGCCTGGAGGACCTGCTCAAGGTGAGCGCTGACTCAGTGTCCTCTTCTCAGTGACATATGTACTTAAAGCTTTTATTCTGAATGAAGATGGAAGTATTTCAAGTAGTTTAAAGAGATGTTGAAAGAAGGTTTTACGTTACTGATATAATTTTAGTGTTGGAGTCGTCCTCAACATTGTGTGAAGTGTTCTACCTTCAATGTAAGTGCTGCGTGTTCTTCAATGAATGCCATCATGCTAACTGACAGGGGATCACTCACATGCTCACCATAAATTTGGCACTGATATGAAGGTCAAAAGTTCCAGCAACACAACTAGAAATCAGTTAACTTAGAACTGACATGGCAGAGTCACTTCTTGTAGGATTTTAATGCCCTGTTTCTTTCTCTCTGCATTCCTATCATCTTGTTTTTCCACAGTGTCGTCTCCCGGGTCACAGGAGTCGCTCATCCAGCCTCAGTCTGACAGTGGAGAGCGCCCTGGAGAGTTTCGACTTCCTCAACACCTCTGATTTTGATGACGAGGACACTGGCGATGACAACGCCGTCCTCAGCATGCCCCCACAGAGATCTCCACTTTTTGATGCAGATGGAGAGAGGATTGGGTGAGATTTTTATATTGCAGTTTAGTCATGTGCATATGCTCCAAACAGCTTTTTAAAATCAGAATGCATTGTAAGAGCTCAAGTGGGCTATCTGAACTTTTCATTGTTTGTATCAAGTCAATTAAATCTCTGCTGTTTGTTGGTTAAAGTGAGGTTTATTCAGTTTTGCGCAGTAAAACAAAAGTCTGAAAATTGAGCAGAGAAGTATGACAGCAAATTCCATCCATCCATTATCTATACACCGCTTAATCCTCACTGGGGTCGTGGGGGGCTGGAGTCTATCCCAGCTGACTCAGGGTGAAGGCAGGAGACACCCTGCACAGGTCATCAGTCTATCACAGGGCTACACTTAGAGACAGACAACCAAGCACACTCACATTCACACCTACGGACAATTTAGAATCACCGATTCACCTCAACATGTTTTTGGACCTTGTGGGAGGAAGCCGGAGAACCCGGAGAGAACCCACGCTGCACGGGGAGAACATGCAAGCTCTACGCAGAAAGTTCCCGGGTGTCCTCACCGGGACGCGAACTGACAACCTTCTTGTTTTTGTTCTTGTATTTTTTTTTGTTGTTGTTTAGAGAAATACTCTTTTTTTATGGCATTATAACTGTGTCATCCTGCACAGAACACATCCTGTACTTCCAGCTGTAGCTCTAGTGTTTCCATTGCAGTGCATGCGTTTATATTGCAGTGAAAACTGAGCCCACAGTGAGCGAAAATATGACAGGAGCAAAAGAAAACTCAGAAACTACTCATGCTTCAGAGGGTTAAACAGAATCTGCACCATCACAATTTGACTACAAGCGCAGCAGTTGTGTGTGTTGCTGCTGCCACTCAGTGGTGACTCTCGGTATGTACTGTTTAGCAGCCAGCATCCAGAAGCCAGAGGACACCTGAGTGAAGCCCTGACGGAGGACACCGGGGTGGGCAACAGCGTGGCAGGAAGCCCCCTGCCGCTCACCACTGGAAATGAGAACCTGGACGTGGCCATCGTCATCCACCTTCAGTACTGTATTCACCTCATACAGGTAGAGACGACTGATATTAAAGTTAACAATCGTCCACATCACCAGCTACTTGTTGCCACTAGCATCTAACTTGTTGCTTCATTTAATGGCAGTTGCTGAGCAGCGGGGTGAGCATGTGGCAGCGTCGCAGTTTGCTCCTCAAACTGTCCGGACAGACCCAGCTGTTAGAGGAACTGGCAGAGATCAGCGTGGACAGACTGGGAGCGATCACATCAGCTGCTGACGGTGGGTACCAGCAAGTAAAAGACAGTTTTTTCAGTGTTTTATGAAGCTGCAATACATCTATCCTGCAAAAAAGCTCCTGGTGTGAAGCGTCTGACCTCATGTACATCATGTGTTCTGACCTCGTGTTCCGTCCTGCTCCCTCCTCAGTCCTCCCGGGCCTCGCCGAGCGCCCCCAGCTCATGACTCTGTGGTCAGAGTGCAGCGGGTCTGCAGGACTTTTCCACACCACGCTGGACCGAGTGTTCAAACACATGAACCAGCGCTACACGGCGGTGCTGCAGGAGAGACACCCACACAGCGCCGACACAGGTTGGCTCATCCCTGTTTTCTCTCTGCAAACAGACCACGGGTTATACTTAGACCTTCATCCTCTTTTTGTTGGCAACACAGTCCTATTTCTGTGTTTTTTTTTAATTAGCTTTCAACTGAGTCACTTATTTGGTTTGTAAATCAGATTTAAATACGCCCCTGAGGGAATATTAGATAACTGTAGTTGCTAAGAATATTATGTTGTTGATGAAAGACTTGAACAGAATAGATGATGCTGGAGGGAATTCATGAAATGGACTGTGGCAGCAGCCCACAGGGTTACAGTGATTATGTTCCAGTATAATAGAGATTCAATACAAATCCACCATGAAAATGTTGTTGCAATTAGCTAGACACCATCTCCTCTGAACACCTACTGATTCTGTTTTCTCCCCAGTGATCGGTGTGGTGGTGGGTGAGATGGTGGACAGGAGCGACCTGATGGCGACACACAGCCCTCCCCCTGCTGCTGCCGCGCTCTCCCAGGACGTCCTGACGGTGTTTCAGTTCCACAGCTACATCTTACAGCACGAAGTCCAGGACATGGAGACACACCTGCTGCACCTGGCCAGAGAGGGTGAGCAACAGCTGCACGCTCGGTTGGGCTTCATGCTGGCTGTGTAACGGGCTTCATGCTGGTTGTGTAACATGCTTTCAGTGGAGTCATACACGGACTACTTTCTGCAAACTCAACCAAATATTACAACTGTTTGGAGATTAAAGGAGCAGCTGGAACTCTGTTGGGTCACTTTAACACTCATCCACTCGAGTAGAACTTTTTTTGATAGGAGAAGCAAAGTAATAAACGTCTTGATGTTGTATCAGAAAGATATATGTTTTAGTGAAGGTTTTTAGGGTCCAGATTGCTTTTTGCAGCATTGCAGCTCCCAGAACAGAATGATAGGAATCAGGAGGTAGTAGCAGAATGGAAGTTAGACAGTGTAGAAGTTACACAGAGAACATTTAAATGAAAAATTGCCCATATCCAGTCGTGACTCGATCATTCGACACCAAATGTAAAACTTTCTTTTACGTCTGATAGCAAGGCCACCACTGCCACCATCATCCGTGTTTACTTCTGTAAACACTGAGCACGCTCGCTGCGTGTGACGTCGTCGTGTCCTCTTCTGTGCATGCTGGACACTTTTGGGTTGTATGAAGTTCACACAGCAGATCACATACAAGTCGCATTTAATTGGAAATGTGAACGAACTCACAAAAAAATCTGATTTCACAAAAAAATCTGAATTGAGCATTAAGTCCTGCAGTCTGAACGTAGCCAATCTGTTGGATTGTTCAGTCAGATAATACGCTGTTATCCTGATTTGTGACATAAAATGTCATGTCAGAGTCAGAATCCAAGGCTGTCGGTATGTTGAGGCTGTTTTTAATGGGTTCTGCTCGTTTTTCCTAAAAGCCTGTCGGATGGCAAGATTTTCAGATTGTTAAGGGTCAGATTATGAGTCACGACTGTTTTTTTTTTTGTTTGTTTTTTTACACAGATGATGACAGTTTAACCTTCTAACTCCACGTAGTTTCTGGACGTTTTCTGCTCCTGTTACATTCTTACTCACTGTGGTCTCATTTTTCACTGTAATATTAAGTCCAAGGCCTTTATGAAAACAGCAGAACCATGACTTGTATCAGAGAGAACTCAGAAATGTCATTTCTGCAGTAGGACACAGTGTTAATGCCACAAATCATAAGTGAATTTCTTTGATCACTGATTTCACAAGAATAACAAAAAAAAAAAACACACACACAGGTGTTGCCCACATATGACTCTATATGCTATAGATATTTTGCTTTCAAGATTTTTCTTTTCCTATCTGCCCTGTGTGTACACGGTCTGTTGTTCAGTCGACTAGTCCCTGACTTGTCACGTGACTGTTGGTCGTAGCTGAGTCACTTTCTAGCTGTGTTGATAAGCACAGAATTTTTGAGTGATACAAAAAGTTTATTCTCAGCAATCGTTTTTCAGAAGAAATATACGATACAGCGATTTTATTGAAATATCACAATTTTAGGCTTACATTTGGATGTTCCCTAAACTGAACAGGATGTCACAGATGAGTAGTTCAGGATCACTGGAAAGTTAAAATGCATCATTTACTCAGTATATACAGGTTCTAGCTCCTGTTAATGGTGTCACATTCTAAAGACGTCACGCCTTATAAAACCTGCGAGCTGGTTCTAGGGTTCAGAGGGTTAAACAAGATTTTCTGTGTGCACGCACCCAAATTTAGAACCTCAATCAACCATTGTTAAAAAGCCACTCTAGAAATGCTGGCAGCTCAGAAAATCCTTCCACTAAGACGTGACGAAGAGAAAATGCAAATGAGCTCCTGATTGTATGCATCCACTTAAGTATGTGAACGAATAAGAGATGGTTAAACTACAAGGATTGTAGATATTGCAGAATCAGATTTGTACTTGTTATTTTAGATATTCTAGATATCTACAAGAGACTACCAAGCAGCATCATGCCTGAAGGACATACAACACCTTTTGCATTTGTTACTCTGCAGTGGTTCCATCCTTGGTTTAACCTCTGTCTGCCTTTGCTTCGTCCTCAGAGGTGTTAGCGGAGGTCCTGTGCAGTGGTGATAACGCTCAGTGTCTAGCGGAGCTGGAGGAGGTACCTCTCTCATCTCTCTGGCCTAGAAACAGCACCCTGAGGGCCCTGGCCTCCCTGCTCACTGCCGAGGACCCTCAGGTCAACAAGGCAGCAGCCGACTACCTCTCCTCTGGAGCATCAAGCAGGCACTTCAGGTCCAGGGTGAGTAGCGCTAAAGAGAACTGAGCGCGTGCACCATTTATGCCGTTTCAGATACAGAGGTCTCATGTGAGTGTTTGTTGTCTACAGGCGGTGGAGTGCTACACCCAGGCGCTGTCAGAGGCTGGAGTCCAGAGCCAGAGGGCGGCCTGCTCCGCTCTCAGCTGCCTGCAGGTCAGTGTCAGCTCACGTTATCTGTAGCTGCTGGTTTTTATCACGGAACAGCAGTTTTACATTTATGTAATAAAGAGAGGATCATTAAATTCTTGTATCCCTCGTGTACTTTGACAAGTGCGCTCTTCAGATACTTACCTCATTTAACTGTGTGTCTGTAGGCGGTGGAGAGCATCAGGGCGGTGGTAGCGCTGTGTGACTCAGCTGATGAGGAGCTCCGCCACGTCGCCATAGAAACCCTGCTCACATTTGGTGAGTAACACATTCACGGAAATGAAAGGTTGCTACACTTGTACAAATCATGACTTCTGATTTGCATTTTATACACAAATACCAGCGTGTACCGAACACCACCACGACTAAAACATTAACCCTCTAGACACCCCGAGAGTTTGTAGGCGTTTTTTTTTTTGCTCCTGTCACATTTTTACTCACTGTGGGCTCGTTTTTAAAAAGTCCTGAACCTCAATGGAAACAAAACAACTGTGGGGAGAAGGAGCAAGAACTGAAAAATGACTTTTGTACAGTATAAAAAAGCTTTAATGCTATAGATCATTAAAAAAAAAGAAAAAAACAGAAGTTGAATTTCTTTGAATGCATATTTTACAAAAACAAAAAACCTGTGATCAACATGAACAACATTTTTCCAGATGCTACCAATACTTAGAGGAAAAACGGTGACTATATGCTGTAGATATTTTGCTACTTACATTTTTAATTCGTAAACACAACCTGCAGCTCAGTCAGAAAGTCCCAGAACTGAGTCGCTAGTTGCAGCGAGGAGTGAAGATTTTCTTTGTTTTGTAAATAATCTGACTAAAGCAAACATTTTTCAGCATATTTAAAAAAAAAAAAAGACATGTAGAATGAAGCAATTTTAAAGTAATATCAAGATATCAACAGCGTCTCACAAATGAGTAGTTCAGGGACTGTTGGAAAATTCTAAATTAGATGATTCTTTGTGTTTTTACAGTTTATGGCTATGAGTATTAGTGTGATTCTGGCAATGTAGTAAAGAAAACATGCCTTTCAAACCTGCTGGCAGGTTTTGAGGTTGAGAAGGTTAAAATAATGCAGTGTGCTCAGTGTCATGCCAAGAAAAATGCGTCTGTCTTTCCTCAAAGCCTGCTGTTTCCAGTGCTGATAGTCTGCACTGAACACTGAATTAACCATCTTAAAACTATGTTTGAATTCAAACTTGAAGCATGTTGGCCTGACCTTGTGGTGGTGAAGTGTCGCCGTTTCTCAGCTCAACAGATCTTTTTTTTTTTTCATCATTTCTAATATTTTCACTGTAGAGACACTGCTGCTATCTGAGGAGCAGTAAATGACTTGTCCTCACAGGAAAAACTGCTTGAAGGAACCTTATTTCTAACCTGATCAACCCTGTTGCAGGTGAGGAGGGTCGGCTGGCGTACGAGCAGCTGGACACGGTGCCGGGGGAGATGATCCGTCTGGGCACCCGGCGGGGAAACGCCGTCACCACTGCCTTCTGAGCCACCGCGCCGCTGAAAAACACACCAGACTGCATCCCTAAGCCCGACCTCCGAGGACGACCTCCTCCAGCTTAACCCACCACTCCGCACACCTCACAGGGCTGCCGGTGGCCGATCTGTTTGTCGATCTGCTTTTCCAGCAAAGACGATTTTGTTTTTCACAGCGCCGCTATTAATCACTGTTCTCACTGATACTGCCTCCTAGAAGAGAACTAACAGCAGACAAACTGTTTTGGACACATAACCTGTACCCCTCCTGCATAAACACTTCTTGTCTCACCGTCACCCTTCAGTTTGGACACTTCCCCTTCCTCCCCTCTTTTTCTCACCCTGCTTTCTGAGCCAGGCAGGACCGGTCACGTTGAGTTAAACTGGAAAGCACGAAGCCGCTGAAAGCTGCTCCAAAGACTGCGGGAATCGCGTCTTCACCCCCTCCTCTGCGTTAACAAGCTCGCCACTGCACAACAACACTCGTTATCACTTACTCACCGATTAACCATCACCTCGATTGTTACGGTGTCACGCAATATTACTATGATCTCTGTATAATCACTGTAACACACGTTTTAGTTGGTGGTTTTCGCATTCGAAATGTTTTCTGGCGCTTTCAGAAGATTTTTTGCACTGTTGTAAGGCCTGTAAATATGGCATATTTTACACAGCCGGTGTAACATATGTGCTCATGTAATTTAAGTTCTGTTTTCTAGTACGTTCCATTTGAGTTTCAGGGATTCTTGTATGGTTTGAAAGGTTGTGTGTTTGGCTTCGAAAGTGAGTTTAGAAAGCCCCGAGCAGTTTACAGTCTTCTTGTGAAGAGGAAAGAAACACGGTCAGCACAGGGCCCGAGGTTCACCTGCTCAGCAGTCAGCGTCCGAGTTTTCTCACACTCGCAGTTTAACAAGTGCAATTTTTCTGTACATATGTGATTCTTTTGCACCCAGCTGACACGAGGAGCCCGTTTCATATCGTCAGTTTTTGTGACCTTTTGAGCCTTGAAATGGATGGAGCGGGCGGATTCCTCAAATACTCTTTTGTAAATGTTTTTTTTTCCCAACCAGGTGAGCAGGAGGGCAATAAGTTAGGGAGCTTGTGAGAATGCACAGTGACTGTACAGAGAGGCCGAGGATTGATGTAGCCGCGGATTTGGCTAACTGCACATTCGTACGTGAGCTAAACGCAGAATTAGAAACGAAGCTTTTATTGTGAGAAGCTGCAGAATGAAGTTTTTTTGGTACGTCTCGGGTTTTGTTTTCCTGCATCCGGACTGTAGTGTCGGAAAACTGGCCCAAGGGGAGCGTCTAGTTCCACCTTTAACTACTGAGTCCGGTGCGACGACGTAAAATTCACCACGTAATGTTCACAAATCCTATTTATTATTTACTCCTTGTAATTCTAATATTCTTTGGAGTTATACTGTAGTAGTGCAGATGACATTGTTATGTAAATTAATTGTATATTTATGTTCTATTTTCAGGTCTAGTATTTGAAATATTGTCTTTCGTTTTAAAAAAGAAAAAAAAACAAAAAACAAGGCCTCTGTGTTTTTACCATGCAACTGATCTCATGCTTAATTGGAAATTATTTTGAATTAATTATAATAGATTAATTATTATTTTGGAGAAGATTTGCTAATAGTAGTATAGATTTTGTTTTCCCTAAAAAGGTCCCCAAAATAGTGGGACATTTATATATTAGAGATGTTACTTTATTACCTAGAAGATTTACTGTAACCAAAGGAAAATCTGATTTTAAAATGGTCTTTTAATAAGAGCTCATCAAGGAGAATGTATTTTCAATACAACATCTGCATTTTGGCCTGAACGCTCAGGCCTGTCTTTAGAAGCACAACTTAAAAGAATAAAAAAAAAAAAGAAGACAAATCCACAATATATGGATCTTGTTACATTCGGTTGTAACTGCACAGTCCAAAAAGCCATATTGATTAAAAAACAAGTGGTAGTATTTTTATGAAATGTATTTTTTTTTTCATTTTTTTGTATCATAATCTGTAAATGTGTGACGTTATTACTAAAAGCTAAAGATGGTGTTCCTTTTTTTCTATACAGCCTTTTTTTTTTTTTGCAAAACATGGTCCAAATTTTAAGCAGCAGTTCATTTTCTTTCTTCCATGATGTGAATAGCATTGCAGTATTTTGATCGAGTAATTCACCCACTCACTCAAGCGTCTGATTTCTTTTTCTTTTCTTTTTTTACGAACTTGCAGTTGACCAGTGTTATAAGTTAATTCATGGGCTGTTCGATTCCTAATCACCACAAAGTTGGCAAAATGTGCACGTTTAATTATTTAGAGACTGGTTTTAAGAATAACTTGGTACACTTTGCTGAAACTGAAATCTATCCATCTCTGTGGTCACTCGCTTCAGTACTGATCCATCTGGTTGCATACTTCTCCATCGTGGTTAGCAGTATTTCTTCTGCTCATCAAAAGTTGCAATAAAGTTTATTTTTGCATAATTAAAATGGTAAATATATTGTGGATTTTTGTTTTTTTTGTTTTTTTGTTAGCACTGTCTTTGTGGATTTCATGGTATTGATGATGAGTAATATTTTAAAAGTTTTATACTGATATCATGTTAATACACGTAATATAAACAATCCGGACCCAGTTGTTATCTGATGGACACCCTCCGCTCATACCCGGACCAAAAAGAAAAAAAAACACAAAATTAACTTGAAAATTTTTTAATGATTTTTTGTTATTACTGTATCATAAGAATATAGTTGTTTTGAATCCTTTTGGTCACGATAATGATAAAACTCAGATATGGTGATGGCTCGAGTTAAATAAGCACCATGTCTATAGGACCTACACTGAACGCTACACTATTAACTCTGTGCTCTGCTGGATTTCACAGATATGTAGGAGCAAAGAAAGAATTTTAAAGATTCTTTTTGGTCGTCATTGTCTAGATCAGGGGTGCCCAATCCTGGTCCTCGAGAGCCCCTATCCAGCATGTTTTAGATGTTTCCCTCTTCCAACACACCTGATTCACATGATCAGGATGGTTATCAGGCTTCTGCAGAGCTTGATGATGAGCTGATCATTTCAATCAGGTGTGTTGGAAGAGAGAAACATCTAAAACATGCTGGATAGGGGCTCTCGAGGACCAGGATTGGGCACCCCTAGTCTAGATAATCTTTGTTTATGTGTGAAATATCGTGCAAAGTGCATGTTACTGCAAAATACGAGCATTGGATTTTCTAATTTATAATGTTTAGATTTAAATACTTTCTAATAGTGTTCAAAAGACTCTTAAAAGAAAATTCAGTCTAACTGCATCACAACAGCCACACGACCAAACCTTCAACAATGACACACAGCAGGACAGTCACTGTAGATCACTGCAGTATCACCACAATGTCTGTAGAAGCCCAGAGACAGCAGACAGCTCAGGAAACAAGGTGATATTTTCTCAAATGCACATATTTTAGAAAACTTTATTTCGACAATACATCTGTCCATGCTGGACGTATACTTTACTTTTTCATCTTTTGTCTAAACTTCAGACATAACTGCTTGGACTAACTGTTGTTCAGACAGGCACAGACACATTATCAGCCTCTTAAAGAATGTTGTTTCTTTACCTTATGATGCTTTAACAAGTTGAACAAAATGTTATTATCCATGAATTTTCAAATTTACGGTTTTACAAAAAAATAAAGCACATTGTTTTTTGATTAAGATGTCAAATTACGGTTATTTACTTGCATTCCTGAACAGAAATTAGTTTAGTGGTTGAATGTTACGCTTAATTTCTGACTTCTCAGAGAAGCCCAGTGAGTCGGCTCAAATTTGGGTATAAGAAGTGAATTAAGCTTGAAATTCCTCATTCCTGTTCAAAATCGTGAAATGTCAAGAGCTGCGTGCGCATTAAAGCCCCTCATGATGCTGATGGTCTATGGGCTTGGGCCCCTCGAAAAGGTCTGGACTGTGACATGAGCAGAAAAAATAAAAGTTCAGTTATATAAATTTGTATCTAGACATCTCAAAAAATACTAAAAAAACAAAACCACTGACCTTTGTGAATTAAATGGTAGTTATAAAGGTAAATGTAGTGGGAACAGGTAAAATGTTTGCTTTTAAGATGTCCGTCGTTATCTATACCTCTAATCCTCACCATCACAGGGCTACACTTGGACAACCAAGCACTCACATTCACATCCTCGGACAATTCAGAATCACCAAAGAACATGCAAAGATCCCAGGCACCCTAACCAGGGATCTTCTAGTGTCAAGGCAACAGTGCTAACCACTGAGCCTGAGACGTGTAATCAACAAAACCACACTGACGGTCTAAATGATAGTCTAGTAAATCTTTCTGATCAGTCGCTGCAGTTTGTCAGTTTTAGACCCATTGTCATGTTAACACACTTTGACATGCTGTTGTCTGTTTAAGAAAGTACTGTTTCCTCATGTGAACAGTCCTCACATCCTAGTGTAGTTGCAACTGTCAGGTTTGTTTGCTGAAAACAAACAGAGCAAATATCAGCACACTTTATCCAGCAGCACAACCAGCTTGCTAAAGCTGGAGGTTCTGAAAGCGAATACACAGTAATGAGTGACAAACCTGGGGATCACAAACCATTTAGGAATTAGTCACAAGATGCTTTTCTTTTATAAAAAAAAAGGTTTATTTTACATAAACTTTACAAAGCGGTGCCACAAATGTAATTTTACAGTGTAAACCAAAGCACTAAGGCTCTCTGCTACACCTGGAACATGAACTACTTCCTGTAGAACACAATCACCTCAAACACTTTAACTTGTCACAGTGAGGAGATCAACTGTGGTTTTGTCTGTCAGCATCCATTTAAAGTAAATTTAGTTCCAACGGTTTCCTACTGGGACATGTTAAAATGTCCTCCATTAATGATGCCCACACAGGCCCTGAGGTTTTAAATACCTTCTTACCTCAACTAGACCTCATAAATATAGCAAACACTAAAAGTCACTGTTAAAGGATAAAACCAAGCCGTCGCTTAAACATGCAAAAACACAGAACTGCAGGTGACGACGACATCAAAAAATCCTTTGAAATACTTAAAAATGGACGACAAACAGCAGTTAAAGCTTGCTCAGGTTAAAATATGAAGTCCCGTGACACGTAGAGCTGTGAGTTAGTCCTGCTCTCCTGAGGGTCCGGCTTGTTCCTGGTCTGATGTGTGTTCATCCTCTGCATCACTCTGACTGTAATCGGCCTCCTCTTCGAGTCTCTGATCTGCCTCTTCACCGTCGTCGTCTTCATGTTCATCATCCTCATTCCCTCCCATGTCAAGGGCAAGCTCCTGCAGCTCCTCCAGATTGTCTGGACCCTTCCCAGTCAGCCTCTAGAAAGACAACACACCTCAAATTTACATCAAGGGACAGCCCTCACTGTGCTCTAGTACACACCTATCTGGACTTATGGCATTAACTGAGGGTTAGAGAGTCTGCAAATACAAACACCAAGACTTGAATGAAAACCAGATTTTCTGCTACAAAGGAAAAGAGTGAGATTACAATCTAGTTATTGTGCAAACTAAATGTCACAGTGAGCACAAGAGTCGTAATCAGAGATGCAACACTTGCTGCAGGCAGAGGTCATGTGTTCTGCAAGTTCTGCAAGCGGTTGATACTTTTACTGTGTCACTGGGAATTCACTCATGGATAAGAAGCTTGTTTTAGATTAACTGCGCCCTGCCTGGAAAGCAGACAGGCAGCAGAGCCAAAAAGCAGCAGTACAGTCTGACAGCTTCCAGCAGCCGTCGGTCTGTACAGGAAGCAACAAACAGTCATCGTCTGCTAGATCCAGTTCTGATTTAATAACATGTTATCAGACCCAGTAATGAGTTTGCACTCTGCCTCCTCGACTTAGTTAGGACAGGGTAGCCTATTAAAAGTCTATACAGACTGTCTGACCCATGATCATGGTGAAACCTTTATTTCACACAGATACAATAAAAAGAAATACAAGACAAAAGCTTTCCATTACAGATAAACTGTCAGCGCTTCACATGTGTACAGATATTTTAAGAGTCCTCACATCCCACTCTAGACGTTTGTGTTAAATATGTCAAAATGGGTTAGTCCAATGCTAATATACATTTTGTGATGTGTAGTCTGAATCCATTTAGCTGCTGATAGACATCCCATCAACCACACAACCTGGAGTCAGTTAACAGAATAAGCTGATAAATTAGACCAGCTGACTGCGTTTACGTGATGAGATCAAGTCAACCCAATATAAACAGACGTGCATCGTGCAGTGAGTGCTGCTGATCAGTTCTGCTCCGGCTGTGCTCATCTTAAACAAGTCCACTGAGAACTTCAGTGAAGTGTGGATTCTGCTCTATACTCATAGTAATAAAAGGCAGACAGGAGAGAACAATCTCCCCACAACCCAGGTTTTAAGAATCATCTCTAGTCTCCAACCATCATTACAACCCAAAACATTTCTTTGGAATACAAAATTTTCTTCCTGATTGGTCAATATAATTGGCTACCAATATTCCGCACGCCTCAAATTCTAACACCAGTTTGCCTACCTCGATCATATCAGCCATGTACTGCACGTGCTGTGCCAGCTCCTCCAGCTCTTCGTTTTCACTCTGAAGCTTTGATATCTGTTCATCTTTGGCCTCAATGTCTTTGTGTAACTGTTTTTTTTTTAAAGAAAAGAAAAACACAAATTAAGCAAGATTGACCAAACACTTGAAACTGCAAGTTTATTACAACCATGACAATGAAACCTCAAAACAAACTACTTGAATATAATTCATCCAACACTAGCCAACTAAGTATTATTTCAATTATTTGTGTATAAAAATTAGGTTTATAATTAGAGGATTGGCACCATCCATTGCTTTTAAAGTTGAATAAACCGATTTCAATCATTTAAGTGCAGAGTTGCATAAAAATTCACGCCAGCCGGACTGGAGCCAGATGAGGTTGAGTCAGCGAGTGGGAGCGTGGGAACAGTTCAACCAACAGCTAAACATTAGCAGACTCTCAGTGATTAACTTACCTTCTCGTTCTCCTGTAGAACATTGTACAAGGCCTTCCGTCGCTCCTCGGCGAGCTCTTTCCAGTAAGCAGGAGGAGGTGTTTCTACAACGGCACCAGAAGTTCAAGATAAAACTGAGTCGTTTGCGTAGATAAATCTGCCACCAGGCAGGACATAGAGTACGGAAGCATATTTACCTTTGACCATAAGTTCATATGCTTCATGGGACACACCATCTGGTAAACAGTCAGCGACTTCCGTTTGAGTGGATTTGACTTCTACCTTCACTCTCTTTGGACCTCTTGTTTGTTCTGCTGCCCAATTTTTCCGCTTGTGATGGATCTTTTCTGCCTAAAAGAAAATCCATTTGCTTAGAAGCCAGCTTGTTTCCAAACAGGCTGCTACAGACCATTTATTCCATCCCATGAACATCTAGAACAAGTTTCATTCCATGGACAAAAAAACAAACTCAAGCCACAACTTACCTGAGCTGACCTCCCCAAACCTTTGTTGACAGCCGACTGTTGGAGGACCTGCAGGGTTTGCCTTGGGGGTCCCATTGTCTTTTGAGATGGTGTGAAAAAGCTCTGCAAGGAATTAAAAATACATGTTAGCCTGTTACCTTATATCTACGCATGACAATTTGGCAGAAACTAGAAGGTCAAACAAAACAAAAGGGTGAGAGCCTTTCCCCCTCTCAGATGAGTCTTAAGAAACTCAAGATTTGAGTCACATGGGAACCTAACATGACCTGCGTTCTCATTTTCACAGCCTCTATTCAGTGGGGCTTAGCATCACGTCACACTTTACTTTAGTTACACCGTCACCATGGGAGAGGGCAGAAGTGAAGTGCCTCAACACTGCTGCCATGTGCAACAGGCCCACATTTGTGCTAACAGGGCCTGGGCACAAGCTCTTTTCAACGGCCGTGGGAAAGTTTCTCTTCAAGGCTCATTACAGAGCAACCAACAAGCCCAGTTTGTTAATGTTTTGCCAGAGCTTCACAACACGGTTAGTGTGTTTTAGGCCTATAAAAAGGTGACCTTTTGGTGATTGTACTGTGGGGGAGCCTGTAAGTACTTGAGGAACAGCCCTGTAGAGGACAAAACTTTGTCTAGATGGCAAAAGGCATTTAACACCACAACACTAGTCCAGCTAAAATAATGGGCTTAATGTCTGAAGACTAGAACTTCATTTTCATGTGATAACGCAATTAAACAATCTCATCACTCAGCACAACAGAGCATAGTCTCCACCCAGTGCTTGACCTTTGATCTGCTCCCAAAGGTGTTTTTTCAGTAGACATTTTGACTCAAGATCATATGAAAAGCACAGGTGAAGATACATTAATGTTTGCTATCAGTGAGCTACCATGTACACTACCATGACCCTGAAGCAGCAAAATAGATTTAGCCATCATTAATTGCTTCATTTTATTTATCAACTACAATTTTTCATCAGTAACATATCAAACTGTTTGCCCTGAAACACAAAACTATTTGTAGTGTTTGAAATTTAAATTAAAGCAATTCACTGTTCCAGCATTAAAATATGCAATCTATGTTCTTCAACCTATAGATACACACATTTGAAACAAACTCTTTATAGTAAATCATGGGCACTGTGTATTTCCTGAAAGAAAAGGCCAATAAACATTCACGTAAACTACACAAACCACTGTACAGTTAAACCAACCCCATCTTATTTTTAACAAGTTATGAGTAAATAAAACCGACATTAATGGTTAATTTCGTGTCAAAATGGCTGACGTGGTCAAACCAGCCACACAAACAATAGCAAGACAAGCAGAGTAAAGGCATTTGTGTGCCAATCAGGCCTAAACGGATAAGTTACACTACATTTGATTAACTCATGGCAGGGACACGAGTTTCAAACCGAAGATCAGTTAAATACTCACCTTTGTGTTCTCATCAGACTTCTGCTGGCTCCGATTTACTTTTCCAATGAGACTCATTTTCTTTCAAGATACCTGAGGAGGAAATAATTAACACAACGTCAGGACACACTGTTGCGACACACATTTAAGAAAATAGACAAAATATGCCAGTTTAGTCAGCAGTTAATTGCACGGGGACGACATATTTGAAACGAAGTCGGTATATGTATGGTTTTATTCGACTGAAAAGGCGTTTAACAGCAAAAGTGTCGACAAATGTGTGTGAAGAGTGGCGGTAAAAGGCCCAAGTACGACTGCGAACATTGGAAACATAAGCTAATTTCCGAGGCTACGTTTACAGTTAGCTTAATGCTAGCTAATGCTAAGGGAGCAGCAACTGTGAGGATAATTTAATCAACATTAAAGCAGATAAAAGTTATCTCGACTCACCGCGGGTTCAGTTTCACCTCGTTCCTGTTTCTGCCTTTTTTCTCTCTGCGGAATCTCGCGCCAGGGGCTTAAATACGCCCACTTGGTCACGTGACGAAGGCGCCGCTCACGAGGAGGCTTTTTTTTTCTTGTGTTTTTTTCCTCCTCGTGCGGTCACATGTCAACACACGTCACAGCGTTGTAGTTGACTGTGCAGCCATTTTGGGGAGGCTGTGGACCGTCGAGCTCGTATGTGCCATTATTAGCTGCCCGAAAACACACAAAGAAACCAAACGGAACAACGTTGGACGACACGTCGTTAAATATGGGCCCGCCGGGAGACAGAACACGCCACATGTCGACTGAAAGAACGGAGGATTTCAGCTGGATTGTCGATTTATCTTGACATGGCATGCGGCAGGGCGAGCCGGAGGTTGTGACGACTGAAGAAAAAGAAGAGAAAGAAAACAAGCGCAGCGAACACCTCGAAACTTCAGACGCGGAAAGGGGGAGATTTTGTTTAGTTAATTTCGCCATTCAGCGTTTGTCGTTGGTTGGCTATCGATTCCCTGGCTGATTTTTTGTCGATGAAGTTGTTGACAAGACACGACTGAAGCGAATTCTATCTAGCTAAAATGCTGAGCACAAGCAGAAACAGTTAGTCAGTGAACCCTGCAAGTCTCCTGACTCTCACAGCACTGGCAGTCACGTTGAACCCAGCGAGAAAATGTAAACGCGTGGAAAGATGACTGTACGCTAGCTAGCCGACCACACATAGGCCTCGATTAAGCCAATCATTCAGAAGATAAGATGTAGCTATATCGTTGGTTCACTACTAGTTAGTGTCGGAAGTGAATGCCTAGATTAGCTTGCTAGCTCACCTTAGCTAGTGTGCTAAAAATACGCCCACATCATGACTATCAGCACTGGCGGCGCTGCAGGCCTTGGGCCAAATGAGTGGCAGTAAAAGTCAAGGAAATGTCAAGTTACTTTCGCAGTAGTCTTCGATGTTACCCGGTGCCAATATCTCCTGGCATCTGTATTTACCTGCCATGTTCGTCTGTATCCCCAGTCCGTCTGTAACACGCACATAACGCAGTCTCTACAGAGAAACAAACACAAAACGACAGCCATGGATGAGGGACTTTGAAATGACCCAAATAATAGAATATTTGTCCGCTTGCTGTAGTCCACAATCTCACTAGCAAAAAAAAGTAAATTAAATAAAATTATTACCGGTATGGGTTTTTGTAGTAGCAGCCGTTTCTATTGATTTCAGTAACATTTACAGAAGAAAAATTTGAGTTGCTGTTTCATTTAAATCTCTGTTGTTAATCCCTTGTCGATGGCAGGTTGAAAAAAGAAAAAAAGAAGCTCATTTGGCTTGAAAGTCATGTCTTAAAACATGGATTTCTGATCAAGTATCAAGGAGATGTAGTCTTAGCTTGTTGACCATTCCCCTCCTCAACACTGCCCTTTTACAAAAAAAAAATAATAATAATTTGAAATGACTTAGTTTTGTTTCTGATTTGTTGACCTTTTTCAGTTCGTAGTATTTCGAAGATCTAGCTGAGAGTTTTGATGCGTTGTTTCTGCAAAGGGTAGCTAGCTCCATCCTTTATCCAGCGTATAAATACAGAAGTAGAGAGTGTAGCCAAAATATACTGCACAAGAGGAGAAGACACTACCATCAAAATCTAACCATGGGGGACCCGACTTCACGAAGAAATCAAACAAGAAATCGACTTCGAGCTCAACTTCGGAAGAAAAGGGAATCTTTGGCTGATCAGTTTGACTTCAAGATTTATATAGCCTTCGTTTTCAAAGAAAAGGTCAGTGGGCACAACACACACAAATGTACATCCCACTTGTTGCATCCTTTCATGTGATTTTTTAAAAAATTGCATTCATTCATTTAGAAGAGTCTCCCAAAAACAAAGACTTAAAATGTGTTTTTCATTTTTGGTCATTCCAGAAGAAGAAGTCTGCACTTTTTGAGGTAGCTGAAGTGGTGCCAGTGATGACCAACAACTATGAAGAAAACATCTTACGAGGTGTGCGCGATTCCAGCTACTCTCTCGAGAGTTCGATAGAACTCCTGCAAAAAGATGTGGTGCAACTACACGCCCCCCGATACCAGTCAATGCGAAGGGTGAGACAGTGAAACCATCAGAGGAGGGGATGGACTGAAGAAGAATGGAACATGAAGTCATATTAATGTGTTGTCCTTTCTTTCTCATGTCATCACAGGATGTGATAGGCTGCACACAGGAAATGGATTTTATCCTTTGGCCACGCAACGATATTGAGAAGATTGTCTGCCTGCTGTTCTCCAGATGGAAGGGGGCCGATGATGAACCCTTTAGGCCTGTTCAGGTCAGAACTGGGCACTTATCAGATTACTCAGGTGTAAATGTTTGGTGCTTGTTGTCATTTTGATCCAGATGTGACTCTTTCTCCATGTATTTGTATGCATAGATTAAAGGGAGGGGGCACTATGGCTAAAACAAACTCTAAAACCAGGTTTGAACATGTTTGAGATCACAGAGGAGCAAAAATAACAAAACAACTGCAAGCTGGGCTGCCATATTTGTTTTTAAATATAGTTTCTTCACCAAAGTTACTTTTGCACGTATGTGAAAAGGTGTTGACAAATGACACACTGAGCAAATACAAAAAATAGTGGAATGTAATGTCAAGGCCAACTCTGGATGTAAGAAAATCTAGTTCTTGGCTCACCAGCCTGTCCTCGTATTTACAGGCCAAGTTTGAATTTCATCATGGAGACTATGAGAAGCAGTGCTTGCATGCTTTGGGTCGTAAAGACAAGGCTGGAATGGTCATGAACAACCCAACTCAGTCTGTATTTCTCTTCATGGATAGACAACACTTACAGGTAAGTCACTCCATTGACGTTTTAATGTAATCGTTCTGGAAACCAGACAGCCGACTAACAATAATTTTCTCTGTCCAACTCTGGCAGACTCCTAAAACCAAGGCCACAGTTTTCAAGTTGTGCAGCCTCTGCCTGTACTTACCCCAGGACCAGCTGACCTGCTGGGGTGTGGGAGACATCGAGGATCACCTTCGCCCATACATGCCTGATTAAGGCTTCTTGCTCCACCCAGCCACACAGGGAAAAGCCTTTCCCCTTCCTCCTGCCTAAGCCTTCAGAAGCAAATTGATGTACTCATCCTCACCCTTTCCCCTTTAAAAGATTTGAACTTATGCTTGGATCTCCTTTTTGTTCCCTACTTGTTCTCCCCTCCCTGATCTGAAGCTGATTCAGTTCCCATCCTTGTTTTTTTTTTTTTTCCCCTCACACTCCCAGTGTCCCCCCTCCTCCCCCCTCTTCTCTCTGCCATTTTTGGATTGGTTCCCCCTTTTTTTAATTTTACTTCCTCTTCATCCCTCCTCCTCCTCATCCACCCATTTTTGTTCATTTGAACCTGCACGAACATTGATTTTGAGTGGTTGGTTGTTCTCTTGGAGCCGCACTGTCAACAGCACCGGTCATTGAAGGAACTCTTTATGTTGCATCAAAACAGGAAACAAACAATACACAGGTCTTCACGGTGGTTCTCAGATGGACGTGTTTTATATCCTTGTTGTCATAAGAAAGGATTGTTAAAGCTTGTTTGTAATGTCAATGGGGTTTCTAGAACAACTTTACACAATCTCTTGACCAAGGACAGGTGTGAACAGGTGTTAAAACACCCGTATAAGCAAAGATAACAAGATGAACAGTATTTGTCAAATCATATGGTGTAGGTATTGCTTCTTATAAACCGCCTTAGTTATTTTGCTGGACTTTTAAAGATGTTTTGGTGTCATTTGCTTTTCCTCTGAAACATGCTAGGCAGGCCTTTGCTAAAATCTTGAGTGACTTGAAAGGCATTGTACACAAAGTTGAGACATGTTGGTTAGATGTTGAAGGTAATTTTCACCGTTCAAGCCGTTCATGCACTATTCATTTAAGCTACTGAAATCTGATGTTTTATGTTCTGTTTTATTTGGGATGTGGGTTGGTGAGAAACTGAAATGGTGACAGATTTAATGTTTAACATACCTAACAAAAGTTGCTGAAAGCTAACTGATTTTTATTTTTTTTTTTGTTTAATTTGACCTACTAAAATTTAAGATAATTTGCTGCCATGCTCATCAAATTAAAATTGGGTTTCGCAAGCTCGCTTGTCAAAGAATATGAAGCACATAGTACATATAATTTTGCTCCTTGTTGATTCAGTGTGTTCAGTTGAAAAGGGTGTAAGGCGTGTAACTTCTGGGTTTTTTTCTGTTGGTTCTCAAATCAATACTGCTGAGCATATCCCAATACAGTGCAAATTCTGAAAGCATAACTCTTTGTCCATTTGTTTTATTGCACGTGCATGAATCATTGATACATTAGTTAGATCAGGATCAACTCTGACCGTACTATAACTAGCTGTTCTGCAACTGCTCATGACAAATGTGTAACAGCTGAAACAACACAGATTATTGAGTAACCAGGACTGAGTAGTCGTACAGAGTTGTGGAACCCACCTCTTACATTTTTTTAAAAACATAATATGTGGTTTTGCAAACTATGTACAGACAGAGGCATGTTTACAGCTTCTTCAGAGTCTTTTGTTCTGACATTACAGATATACACTTGTGGTTTACAGCCAGGCACAGAGACGAGACAGATTAGCTGCCACCGAGGTGTTTGGTGTGTCTTCCTTGTGCAATGACCTTCCCCGTGGCCTTGCTGGTGAGGTCTACGGTGGCAAACGCCAGTGTCCGCCCTTGCTTCAGGACCTGTGCGGTGATGAGTACGTCTTCTCCTAACTTGGCAGCACTCATGTACCTGTAAGACATTTTTGTTTTTCAGGTCACTTGTAGTTTGTCGACTCAATTTTTAATCTGAGTGGATGCCGAAGGTCAAGGTTGGTGTCGGTGGTGAGGAAAGGGAACATGGTGTGAACTTAAATTCGTTCTATTTTAAGATAAGGCAGCACTAGACGTATAAAGAGTGGTATTTTATATGCTAAATGAAGTGGTGTTAGAGCCACTGTGATCACAAGTGGCCAGTTTTAGATCAACAAAAAATGAATCTACAGAAAATGGCTGCACAGTTAATGAGCAAATTAGGTTTGAAAATAGAAATATGAAGGACAGTTTCTTTGTAGCTCCAGGTATGCATAAAATGCAAGCTGCAGAGTATTATTAAAATCTTAAACCTTAATGATACTAGATTTATGATTTTTATTTTTTTTTTAAACATGGTATAAAATTTAAAGGAGTAATTGGGGGGGAGGGTAGAAAACATGACTGCAGTTATATCTGCTTATGGATGCATCGAGTCTCAGGCCCTTGCTTTAACAATCTGTAAAGGGTCATTAAACACAATTAAGGACAGACTGATATAAATGACTTTATGAACTACAGCTGCACAGCAATCTTTGTTTTAATATGTTCATATGAGAAGTAGACGTCAATCTACATTTCACTGGTAAATCTACAGGTGGTGTCAAGGTTTTAGGGAGCAGTTGCTGATAAAACTGAGCATTTCAGGGTTTACACTCTTCATGGACTCACGTTATGTTCATATCCACACTGACCCCCGGCGCTCCCCTCTCACTGTTCATGATCGCCAAGGTAGAGATGACATCGACCAAGGTGGCTGTCAGGCCGCCGTGCAGCGTCCCTCCCCGGTTAGTGTGCTCCTCTTCTACCTGCATCTCACACACTACCTTACCGGGACTGGCAGACAAAACGTCCACCTGAAGAAACCACCAAACTGTTAGTGACAACACAGCAAAGCGCAAAGTAACTTGGCTTGAGTTGTGTTTAAAAGCTCGAGCAGAGTTACACTGTGCTCACATTCACACGAATAAATGTTAAAGCGAACAAGTAAACGTGGCAGAATGCGTGTGTTTACCTTACTCAGGACTCTGTCAAAGCCCCGGTTATCCACCATTGTTTTCATTATTTGTTTTAAGGTATTTAAAGTCAAAGCAGCCATGTTTGCCGCTAATAAATGAAGCCAATGTCAAACTTATGTTTATTTCACACCGGAAGTTGTTGCGTTAGATAAATCGTCCGGGCGAAATTTAAACTGTTAGCTAGGGGGCGTTTCGACTAAACCTGTCATTCAAAGTCTAAACAGCATTGCCGTAATGCCAATAATTATTAGTAACGGTATATTTAACCTGGGTGTCATTTTTAATTATCTCTTTTAACTATGCAAAGTACAGTCCAATGCGGTGAGGTTAACGTTTGATTCCCAGACTCCGGAGTAAATAATGCGGGGACGTTTTATGCAATTATATTTTTCCGTCTACTTCATTTTAAATCTAACATTATCCTTACATGAACATGATTCCCTATCCACGTGTCTCTGCCTACTTTAGAATTAATTTCAATCCTGCTAAGCGGCTCGTGAGCAGATTCACCCGGAGGTTTTTCACTGTGACACCTGAGCTAACTTGCGGAGATAAACAAACATGAGGTTTGCTTTTACCTGTTATCATTTTGTATAATTGTCTAAGAGAAAATACTGGCCAGAAATCATGGCGTCCACATCCGACTCGGACAAACCGTCAGTTTCTAATGTGGAAGAAAACAGAACTCGTCTTTGCGAGGAATTTGCGGTGATAGCGGGAACTGACGGCGCCGTGGCTCAGTGCTACCTGGCTGAGAACGACTGGGAGATGGAGGTACAGTTAGCTCCACCAGCTCAGGCCTCACACATCTAATATTAGTTTGTTGAATTACTGTTGTAGCTTGAGACAGAATGTGAACGCTGCTGGCCGATATGTGCAATCTTTAATTCCAGTTTAAAGCAGCTGTGGGTTATTTCACTGATTCGGGTTGCCTCTGTGGCTAAAAAAAAAAAAAAAGCTAAATCTTTATACATCTGCTGCACATGTAATTAGTTAGTTAAACAAATGCATAACTCTCCTGTCACTTTTCTTTCAGAGAGCTTTGAACTCTTTCTTTGAGGCAGACATGGAGAGAGTATTTGAAGTAGAAGACACACCAGAGACAGACATCAGTCCCAAAGTTAAGAGGCAGAAGGTTGAGCAGAAACCTCCAGGAGAATGGTAAGGCTGCTGTCTTGTTTTAAGATAAAGGAGCTCATCACATATCTATTAAATCTGCACATCTATTTCATATCTACAGGTGTGTAGGAGAAGAGATAAGCATATCCACAAGTTTCCAACACCACCCACACACTGTCTAACTTGCAAATTTATTTGTGACATTTCAGTGGGAGACCTTCATCACAACATAAAGGCAGCCATCTTAAATCGGGAGAGTGTGACTCAGCAACCAAAGGCACGAGTTCCACTGCATGGTGAGATGAATTAACAGACAGAAAGTTACTCTCTGTATACTCAACATCACAACTTATTTACATTAAATGGGAAAAATAATATGATGTGAAGGCTTAAAACCCCTGGAGGATAAACCATATTCTTATAAACCACCCATCCATTATCTTGCATGTTCTCCCCGTGCAGTGTGGGTTCTCTCCAGATTCTCTGCCTTCCTCCCACACAGCCCAAAAACATGTTGAGGTTAATTGGTGATTCTAGATTGTCCGTAGGTGTGAATGTGAGTGTGCTTGGTTGTCTGTCTCTAAGTGTAGCCCTGTGATAGACTGGTGACCTGTCCAGGTGTCCCCTGCCTTCACCCTGAGTCAGCTGGGATAGACTCCTCACCCTAGTGAGGATTAAGCGGTGTATAGATGATGGATGGATGGTGAGAATTGTCCATCTCACCAACTAGCCAGCCTTTCACTACTCGATATTAAGTTTGCCTCTTCATCATTTCCAGCATAGATTTGACTGGCGACAGTCCGGCCACCACACAGAAACCCTCAGAAGAAGATGACGGTAAACTGTCGCTGATCTCCTGGAACGTGGACGGACTCGATACCGACAACCTTGGAGAGCGTGCCAGAGGCCTTTGTTCCTACTTAGTCTTGTAAGCACATCTTACACTTTGTACACCTTTTTGTGAGCATCATTTGATATTTAATCTGAGGACGGGTTCAGAGCAGACCTCTGGAGATTGAATATTTAGATCAAGGGTGCACATATATCTGACTGGAAAAAGGCAGATACTATTTGTAAACTATTTCTTCTTTTCATATAGATATACTCCTGATGTGGTGTTCCTGCAGGAGCTCATTCCGCCATACGTCCAGTACTTGAAGAAACGTGCTGTCAGCTACCACATCATTGAAGGTACAGTATGTTTAGTAGGCTTTTGACATGCCACAGTAGGAGAAGCATAGGTGTACACAGTAAAATGATGGCTACTGAATTCTATTTATTTGAATAGAATCAGTGATGCCTGTGTGTTCTCTTTTTGTGACTACTGTCTTTGTTGATGTATACTCTGTTGTGCTAAAACCAGAGTCCCCACCGTTGTATTACACAGAATATCTGCACAAAAACTGTAGGTGAGCTCAGTATTGTCGGCCTCATGTACAGCCCATATATTTATCTGTAATTCTGGAAGGAACACTTTTGCAATAATATGAAATAAAAAAAAAAAAAAACAATAAGCATGCTGTGGCTCGGGTAGCCATGACAACAGAACCACTGGTTAAAAATTACCGTCATCTAACTTTTGCTGATCAGGTGGTGAAGATGCTTACTTCACGGGGATGATGCTAAAAAAGTCTCGTGTCAAATTCGTGGAGAGCGAGATAGTGACGTACCCGACCACTCAGATGATGAGGAACCTGCTCGTTGCTCAGGTTTGTGCACCATCACCTGTGTGTAACGTACATAAGCTCACCTGAACCAGATACAGAGGTGCATTCTCCTCTGTTAACATCAGGTGACTTTCAAAGACCAGAAGCTGTGTCTGATGACGTCCCACCTCGAGAGCTGTAAAGGCCACGCAGAGGAGCGGATGAAGCAGCTGCGGGTGGCGATGCAGAGGATGAAAGAGGCGCCCGATGACGTCACCGTCCTGTTTGGAGGGGACACCAACCTGAGGGACTCTGAGGTCAGTCGCTCATCTTTCCAGCCAGATGCAGGCAGTAGATGTCTCCAGACACCTAACTATAGTTTGTACCTCTGGGTTTCCTCTCAGGTGGCCAAGGTGGGCCTGCCCTCCAGCGTCTGTGATGTGTGGGAGCGGCTGGGCAAGCAGGAGCACTGCCGCTACACCTGGGATACCAAAGCCAACAGCAACAAGACTGTTCCCTTCGTCAGTCGCTGTCGCTTCGACCGCGTCTACCTCCGTCCGGCTGCAAAGGATGGAGTCCCACGTCTGGCTCCCGATCACATGGCTTTAGTGGGGCTGGAGAAGCTGGACTGTGGCCGCTACACCAGCGATCACTGGGGAATCTACTGTAGCTTCTCTGCTGGCTAGAAATGCAAAAAGCGACCAGCAGCATGCCTGTTAGATATTTAGATTTACATCTGCTGGTGTTGGTTGATTTGCATTGCCAGTGCAGGACTGGTCAGACCACAGTAACACTTTCTCAGTGGAAGAAGAAGAAGATGTTGTAACCACATCTGAAGCTGGTTGCCTGGAAATGAGATGCCTTGATTTGATGAGTTTTATCCTCTTATGTGTCTTTTGTTTAAGAGTTTTCTTCTGCAGGTAAAATGGCTAATTAAAATGTAAAAAGCACCAATAAATGAGTTTTCATTGTTCTGAAATGTATTTTATAGTTAAGTTTGAACGTTAATTTTTGACCACAGGAACGGCAGTTGACAACAATATTGCTACGGCATCAATGAGCAGCTGTTCATAGAGCTTTCGGTCTGGGAGCTGTTGATACTCAATTTTTTTTAGCATTGCTGCACTTTCCCCTGTGATAGACTGGTGACCTGTCCAGGGTGTCCCCTGCCTTCACCCTGAGTCAGCTGGGATAGACTCCAGCCCCCCTGCGACCCTGGTGAGGATTAAGCGGTGTATAGATAATGGATGGATTGATGCTGTGATGCTGCATTTTCAAAACTTCTTGTCCATGGTGGCCTAAAAAAATGTTGACTGAAGAAATTGCTATTGAATTTTGAAACGTTAGGATGCTGTTCTGTAATTTTTTTTGTTCTAGATATTTAAATAAAGTCACCTGCTGAGGGAGGCTTCAGTCACATTAGAATGAAGGTGTGTGGGTCGCTGCTATAGCTCACCTGGTTGAGCTGGTGTCCCATGTGCAGGGCTACAGTCCCGATGTGGAGGTCATGAGTTTGAATCCCACTCATGGCCCTTTCCCACACGTCCTCCCCCCATTCTTCTCCCCCACTTTCCTGTCTCTGTCACTGCACTATCCAATAAAGGCACGAAGGCCAAAAAAAAAATGAAAGTGTCTGGTGGAAACAACTTCATTACCCATCCATCCATTATCTATATGCCGCTTAATCCTCACTAGGGTCGTGGGAGGCTGGAGTCTATCCCAGCTGACTCAGGGTAAAGGCAGGAGACACCCTGGACAGGTCACCAGTCTATTACAGGGCTACACTTAGAGACAGACAACCAAGCACAACAACTTCATTAAATTCAACTACACTGGATTATACTAGAGTATATTTTTCACTGTAATGTAGTGGAGTTTGCATGTTCCTCCTGTGCAGCGTGGGTTCTCCGGCCTCCTCCTGCAGTCCAAAAACATGCTGAGGTTAATTGGAGATTCAACATTGTCCATTTCCATCCTGTCTGTCTATGTGGCTCTGTGATGTACTGGTGTCCCCTGCCTTTGCCCTGAGTCAGCTGCGACCCTAGTGAGGATAAAGTGGTGTATATATAATGGATGGACGTTAGATACCCCATATAGGCCACACTGTGGGTGTAATTGTTGCATGTGACCACTAGAGGGCAGTCCAGAGTTGAATTTGAAATTGGTGAATGTCTTGAATTCAGTATTTAAAATCTCAAGGCTCAATCCCAGTATTATAATGACCCCAACGTTAAATGTTGTGCTGACCGCTACACAGTTTAAGCTGTTGGTCCATTAACTAAGATGGGGAAACAGCTGGAGGAAAGTAAAAAAAAAAACTAAACATAAAATCAGAGTGAGTATGACCACTGACAGATGTTTCCTGAGCTCCAATATGCTGATATTTTCCAATTTCTCATGATTTAAACATGTGCACATATTTGTCCTTTTTCCAGGGAACAGTGGGATCAACACTGTTGCTGCTGTTTTTGTCAGGACGGTTCACTGGCCGGTGCAGACAGAAAACACAATGCCTTTCAAAAAAAACCATTTAGTTGGCAAATAGGAAAACTATGTCGACATTCAACCTACTTATTTTTATATCTGTATGTTTGTATTTTCATGTCATCTGTGACCAATCATGATTTTAAAGCCTTTATCAGCCGATACTAGTTATTTTTCCCTCTTCATTGCAACCAACATCCAGACTGATGATGCTGTTGTGATTTACCCTCTGACATAAATGTATTTTGTTGTGTGTGTGGTGATACATGCCTGTGTGCACGTTAAAATCAAGCACAGCCCTTAAAATTTCCCTGCTATGTAATGTTTATTATCTGTTGTGAAAAAGAGAACAATCTTTTCTGTAATAATTTAACACAGAACCTACCAGTTACATTTCAGCTGCCTTCGTGCTTCAGTTCTTCCTCCTCAGAGTGTCAACACACCGGCTGCCTCCCTTCTCTCTGTAACACACCCTTCAGACCTGAGAGTGTGTTTTCGTGTTTGTTCGGCGAGCAGACAGCAGCGTTGTTGTTTTGTTTTTTGCACCACAGTGAAGAAGATCTGACCTTAGGAGAGGACACAGATGTGACTCTTCCCTGGGAGCAGCCTCATCAGAACAGGCCTCCCTCCCTCGTTTGTCCCCCCCGATTCCTGGTTCCTGATCAGCAAGGACACCGAATCTGTCCGGCTCTGCTGAGTCCATCTAAAGCCTGGAACACCTCAGGAGTGAGCACCTCTAGTGTGGCGTAATGATCGATGTGGATGTTTGTCCTGCTAGTTCTGCTAATTGAAAGAACTAATCCTGGATTTACCTGCTAATAGTTTACATCCAGTTTTAATTTGCTTCTTCCACACCGATAGTTCATTTAATCCTCATCTTCTTGAACCACTAAAAACATATTTATCACGGTTTTATCGGCTTGATACCTCATTATCTTTACTAATTATATGAACATGATCATGAACTCACTTCTCACACATACTTCAAATGTCTGGATATGATCTTGACAGAACTTTTTACACAAAACTACCATCTAAAATCTAAAACTAAAAATCTCAGTGAATACATCTTTAAGGCAAACAAAATGAATTAGTTCTTTTTAAAAATACACTTTATAGTTTACTAATTTAGGGTCATGGTTTTAGGTACATTTATGTACTCCATCATATGTCATTATTTTTCTACATATTTGATTTATTTTGGTCATGAGGGGGAAGAAATTACATTTTTCATGAATGATTTTGGAATTATGATTCTAATTTTGACTCAGCAGTATGCTCTATGGCAGTGGTTCTCAAACTGGGGGTCGGGACCCCCATGGGGGTCCCAAGATAATTTCAGGGGGGTCGCCAAATCATTATAGAAAATAAATAAATAAATAAAGCCTACAATTATCAAATAAATTTGTATTAGGGCTGTCAAAATAAAAAGTGTATACTTCTTCCCACTCCTTTTTTGGACTTGTTAATATTACGATTTGATTACGATATTATTATTCTTTTTTTGCTCTTTTTAATGCTCTTTTTAATAAATATTTTCTTTTTTGTTCGAAATAAATTCAAATCATTTATTCATTCAAAAGAAAATCAACATGTTAATGTAAAGAGATTAATCTGTGGAATTAACACATTATTTTTAACGCATTAATGCATGAACAACAAAGTTATTGCTCATGAGATATTAAAAATTCAAACTGGGGGGTCACGAACACAAACTTATGTTATCTTGGGGGTCGTGGCTCAAAAAGTTTGAGAACCGCTGGTCTATGGGATCCAAAGCAATGGTAAGATAACAAATTAATAAATGAGTTTACAGTCAATAATTAAGGATTCATTAAGCTTCAATATAAATGCAGAGTTTGTCAAAGGTGAGCATCAAGATAATAAATCTTGCATTGATTCATGCAAACATCATGAGTTTGCATTATTCATACATTAGTTGAGCGTTTGGTTTGTACACTTGGACAGGTTTTGCTGATATTTTTGGTTTGTTGTTTGTTTTTTTTTAAGTGCATTCTTCATTACAGTTTAGGTGAAACACATTTTATTCTGACAACACTGTACAATCTCAACAAACAGCATCAAGCCAGCTCAGGATGAAGAGTATCATCGCTGACTAAGGTAAAAAATAACGTTCAAGCAGCTGTTGGGGGGAAACAGCTTTACGGCTAAACCGCAGTTATTTCGCTGAACTGCAACGCGTTGTTAGAAATCAGAGTCAAACCAATCGGCCCAGATGTGCAGCACATTGTGTACGGCGCAGGAGAGCAGCGCAGGGTCACGCCACAGCACCAAGGAGGAGAACAGCAGCAGGTCATGGATGGTGCAGATGGAGGCAACAGCTGTCTGGGCCAAGAAAGCAGTCACGTGATCTCTGCCTCCGTCTTGAGCGGGATCCTTCTGCCAGAGGCCTATCAGCGTTTCCCTCCTCCACAAATCCATAAACATCCGCACCATAAGTTTCCCTCTGGAAGGCTGCGTGGATGTATTCCAAGATCATCTCACTCCGCCTGTTTTCTTTTCTTTTATAATTTCACTCTCTGCATCGTCAAGCACCGACAGCCTCACAGATGTATTTTTGGAGTTCTCTCTCCCCCCCACCCTCCAGAAGCGTAGCCCTCAGTGAGAACCGGGGCTTTTATTTGAAGCCCGTCAAAATGAATGTTCTTGGTTTTGTATCCGCACGCTGGCGGGGAGGCTCTGGGATGAGGTTTGTCCTTTGAGGTGGGGGTTGGACGATGATGGATCTGACACAAATCTGACCCGAGCCCAGGAAAGGATCGGCGGCTTGTGTGAAGAGCAGCAGTGTGTGCTGCAGCTCCTGGTAACAGATGGAGCAATAAAATACAAGAGGAGTCTGGCGTGTTGCTGTTTGATTGATAGACTTTGGCTCTTTCTTGGTTGCTTTGTATTTTTATTTATTTTTTTCGTTGAATTTGGGATGTGGGCAGATGGCTGTGGGCTACTTTTTCCACTGTATGTATGTGTGTATGTGTGTGTGTGTGTGTGTGTGTGTGTGTGTGTGTGTGCGGTTGTTCACAAGCACCATCTATCTATCTAGCCGTCCACACAAACACCCACCTCCCTCTGCGCAGATAGCTTGTCACAGGCAAGGCAAGGGCAAGCCTAAGTGGTGCTCCAATCTATATCACCACCACCACATCCATCACTACTTCACTTCAAAATCGCTGTGACAAACTGCCCCAGAAGCCAGTATTATTTCTGGCCATACAGTGCTTCTGCTGCTGCTGCTGCTGCTGCTTCTGCTGCATATTTGAGTAGCGACAGTTATTTAGAGGTTTGCAAGATAAGGGGAAACCTTCTGAGCAAGAACATTTCCATCCCTCTCAAAGGGTTAGAGATGAAGCACAGGTAATATTTGAGTGACTCTTGCAAGGATTCGGAATGTAAAAAAAAAAGTGGGGGGTTTTATTAAATGTGCAGCAGCTCAACAAAGATAGTGAAATTTAATCAGCGGTGGAAGCTTTTCAACACGTTTCTGTGAAAACATCTGTTGGGAAGTCAGACTTTTTCCACTGTTATGTGAGAAACTTAAGCTGCTTTTCCATCTGAACAAACAAGGCTGACAGAAAGTTTAGCGAAGGCAAACAAGAGCAGGTTTTTACTCAGCGTTACATAAGATGCTGGAACTTAAAACAGGTGCAGCAGATACCTTCTGGAATAAATGTCAATGATTTAGTGTTCCACCAGGTTTGGGGACTCGCGGAAGACAAAATAAAAACCAAAATGTACACACTGGAGCAGAGGCTGACGGATCCTGATTTTGTCTCTATGGATGAAGCTCCAAAACTGCTGAATCACACAGTTCCTACGATGCAACTCGGTATTTTTTAAACATCATGAACTTCACATGAACCTTCAAATCAGGGGGGAAAAAACCACTCAGTTTATGAATAAATTTTTAGGTTTGATAAAAGCAGGAGGAAGAAAAGGTCGAATAAAAATCTGAGCAAAAAAAGTTGTAACAAATTCAGACAGGTTTTATTTTCTCTTTCATAAATAACACTGAACAAGCATCGTACAGTGATAAATAACAATATTTATACACTGTAAAATTCTCTGTATTACAAAATACAGTATATGTGTAATGCACTTGATACAGATGGGGAAGTATTGCATTTCATAGCACCGAATGTGACCCTAAACTCGAGCCTTTAAGTTAATAATATCACAACTGCCCTTCTCTGTAACAGTTCAGGTGTGCAGTTACATCCCAGATTCAGGTCTTGTGTGGGTGTCTATGAAATATACTTCCCTTGGGAATCAGTTGTTGCATAACTATATCTAAGTTAAGTAGAGCCCACCTAGGAAGAACCAAAGCCTTTAGTGTAAAACCGCTAATTTCTCCACAAGTCCCAAGTTGAGAGGCGGAAACGTTATGAAGTGTGTCCACGGTGGCCGATTGAAATTTCATGCGTTTGATTTTTGCATTAAACACGGTGTGACGTCCACTTCTCTTCCACTTCCCGAGCAGAACAGCTTTTCTTGAATCACACTTTGTTTTTGGAGAGTCTCTGCCAGGTGACACTTACAACACGCTCGTCATCGAAAACAGTGACAATTAATTTCCATGTCTTTTTTTTTTTATTATAAAGTAAGTAGATGAGAACTGTGAGTAATTTTTTTTATTAGAATTCTAGCAGCCATAAAACATACTCATCTTTCTCTTCGTAAACTTTCGATTCAAGTAAGAAACTGGAAAAGTGTTTAGGTTTAACGCTGAAGACGTGAATGTATAAGCAATCTGTCGTTTTAGGGGCTCTCCAAACAAAGTGCTGGAAAACTAAACAAGCTGTTCTGATCACAGACGCGTCTCGTGACTCGTCTTCCACATCGTCGGCGGCGCAGAAATGTCCGTCAGAGGCAGCGGGAGGTAAAAGGCAGGTTGAAGACTGTAACACAAACCTGGGAATGTTGATACTCAATCTGACAGTGAAATATGGATCGACGAAAGACTCAAATGCAGTATTTTTTTTTTTTTTGTTCACTTTTGATCAGGTCTACAAACAGATCTTTAACACTGCGACTGAACAGTTCCCAACACTTGGCTAAAGACCTCACTGGTAGGACTTCTATCATATATATATATATAGATTATTTTTTTGCTTTTGACTGTCAAACATTATTGCTAAATTCAAACAGGAAGGGGCCCTTAAACCAACATTTAGCATGAAAATAACTCTACAGCTTGTCAGAGGACTGACAGCGTGGAATGTGTTTGGACGAACATTGACTCTGGCTTTCAAAAGAAAAAAATTTGTACAAAAACAAAAAAGTTGTGCCAGCGTTACAAAACAGGCTTTTGTGAACAATTACAGGGACACGGAGATGGATATTTCATATAGGAGCCCTTATTATTCCTCAACCAGACGTCGTCTGAGGAGCAGCATCACAATAAATGAAAAATAAAAACTAGTATCACATTCATCACTTTAGTGTCCATTTGTGTTTGATTGTCAGCTTCTGAGACGCATCTGTTTCTACTTTTGGCCAACCAAACCCCTTCCTGGTTTAACGGTATGAAAATAATGTTTGTCTGTTGTTGTGGACTGTGCAAAAGAACCGACAGCAGGAGAGCTTTGTTGTTGTCGTATTAAGAGCGAAAACACAAGAATCGTTCACAGGTAATGTCTATCATCATCACCAACAACGAAGAATTAAGTATTAAGTCACATGTAGCCTCAGCTCACGCGGGGCCGATGTCGTAACGTCCGATAAGCGTTATCAAATTATGGCACGTACAAAATAAAAGCCTCTTTATCTCATCTAGCGTACTCATCTATAATGCAAGTAAATCTAAATAAAACACAGACCTAGGTTTGTGTTATTTCATCTGCTTGAGAGCATTTGGGATTAGTTTGGTTTCAGCACTGAAATATGACATTCATGCCATTTCATCCTACTTGTATTGCACTGAATTGTCAAAACTACCATTTGAAACAAAAACTAATGTAATAATCACTAATGGATAATCTCACAGCCAAATAAAGAAATAAAATAAAAGCTAATGTAAAAATCAATTCAAAATTAAATATAAACATTTACAGGAAAAGCTTGACATCTCCGTTTCAGTCCAATGTGGGAACACGTGGCTCTGCTGCCGACGAGCCGACCACGCTGCACTTTAAACTTTCCTGGCAGAAACATTCCTGAGTTTCCTGCTGTGAAACCTGCTCTCTACTCCAGTTGCTCTTATCAAAACTGCAGAAGCACTAAAATGATCTCTGGCCAGGCGAGGCCGATTCAGCTATAAGCCAGGAGAGACGACACAGTCGGAGTCGAGCCCGCTGAGAGCTTCTCCTCTTTCTCCAGAGTCCAAAAATAAGACACTTAAAAAATGAGCAGGACTAAAAAGCCAAATCATTCGAAAAAAAAATATCAATAATGCCCTTATTATTTATATCGAGGATGAGCACTGGATGTAGACAAACAAAAAACCCAAAAATCCCCTGAAACAAAACGAGAACAGGTAGAGCATGACGTAAAGGTGCATAGGTCGGCATTCTTTTGACACTGAAATGGAAAATCAATTCCTTGGTTCTCTAGAAAGCTCCAGATTGCACATTCATAATGACAGCAGGCAGTAAACGCCTCGCTATGCTTTAAATGACTCACTCACATCGCCACCTTTGATATTTTTCTAAACATCTTCATCATAATTTCATTGACATCTCCTATAACAGAGTAGACGTTAAGAAGTACCTCAATAAAAATAAAAAATCTCCCAAAATGATGTACCGCAAAACCACTTTCAGCAGCATCATCGTTTCTTCAAAGGTGGTCCCACACTGCGAGAACATCGTACCGACTAAAGGCGAACGCTTTCAGGGGGGTTCTTCACATGTGCGGTCAGAATATGATGTCGTGATGAAAATTATATGCCACCACCAGGTTTTGGACGCCGTCTAATCTCAGCGGGTTCCTCTAAGCTATGCAGTCTTACAATTCACTAACCAAGATGTGGGAGCTACCACCACATGCGGTGGCTTGAGGTCACACCACGTTGATGCAGTTCCCGCTGCCAGCCGTCGCCCTCTTGCTGCAGTAGGTGAAGCCGCTGTGATTGGTGGAGGAGCCGTTCATGTGTGACGACTTCAGCTCCATCTGGCAGGCGGCGATGGCTGCGTTGAGCTCGACCTGAGCCCGATGCACAACGTAGAACATCAAGCCAATGCTGATGACGATCTGTAGAAGAAGAAAAGGTGCGGAGTTCAGAATAGCTCTTAATACGGCTAGAAAACGTACGGAGGGATGGAAACAGAAAACAGAAACCTACATGTTACATAACATTCATTACATGACAGACTTCGTTTCGAAAATTCAACATTGTGAGACTGTGCAAGGGACTGCAAGGTGACGCGGTGGTTAGCATCGTTGCCTTACAGCAAGAAAGTCGCCGGTTCACGTCTCAGTGAGGACACCCGGGATCTTTTGCATGGAGTTTGCATGTTCTCTCCGTGCAGCGTGGGTTCTCTCCGAGTTCTCCAGCTTCCTCCCACAAGGTCCAAAAACATGTTGAGGTTAATTGGTGATTCTAAATTGTCAGTAGGTATGAATGTGAGTGTGCTTGGTTGTCTGTCACTAAGTGTGGCCCTGTGATAGACTGGTGACCTGTCCAGGTGTCCCCTGCCTTCACCCTGAGTCAGCTGGGATAGACTCCAGCCCCCCATGACCCTAGTGAGGATTAAACGGTGTATAGATGATGGATGGATGGATGGATGGATGGATGGATGGATGGATGGAGACTGCGCAACCTTTCGACAGGCAAAACAGCTACAACATTAACCAAAAACCAGGAAGAAGTGGATGAATAGCCTTCATAGGACAATTTTCTACTATGTAAGTTACTCATTACACATCCAGAGCAGATGTTGGTCGGGAGGGATGTGCTGACCTTTTCTCTGCTTATATCAGTTGAAAAACCTCAGCTGGGATTATCTGCCAATACTGATTTCTTTTCCCCCAAAATCAAAATCTATTGGCACTGCTGCATCACGCTCATGTGTATTTAAAGCAATAAGTCAACAGTTTGGGAAATACACTTCATGGCTTTCTAGTAGAGAGATAAATAAAGTGATTGATACCACTCTCATGTCTGAATCTAAGGTATGAAGCTACAGCTTGCAGCCAGGCAGCGCAGCTCTAACTGGACGCAGCCAGCTCAACCAGCTCTACTTGCTCTGTTCAAAGTCAGAAAATCTGTCTTCCAGCACTTACACAACTCAGGAGTTACGATGTTGTAAAACAGAGCCTGAAACTACAATTTGGCATTTTATGGTCGACTACACGCCAGCCTGCTTCTAAGCTGGGAACAGGTGCCAGACGACCAGTAAAGACTAATAGAATACTGCTTTTCCACCAACATAGAACAGTTCTGGTTCACGGTTTGAACTGTTCTCAGCATTTCTACCAAAAATAGATTTGGAACCAACTGTCCAATTCACAAGATAGCATAAAGAGCCCTGAACAGAACTGACTCAAGAACTTAGTGGCAAAGCTGCTGAAGTTACTCCTTACTTCTCGAAATGTCAAACTATTTCAAGCCACAGTTGAAATAAGAAGTTTACATACACTGTATAAAAAGACATTTAACCTTTTTTTTTCTCAATGTCTGACATTAAATCAGACTAAACTTTTCCTGTTTTAGGTCAGAAAGGATTACCGAAATTATTTCTATTTGCTAAACGGCAGAATAATGAGAGAATTTTCAAAAGCTAAAGACCTTGTGAAGACACTGGTTGAAGCTGGTCAGAGAGTCATTATCCACAGTGAAACCAGTCCTGTACCGACATGGGCTGAAAGGATACTCAGAGAGGAAGAAGACATCACTCCAAAAGCAACATAAAAAAGACAGATCACAGTTTGCAAATGCACACAGGAACAAAGACCTTCATTTCTGGAGACATGTCCTGTGGTCTGATGGTCTGTTTGGCCATAATGACCATCGTTACATTTGGAGGAAAAAGAGGGAAGCTTGCCAGCCTGAGAACACCATCCCAACTGTGAAGCACGGGGGTGGCAGCATCATGTTGTGGGGGTGTTTTGCTGCAGGAGGGACTGGTGCACTTCACAACATAGATGGCATCATGAGGAAAGAAGATTATGTGGAAATATTGAAGCAACATCTCAAGACATCAGCCAGGAAGTTAAAGCTTGGGTGCAAATGGGTCTTCAGATGGACAATGACAACCCTGAACATACCACCAGATTAGTTAGAAAGTGGCTTAAGGACAACAAAGTCAGTGTGTTGGAGTGACCATCACAAAGCTCTGATCTCAATCCTGTAGAACATTACTGTCCAGAGCTGGAAAGACGTGTGGAGCAACAAACCTGACTGAGATCCACCAGTTCTGTCAGGAGGAATGGGCCAGAATTCATCAAACTAATGTGAGCAGCTTGTGGAAGGAAACCCAAAACGTTTGACCCAAGTCATACAGTTCAAAGGCAATGCTAACAAATACTAAAGAAATGTATGTAAACTTCTGACCTTGAAGAAAGTAACAAAAAAAAAAAATCTAAAAAATTCTCTCTCTCATTATTCTGGCGTTTAGCAAATAGAAATAATTTTGGTAATCCTAACTGACCTAAAACAGCAAAAGTTTAGTCTGATTTAATGTCAGACAGTGAGAAAAAAAAGGTTATGTGTCTTTTTGTACAGTGTAGGTAAACTTCTGGTTTCGACTGTATCTGTCAAAGGTAACATGAGACCAGCAATTGTAGTTCTGCTAAAACTGAGTCAGCAGCCACTGAAACACTGAGACTGTGATACAGGAACATCTGTCAATAACTGCTATATTTAATAATCACAAGTACCCATCCAGCAAACTGATGCATCGTTTCTCACGGGTAAAGATGACGGGGTAGAAAAAAAGTGGCATGCATAATGTGTATCTTTGCGGGTACCAGACATAACTGGGCTTCACCAGCTCCCCGTCACAGTTTCCCACCATGAATAGCTTCTGTGTCATCACAGCCAGGTGTCAATATGTAGCAACAGCCTTCACTTCGACATGAAACCCAAATACCTACTTAATCTTGAACCGACCCCTGACCTCCAACCTTTAGGAACTTGTCAAATGCTTCACACAGAAACCACCCCTGGTCCCTGAACACTTGTGAGGATCAAATGGAGCTGAACAGGTGTTGGGGATGTGGTGACAGCCTGCACTGACCTCCGGGTGAGCTGAACTGAATTGTGGGCATATTTTGCATAACTACATAAGGCAAAGCATTTGTACTCACACATTTATGTAAGTAAACACTAAAGGAAGGTGCTTGTTTCTTGGCTTTTGCGCTAGCGAACTGTTTGACAGACTGGGTAGACTTGAATGTGGAAAAAAAAAGTACTCATCCATTCAGAAAGCTTTCCCAGTATTTCGTGGGTGTGGTTTAGAGATATGTGTCTCGTTATCTGCAACCACAAACACTTCTGTGTAAATATTTTTCTCAGAAGGACTGTGAAGAACGGGTGTGTCACCTTTGTCTCTCTGTGCTTGATGTCATTTTCATGGCTACTATTGCTACAAACTGAATTCCTCAGAGTCAGATCGTCTGCAGTCTCTTGCGTCTGTGTGCTAGAAGCCATGTGGGTTGTGTCAATGGAAAATAGGTTTTTCCTGTTGCAATTAAAATGCTCCTTTGGACTAAATGCTGTGTCTGGTTAAGGTATGCCATGTATTCTAGCTCATGCAGCATATGTAAAGGGATAACGACACAATTCACACCAAGGCACATCCATCCATCCATCCATCATCTATTCACCGCTTAATCCTCACTAGGGTGTGGGGGGCTGGAGCCTATCCCAGCTGACTCAGGGCGAAGGCAGAAACTCACATTCACACCTATGGACAATTTAGAATCACCAATTAACCTCAACATGCTTTTGGACTGTGGGAGGAAGCCGGAGAACCTGGAGAGAACCCACGCTGGGGAGAACATGCAAACTTCACGCAGGAAGATCCCGGGTGTCCTTACAGGGAGGTGAACCGGCGACCTTCTAGCTGCGAGGCAACAGTGCTAACCACTGTTCCACCTTGCAGCCCACCAAGGCACATTACCAAGACAAATGTATTCATGTGTTTTGTTTGCTGCTAAATCCAGTTTATTCCAGGAAATGTTATCTCCATACTTTAATGTTTTATCTCCATCAGCTCACCTGCAGGCTAAATACAAAGTAGCCGCTGACGCTTTGCTCCGCGATGACGTCCTCCATGGTGCGAAGCGTGGTGCCCAGGTAGGAATTGAGAAGCTGTGTGGGCAACAGACCCACAGAGGAGGCCACCAGGTAGTTTGGCAAGGACACATCTGTGATCTAGAAGAGGAAACAATGGTAAGAAACGTGTTTTAAACGTTGATAACAGCTTTAATAATAGTTCAACTTTATACGGAAATGAGAAACAGATTTCAATGAACGAGATAACATTAGTCCTCTGTCAAGCATTCACATTTAGGATTAGATTCAATATGTATTAGTTTATCTGTGTTCAGTATTAAGTCTGCATGTGGAACTTAAACCTGCTCATTTTGTTTGTGCGGTTTTCATCAGCTGTGGAGGAATATAAACAACATTTTAGAGGTAGAACATGACATTCAGAGAACCAGGTTCAAGCTAAATGGCGGTGCAGGTGCTTTGTCCTTTGCTACAAGGAAAGAAGAAAACTGAAAAAATTCCAGAAGAGCTAAGAAATTTGATCAAACTTGGAAACCTGACCTTGGAAAAAAGTAATTTGGAAAAAATATCTTCCCTCAAGCCCCATTTAAAGTTTGTTTTTCAGAGTTTCTTCCAGAAATCCAGAAAAAAAAAACATTAAGTTACCTTGAATTAAGATTCTTAGTAAAAGTAAAGAGAATGTTTGCTTTGAAAATCAAACAAGCCACTACCATTTAGTGCTACACACAGTCATCTCATGCAGAAGTGCTGTTGTGAGTCCAGTTCCAATGAATTCCCTGTCAGTGATTCACATGTCTTTAACTGAGGTCTGATCTGGCAGCGTTTACTCCAAGGCTGCGTCACAATAATGCTCTAAGGGATTTCACTTCAATTATTGGACAAACTGCACAAAAACAGGGCGTTGTTTTTCAGAAAAATTGCAAAACACGACTTTATCTTAGGCCACAATAATAGTGAGAACAGGTGCAACCCGGCCACATGGTGTGGATGCACAATACTCCGACCAAACCATCAGCTGTCAGCCATTCTCCTGCTATCGTTGCCCACATTCCCTGTCTCTCTCCACTACATCTGTTAGATAAAGGCATAAATGCCCCAAAATGAATATAAATTCACAATAATGAACAAAATCTGCACGATCCTGGTTGTGCTGGCAGACAAATTCTAAGTACCATCTGGCGTAACTACCTTGAACTCCAACATGTCGTCACGCATTCTGCTCAGTGTCTCATTTCATATCTCGGTACAACCACCTAAATATAAACAAGTGTCTGTGTTTGCTGTCACCCTTGATCCCTTGATTAAGTGATGACATAAGCCGATGTGTGTCTGTGCTGGCTGTGCGAGGATGTGACCTTGGCACTATGTACACTGTGACTACACTCAGGCTGATAGCAGCGTGTCAGGGGCTATAGCGTGTTGCTGCAAGACACTGGCTGTGCCAAAATGTTATCAGGGCTTGAGGACATTTATGCTAGATCCAGCCCAAGTGTCTCCCTTGCAGTGATAAATCCTAAAACCCTGTCCTGCTATCACACTGCACACTGATAAGAGCCTCGCCTACATACCATCGAACACCGACCGTCTCAAAATCTGGTTAATCGAGCTAATGTTGTCGTCAGGCTGCTTTTCATCTGTGTGTTTCGCCGTCCGTACGATCGTGTAGCAGGCCCTTTCTCCTTGCAAAGATTAGCACTGATGTGTCCACACCATGTGTCAACACAATCAGAATGCCTCCAGCTGATCTCTTGAGACATGTGAGAGCTACAGAAGAAAAGGAATACACTCTCTTTCTCTCAGCCATCATTGCTGACTTGTGAGGCCTCTGAAGTCTCTCTTCCCACCCAGGCATCCAGCATATGCAGCTGTCTTATACGCAACCAGGGAAGGGCTAGTCGCTGGTATTTTTATAACTGTGCAGAGAATTCCCACTGAACCTCCTACTTGCTTCTGCGAGTCTGTGTATCAAGATAATCTGCAAATTCAAGTGGAAAAAAAAAAAACACCCCATCCTAGGCTTGACCTGATTTATTCAGAGCAGCAGCAATGCAGGTCTGACTCCGTGCTTGTAAACAAAACAGCAAGTAGGCTATCTTGACTGTGTAGTAAATGTCAGGACTGCTACCGTGATGCTGCTTCCGTTTTTATCGGGACACACACAGGGTTTATCCTTTGTAATGAAGGATGAGGCCCCGGGTGTAATTAAAGACGCCACAAACATGTTTGCTTGTAGTTAGGCTCCTATAAATCACTTGATGAATTCCCCAATCGCTTAATCATCTCATTATGACAGTAGAGGGACGAAACCAGGCTAGTGAGCAGTGGTAATAATAAAACACACGCCGAGAGCTGAATACGTCCACTTCGTCCTCAAAGGATTGGCGACCATTTTTCCTGAGCTGTCCCATTGTTTTGCTAACTGCTGCAGTCTGTGTGTCGTTTTAGGTTACCCGCTATAATGTAGCACCATCCACTTCAGCAGAAAGAAGCGGGGAGCGCGGTGAAATGTAGCCTCGCCCACAGAAAGTGCTTACCAAGGGCAGAGCAGACAACGCATAACTCCACCGTGAGCCGGTACGGCCCTCGAAGTCGGCACACATGGCCAATTTCACTTTTTATTGTTGAGAATAAGATCGTTGTGATCCATCAGCTCAGCTCAATAATGAGCCTCCAGGTGAGATGAATTACAAGGTGTACAGTGAGAGTCTGAGCTGGGTCTGAAACCCCTCTGGACTGGGAAACGAAAATGTTGCAGAGGAGGAAGATGGAGAGGGGGATTCAGCTTATTAGCCTCCTTCTGGCAGTGCTGGCTGAACTCCCTGGTGATAGCTCCACTATGACATTCACTTCTCCAACTGGAACAAAAGAGCTTCACACTGAGGTTTGTGTAATGAGTCGACGGCCTGGTCTTTTTCCAGTTTCTCCTCCAGCTTTAAATATTAGCTTAGTTATTATCTTTCAATTAAATTACCCCTCTAAATATTGCAGCCACTTGGGGAGGCAAATGTCAAATGGCAAGACTGATAACTCACCCTTTAAAGATATAAAATACGTTGCTTAATAACCTCCAAATCCTACCGTCCAGCGTTTATGCAGCAATACAGTCATTGTTTTGTGTATCTGCTTACATGTCCAAATCAGAATTCATTCTTCTTTTATCCCTGCTTTTCATGTCCACTAACTGCTGAGGGATACATCCAGCTTTTTTTAGGCTGTCAAACTAACATCAGTCAGAGCCACTTCAACGGAAAAAAGGGAACGATCTCAAAAGTCATGACAATGGGTCAAACACAGACAGAATCGTAAAGACAAACAGCTGTCATAAGCTGAAACAAACCAGCAGAAATATGACAAATGCAAAGCGGCACACAACAAAATATGACCCACTTTTACAGCAGTAGAGGCTTTAGCGACTTCAAAGTTGCCTTTACATATTAAACTCAGAGGAAGCTCAAAATCGGTATTTTAAAAGACTGTCAATTAGCTCAGCTTGAAATTTGACCCTGACAAACTGATTGAGTCAGACTAATAATGCCAGACAGCAGCTGAGCCAGCACTGTGAAAACTCTGACCCTTTGACTTTGACACCTCATTTTCACCTCTGCACGGCACAACAATAAGTTGGACGTTGTGGCTACTGTTAAAGCTTCACCTGTGATCCTGGCATCAGAGGGACATTTCAACCTTTGGACGCAGAGCTGTGTCCCGACTACGAGGCTTAAAGTGTGAACCAATGAAAAGCAGGAGCCGTTTAAGTCAGTCAGGCAAAAGACAACCATCTGCTGGGTTTCTCATATATGTCCTGTTCAGCAAAGTCTATTATCATGTGATGTGCTGATCACAGTGTGGACATAGTAAGCAGGTATAATGTCAATATTTAACATTGCAAAATGAGCTTTGAGCTTAAATTTCATCTGAGCAGTACTTCCAGAGTACAACAACCCAACAAATGACTTTGTGCTGCATTCAGTTTAAAACATAAAGAGAGCTTTTATACTGATGTAACAATCAAAAGGCCACCTTGTCTTCAGTGTCATCAATATGATTTTTCAAACTGATTATCACAGATTTTGAAGAGCACTCTAACTCTTACCACCTACTTATGGTGTTTTTAATTATGCCAAAATCTCTCTCTCTACTCAACTCTAATGTCACAGCTCAAGCATTTAAATCCGAGATGCTTCTCAAATACCAGCCCTTTAGTCAATGTACAAGTCAAGCATGGACGTCTACTGCCTGCAGAGCTGCCTGTAGCTTCAAGCCAGCTGATTCTTGGGATGATCTCATCTTGCTGTTACTAAATGACTCGTTTCATTTCTCCAAAGGTATAAGGGTCGTTTTAAACAGTGACTGCCCAGATATATTTATGCAACACTGATATCTAAAGTCCATGATGATGAATATTAATCCAAAGTCTTTCCTTCAATGACAATATCTGATCCTGAATTTTAAAAAAATGAGTAGGAAATGGATTGAACAACTTAACTCTATAGCCAATAATACCTTAAGTTGAACATACTGATCTCTTTGAATTTGAATAACGCAACCCAACATGTTCATGATTACAAGTACAGCCAGACAGCAAATCTATTCACAGTAACCTGATCCATGTTCAGTGTCAGTAAAAAACAACACAGACAATTCAACCCCACACAAAGTCTGAGATGAATCATAAAAAACATTTCATTTTTAATTTCTTTTAATCTAAAATGCTTGAAAATGCACCGGGGTCGATAAAGCGCTGATGCTTCTTGAGATTCAGTGAGCCTCCTGAACTGTTATGATGAACTGTGTATACTGTGTCTATACTGATCCGTCAGAACTTAAAGCCAAGTCCAAACACCCATCTCCATATAGCAAGGAAACGTCCGAGTAAATCAGTCACCCCAGAGAACCAACTGGTTTTGCACCATACAATTACTGTGCTTGTGAAGCACTCTTATGTCATCTTCTTTTTTTTTTTTTTCCTTTTCCTGCCTCGGGCCTGTGCATCAACTCCGCCATGCTGCAAGCTATAAATGCCTTTCAAGCTCCCCATTCTGCATCCATTTCTGCATGTTTATGCTACTGCTGGTTTCTTATCTTAACATTATTTTAATTCTGTTCTTGCCAGAGTTTTATTTTCCTGTATTCAGAATATTAAAGACAGGTACATTTACAAATTCATCATCTATAAAATACAGGTATATTACTAGTTTTAAGATGTTCATCCCGCTTCAGAGATACAGTGTTTAAGTAGGCTAAATGCCAACTTAATTGGAATGAACTGATCTTTTTTCTTCATCATCCTTGGACATGTTTTAGTTGTTTTAAAGTAAAGAGTCAATTTGATCTTATGTATGTGAGAAAATGTGTGTATGCATACAACTTTTAATAAAACATTATCATGCACAGTGAGTCTGTTGGTCAAATTTATTTAGAAAGACAATTATCGGTTTAAGCTACCTGCATTTGATGTGTACAGACAAACTGCACAGTGCATACACTGACATACTGTAACTCTGCTTGTATTCAGAGGATACAAGCAGGTAACCTCTTGACAATTTCTATTGTTCAAACCTGATACTGTTCCAGCATTAGCACTACCACAGTACGTTATAGTAACAGTTATTTATCTTGGGTAAATGTATAATAATTAGGCAATAACTAAAAGCAAAATTCCTAAAATAATAACAATAATCACCAGTAACGTATTTTCAGATGGATTATTTTTAGGGGTTTAAATTGCATGAGATGCTACAGTAATCTCATGCAAACGAAGACAGCGATGAGGGATTTGGTTGCATTAGTTGGGATTATACTATTTTGAAGGTCTAAGTCTGAGCGGCAACAAGTTCAAGACGACCCTCCGGTTGTTATACTTCATTAAGTATTTGGTCAAACTTAGAAGAACATTTTTCATGTTGAGTGACCTCCCAGTTGACTGTTCTACAATACAGTAAAAGACCCCCAAAGGCTTCTACCATTTGAAGGTATCAATGGGTTGACTGAGAGGAGTAATCAGCAGGTATAAATTATTCATGCAACATATGAAGGTCAAGGGCCTCAGGTTAGGTGTAGGAGTGCAGCTGAAAGCGATCCTGACACTGCTTAGCTTTAAAATGTAGATCACATGGTGTTTGTTGCCTTCTTGACCAATAACTTCTAGTTTGAATTCTTTAAAAAAAAAAAAAAAAAAGGCCTATGGCTTAGTCTGCATTACTCTAACATTACCATCTGTTCTGAAAAAAGCCTCGCCTCAAATATGAAAACCTGAAATATGGCTGAAAATGTGGAATCCATTTCACAGGAGCACTTCCTCTCTCCACCAAAGGAATGAGTTTCCTTTCTCTAGGGACTGTCCTTAGATTTTCATTTCTGCTATTACACTGCAGTCTGCCTTGAATATTGAAATACCAGGTCAAGTACAATGTCCAACGTCCAAAATCTATCACAGCTAAAATGATATTGGTCGTTCCTGACCGGTTTCTGGCTAGTTTTGATTTCCCCTGAGTATCAGCTGGCCTAGCAATAAGAATATCGCTCCTTTTAAAATCAAAAAAGGTCACAGGTTTAATTGCCAAGACTGCAAGCGATTTGCCAAACCAACCTCCAGCAGGATAATGAGCTCTGCTCCTGGCTAGTCCACTGTTGTGACCTTTCTACTAAAACCCATGAGTTTGCAGTGGACTTATTGACTGTCTAATGTCCACACAGCTATGAAAAGAAACATCTGGTAATCGAGTTTTCATACTCACCGAGAAAACTGCATTTTGGAGCCCAAAAGGTATGGGGGTGAGTCTTGCTAAGGCCACAATTTTGAGTCCACTTCCTCCTTCCACCACTCGTATGACAGCACTGAGCTGTTCACTGTTCCCAACTTTATTCAACACCCAGTCAGTCAATAGTCGTTTGCACACTAGATGTGCTACAAAGGTCCCTATCAATACTCCCACCATGACTAGTCCCATGCCCAGCACAAAGCCGTAGAGGTAGCCAGCTGCCACATTAAGTACAATATATCCCCATCCGCATGGGAACGACACAATAATCAAACCAACTATAAACAGCATGGCTCCAACGAAGCTGTCCAGGCTCTCCACCCAGAGCAGTAGGTCCTTGAGGTATTGCCGCACCAGGGCAACAGAGGAGAAGCACACAGCGGTCAGGATGCATGCCAGCAGGGCGCTCTTGAAGCAAAAGGTGGTGATACAGCACGGGTGTCTAAATTCCCCACTGCTGGTGAAGGTCGTCCCCCCTGTGTCACCGATAACCTCAGGGTCTCCGTCCGACTTGCCTAAGCCGACCCCTCTCTCATCGAAGGCGCTGCATATCAGAATGTCAATTTTGTCACACTCATCTGTGGCAGTTCTCTGCAGCCAGCGGTTCAGCTGAATCTGCGTCTTTCCCACTGCATGCTTCACAAGCTTGGTGAAAAGCTGCACGGTCGTGGCCCCTGACACTGACATGTTGGCCCTCAAACAGGCTCTGGGGACCAGGAGCAGGGCTCAGATGACCTGTCCGACCTGGAGACAGCTGAGATGTTTAGAGGTTTCCAGAAAGTCTTACATCCAGCGCAAGTCCATGTCGATTTGTTGAGCTTCAACAGAGACAAGTATTTCTAAACTTTAAAGAAGATGGCTTCAGCAGCAGTAGTCCATTGCTCTGCTACTCTGACAGCAACGGGGCAGCGCGACATACAGATAAAATAAATCAATATCTTTAGCCATTACAAGAATTGTCCAATTTCACAATGTTTATCTTGGGTACACTCGCTGGGCTGCTTGCCAGTCCAGTGGCTCAATGTGTCCAGTTTTGTAGTCGCTGTCTGAAGCCCTCGCCATATTCAGAGTTGTCATCACTCAGCTCAGGACAAGGTTGAGTCCACGGATGGAGGGAGCTGTCGGGACAGCAGAGAGACGAGCTGTGAGGACAGAACCGAGACGACAAGAAGAGAACCTGTGCATTAACGTGAACTTTTACCACTCCCCCAGCACTGCCATCCAGCTGCTAGCACACTAGCATAAATCACTGCAGGGCTAACTTACTCCCGTCGATAGCTAACTAGCTCGCTGCGTGGATAAAGTCCAACGTTGCATTTCAGAGACTAAACCACCGTGGCGGGCCCCCAGCTCCGCTTCTCGCGGCCACCAGAGCGACAAACGTGACACACGACTCGGATGTGAAAAACCAGTTTGTCCGCTCCGTGCTGGCGGGGTGTTGTTGTTGCTCTCGTCGCTGTGCCTCCACAGTGGATGCTGCTGCCGCTGCTGTCGCTGTTAGAGCTATTCATACCGACCACTGTTTGTGTCCCAGAATGCCAAGTAACCCCAGGACACGTGACAGACCGTTCAAGCTTCTCGACCAATCAGAAAGCTCCGATTGCCATCGCGAAGTTTTGCGGGATTTCACTGCAAGCTGTGTTTGTTTTTGATCAATTAGCTCGGATGGTTTGTGCTGTCAGCCACTGTGCTGCCACATAAGCAGGCTGAGGTGTTTCAACCATGTCACGATGCAGTTTTTAATATTTTAGTTAAATGTTTAAAATTAGCTGTCTGAATTTAATGTACGTATTATTTGATTTCTTAATAAGAGGAGGCAGTTCAGTTGGAGTGAAGAAATGTTCCCTTCATAAAAAAATATAAAGTCATATGAAAAGAATCCTTTACTCTAATAACAAGAGTCACATCACAAAGAACACACACTGCATTATATCATACATTCACATTTTTACTGTGCACATGAGCAAGGTATAGGCTTCCTAAAACCACAACCAAAAAAAAGAAAGAAAGGAAATAACGTCAACACACAGATGCTCCTGTCAAAGTAGGACATTGTCATTGCAAAGGCTGTTGTATTATTTTTATTATAATATTTGCAATAAAAGTAACCTGCAGAGGTGAAGTTCATTTTAAGGATATTTTATACTTGTGGCTTTAACACTTATCACTTCATGCGTCATACAAAATAAGATAAGTGGATTATTAATTGATTCAGTTGTGTCAAAGTACATTTTAAAATCTATGAACGTAGACTTTTAAAGCTGTTAATAAATGCACTTAATTACTTTTCATCGCAGGTAGAAAAATGTGTTTGCAAACTTCACTTATTCACTTAAATAAAGACGAAAACACAACATCCAAAATATACCGTTGCAAGTAAGAATCTCAAAAGTTGTAATTTTACTTAGGATCAGGGAACACACATAACATGTCTTTTAGCAGGCTGCCAAAAGTAGCCATTATGCAGAATGTCTCCAGTGGTATTTTATTATAGAATAGAACAGAATAGAATAGAATAGAATAGAATAGAATAGAATAGAATAGAATGCTTTATTGTCATCATACACAAAGTACAACAAAATTAAAAGACAACTCCAGTGGTGCTAATAAAAGCATTAAAAAAAGACAAATAAGAATATATAAATATATTTACAAAAGGAGCCAGTAGAAAGTATATACAGTCAGGAATGAGCATAGTAATAGTAAAACGGTAGAATAAATATATTGCACTGTTGAGGTAACAACACTGTGGATATATGAGAAATATAAATTAACATAAATAAATAATTATAAATAATATGTAATATATTATATCAAATATAATAATTATAATATAATTTAGTATAGATAAATGTTGTTATATCATGTGTAGTTGTTGTTTACATATAAATAATCAAATTAAATAAACAAATTCACATGTAAGTAGCATCATAATGTTCTACGTTTCTCAGTCGGAGATCATGTTAACTGTTTTATCTAAGCTGGTAATGAGCAATTTAATGCGTCATAATTCATAGTATGCTGATGTGCTTATGTAAGATTTTAATCTACTACAAAAGAATCTAATACAAAGCAGTGAAAAATGTCCCTCATATAACATAGAAAATGTTATAATATAGAAATATAAAGTACTAGCCTTTAGATTCAGCAAAGCGTTTCATAACTGTAGAGAAGTTCATACCAGTATATGGGTAAGTGTAGTCAGTAACATGCCAACACTGAAGCTGAACTGTATGCAAATCATTTATATGGAAATCATGTCACACTCATAAAACTTAATTCAGAGATTTGTTGTTTTTTGTTTTAATCACACTGTAAAGCATGACACACTCAATAGCTTATCTTGTACAGGAAAGTGTGTAACAGAGTGTTTTGAGTATTCTCCTGTATTTCTACGAGCTTACAGTATAACATAGTAGCGTGAAGGGAATCCCCCTGCTTGGCGTGCTTAGCATAAATTCATAATGAGGTGAGTGAAGCAGACAATAAGTGCATTCATGCATCAACCACCGCTCAGCGCCTGGTTCTCCCAGCTCTGGGTCAAGAAAGTCTTTAGGTGGTTGTCTTTACAAAACTTTGTGTCCTTTTTGCTGTAAACTGTTTTTAGAAATGTTTTAATGAAAGTTCTGGGAAACTGACTACACTAAATGCCTTTATCATCAGTTATTTGTTTATAGCAGTAGACTCCTTTATGTTTGTGTGCTTCAGAAGCTCTCCACTAGATGGAACCATTACACAGTTTTACAACTTGTTCCAAACACTTGGGAGGTTTATCGCGTTTCACAACTGAATTTAAGTCGTGTTGGATTATTCCTGTAGTTTTTTTTACACATTTGGAAACTTAACACTTGACACTAAAATCTAATTTACTGTCTCATCAACCTGAGTGCAAATTAAACTGTAACAATCATTAAAGACAAAAATAAGACTTGTTTAGTATTTGTCAAGACAACTTTAGTTTTTTAAAAATCCCACATTTATCATCAAAACTGATATAGTTGCACAAAATGTATTTTAAAATATTAGTGTGTAAGTTATTGACGAGACACGTTCCCAGAAGTAAATTAAATTCCTTATTGCAAGATCATATTTATTAATTCTTATACTGTTTAAGTTACATACTTCATTTTGGTGTGTTGGTTTGACCTAATAATGTTGATAACTGTATAAACCTAAGATTATGTGTAATTTACACTCATATTTCTGCATTAGTTGATTTGAAACTAAACTAAATTGGAGGTAACTTCATGGAAATGGCTTGATAGCTTCATTTCTCTTCACTTTGACATCAGAATTCGAGTCCCTTCCTTCATCTTAACATGCCTGAACGGATTTTGGATGGTTAACACTAGTCTTTAATAATACATTTGATTAAAGAGAAGAGATGGTTCCCCTAACTTAATGTAGTTTGTTGGTTGAATATACTTTCATTGGAAGTTGTTGTAACTGATGTGAAGTGTGTTCAGCTCAGTTTTTATCGTAGATTTGAAATTTGGAATGAGTCACAAATGTCTAAACAAAAATCTTGATCCTTATTGTCCACTTAAAGGAAAAGAAATAACAACAACAATAATAGAGAAAGCTATTAAGCAAATATAAAACTGCAGTCCTTTAGAAATTAGCCAGAGTATGGTCACTTAAAAAACTTGCTCCATTTTTTTTTTTTTAAAAACCTAAGGGGCTTGAAATGTCTTAGAACATAAAGAGAACATCACGAAGCACTCGTTTTATTAAAGTTGAATTGACCTTTTTGTCTGGCCTTTGTACGTTTTTACAAAAAGTTGGGCTAAATATAGAATTCATCTCCTGGCTCAGATTTGTGCTGCTCATTTGACTTTAGTTATGCAGACATGCAGTCTTTCTCCTGCATGCAGAATATGTTTTATATAAAAACAAGCCTTTTAAGTGATCGGTCAGTGGAAGTTTATTTGCCTGAGCACCACTATTTGATAGTGCCCCAAAAAATTCAATACATGTGCATGCTTTGCTTCAACTAGTAACCGCTGTCAAGACAGAGAGAACATGACAGAAAGTGTGGTGATTGTCTTTCAAAATAAAAGCACATAACCTGTATTTCTGCATATATAGATATGAAAACAGCCTCAAAATGATCTACAGAATACATATTTAGGTTTTCATGCACAGATTATAAAGATTGCAGAAAATTTTAAGTATTTTATTAAAGCATCCTTGAAAGTTAAACATATATTATGACAATTCAGTCGAGAAATCGTGTCTTATTACGTCTAACTTCACAGCAGCACTTTTTTTTTCTCTCCCTCTCTCGGACCACAGTGACAGTGATCAGATAAGAGGTTCAAGCGGACACATTCCTCTGCAGTTTGCAACTGAATCAAGGCTACATTGTGAATGATGGATTGTTCAGAGGAGGCTCAGTCAGTGTCCGAGGAGCCCAGCACTCAAATGGAGCTTAAAAAAGGAATGTCAGTGTTCATTGATGTAAGTAGATGTTTTTAAATCCTTGTCAATGCTTGCACATAGATACCAGCACTCTTTTGCAAAACTGCAAAAACTTATGCATGCTGTAGGATTGCATTGAATTAAAAAATATATCTAAATTTAAAAAATGACTCAGGTAACAATCTATAGAATCAGTATGAGAGCAGCTGTTACTATCATCAGAGAAGCTGCTCACATCCTAAAGAAACAGAGAAGAAGAAAAAAAGCACAAACTGTGATGCTTCCCACATTTTCTTTTTTCTTTTTTTTTTCTTCTTTTGCATTGATTAAGTTCAAATGATTCCCCTCACTAGAAAGCTCTCACCTGAGTTATTATGGATCCACCTGATGTGTGCAGGGTACACGGGGTTCCTTGTTTTATTGGATGAATTAACTGACAAGGCTGACCTTTACTTAAGCTATGTGGTGTCAGGATTTCAGTGACTGGCTATCCATTAATATGTCAAGCACCAAGTTAGTGAGTAAGTAGAAATATGTTTGAACTGTTTTTCTTTAAGACTTTGATGAGCAATTCTAGTTCAGTTACGGAGAAATAATAACTAACAGGCACAGCTGTTGAATGCAGAAAATACAGCTGCACATAGACTTACCAAAGGATTTTCGCTCTTTTTTTTTTTTTGAAATACTACATAATGAGGCTAAGATGCTTGGAGTCTATAGCTCTCCCACACATGACGAGGATTTAAATATTAAATTCACATTGTGCATTTGTGTAGGTTGTTTCTCTCAAGTGCCTCTCTCAGGAGCTTTACCTCTGCTGCTTCGTGGCTCTACCTTCCACCTAATTATATTCCCCTCATTCCTCCTCGCTGCCATTCGCTTGTGATGTCTTAACCGTAAATCTGTCGACTGCCTTCAGTGTTTGAAGGGAGGCAGGAGCGAATGCAAACAGGAGTTAATGCGGGCGGAGAGCTGCATCCAGCGTATCAAACGTCTCACTTGAAGTCAGACAGGTGCTCTATCTCCTGACGCTCTCCTGACATGAAAACACTGCTTGTTTTTCGGAGGCGAGTTGGTCGACGGAGTGTTGCTTTCATTGTTTCTTGACACATCCTGCACTGTGAGCTTCAGCCTCAGTGTGCCTGTGAGTCATAAAAACACATATTGTGGCTTCAAACAGTCATTTCTCCTGGAATAGTTCAGATGTTTGTGCTTTTAAGCTGCTTGTTGCTGGACTCCCAGAGGAGAAGATTCTCAACTATCTTGGTTTCATTATTTTATTCCATTAAGTACACATAAAAGATTCATTAGGATGAGCCAAGGTGTGGAATGAGATGAGATAGGATCTGATTACAGGGTTAATGGCAGGAGTAGTTCTACCAGAGCAAAAGGTATTTTAACTAATGTATTGTGAAGAGGTGCTGATTGTCACTGATACATGACTTAAAAGAGCAGTTATAGATGTAATTTCAATTAAATGATGATTATATTCAGTATTGACTAATATCCAGATTTGAATAATTAATTGATTCAAACCTAAATAATTAAAAATCTCCTATGGAACACCAGAAACATGTTAAAAATGTGTATTAGAACAGAAAATAAGGTGACGTCTTCAAATCTGCATGTATCTACATAAACAAGAAGCTGGAACCATCTTACGTTTGGCGTTTGACAATATGGTGTGAATTGACAGACTGTTTTAGCTTTGCCATTAACTGCTATTTATATTTTAATGAGCTAAATGACTAATTATAGACATTAGAAATAAGGACGGGTGGGACCACAGTAGAAGAAACAAAGACTGATTAGCAGGAAAAATAAAGTAACAAACAAAGAGCAGACTGCCAAGAGCTAACACAGAGTGGGTGGATATTTAGTATTTTTCAAAATCATTTTTATCACATTTAATTTTGTATTATTGTTATTTTTATTATTACTATTTGTTTCCAGTAGCTGACTGGGGAAAGCCACGAATGAATGGTTCTGACCAGATTTGGGTTTTTAATTTCAAATTTACATCATGGACACATAGATAGATTCATCCTGTGGCTCTGCCTGTTCAGATTCATCCTCATAAGTAAGTAAATGACAAGAAGGAAAAGTGGGTGAAGCTATTTTTGGGGTTCGAGCCTTTTAAAGCTGATGTGGTCATTTCAACTCTGCCTTTCATCTCCTCCGGACTCTGGGACAGCACTATCAATAATTTAATGACACACTGCTTTTTGCAAGTGTGATCAATGATCGCCACACACACACACACACACACACACACACGCACAGATGTAGAGCGTTTGTTGATGTCTCTAATTTTCCCCTTTTTCCTTGCAGATTTTGCGGAGGGCTGATAAAAACGGTGAGTGTCGCACCATCCGGCTCCATTCACACAAACAAACTCGCATCTGTCTCGAGAATTACTCCACCTCTCTCGTGTGTGAAAACAGATATAGTTTCTCAATGAAATTCTGATCATGACTCTCTGCTGATACTCTTTTCAGTTTCCATGGAAACAGGAAACTGACCATGCCCACTGAGGTTCAGCATCAGAGCATTAATGAAGACAGAATATCCACTACTACGAGTGGACACTTTTATTATATGAGTCCGCGCTAATTGACTTACAGGAGCCTAAATGGATGTTCAATGCAAATTCTGTTGTTATTTAACCTGCACTATGGTGCGATATGATTATCTGATGCCGGATGAGCACTTAAAATATCGTTTATTGTCTTATTAACTTGGGACAGCAGACACGAAAGCACAAATGCACACAATACAAAAAGAAACAACACCATGAATCTGAATGGCACACAGACCTTTTTTCTCGTCAGACGGAACAAATGTCCTGTTTTCCTTGCACTTCTTTTTTGTTTTTTTAAAGATTTATTTCAGGGATTTTTGCCTTTGTTCAGTAGGACAGTGTAGAGAGACAGAAAATTCAGGAGCGAAAACAGAAGAGATTATATCAGCCAGCCAGGAATCCAATCAGGGATGTATTGTTTAAGGTTTGAAACATGTTTGCTCATATTGTACGTACATAACCGCAGGTGCTAATGAGCATATGTCCTGCACAGAAATGAGTCAATGTCTGTGGAGGATATATGCTTATTTACGATGGTGTTCATGTATCTGCACAGTAAATATAAGCTGGGACAACAGTGGGTTAACTTAGCTTAGCATGAAGCCTGAATACAGGGATAATGAGAAGAAATAAAATGCAAACATATGCTTAAATTACACTAAATTCTACATTAGAGGATGCTGTTGATAAGATGCCTCAACTAATCACTAGTCTTTAGTGCTGAGCCACACTGACCCAAAAACTTTCACTTAGTCACGTAAGGCCGGTTAGCTCAGTTGGTTAGAGCGTGATGCTAATAACGCCAAGGTCACGGGTTCGATCCCCGTACGGGCCACAAAATTTTGTAATGGTTTAATCATAAGGTCAGAGGTTCAAGCTGGTTGACCTGTTCTCTGACCCCAGCAAGAAGAGAAATTCCCCTTGAAAGGTCAACAGTTTACAGATGTGTCACAAAAGATGTACTTCAAACCCAAATTAGGAGTTTTTCCCTTCAGACAATCAACCAGCTCGTTTACAAAGAGATCCTGCGTCATTCAGCGCGTGAGAAGAGGTGAGAGTTGTAGCAGGACAAGTGGTGGCTGCTTCACCATGACAACGTACCTGCTCACAACGCCCTGAGCATCAGACAGTTCCTGGCTGAGAAGAACATCTCTGTGCTGGAGCAACCTCCCTACTCACCCCACCTGGCTCTGTGGGATTTTTTCCTCTTCCCCAAGCTCAAGGGAGTCATCAAGGGGACCCGTTTTCAAGACGTGGACGACATCAAGATGGCTGTGACAACGGTGATGCGGAGGATCCCAGAAGAATCCTTCCAGGAGTGCATGGCGGCGTGGTAGAGAAGGCTGGGAAAGTGGGTTAGACTCCAGAGGGATTACTTCGAAGTAAACTTATAGTTTGTAGTTTGGATTTGAAATATATCTTTTGTGACACCAGTCCTGGAACTTTTCTGACACCTTGTATATAAAATTAAATATGCTCTGATCAGGGTTTTCTTATTTGACACTGAAATCTAAAATTTGAATAATTCTAATGTTCATTCAAGCAAATGTTGTTGCTACGATTCTGTTTGCAGTTCTTCTTGTTTCGAGCTGTGTCATGAACTGTAACCCACTTTGTCACATCATATTGAATATTTAATGAATGTTTTCATTGCTAGTGTGACTGAATTGTCAAACCAGACTTGTTTGAATGGTTTTAAATATTTTAGAGAGTTCAACGGAAAACAAAGAAAACACGGGAATCAACTTTCACGGCGTTAAAATATTAACACACAGTTGTCCTTCTCCTAGCAGCAGACACAGTAGTTTGAATTTGAACCTAAAGTGGCAACAAATTATTTTTGCTTTAACTTAATATTGATTACACAATGTGGGGGCTTTAGATAATTTAACATTGAATTCTGTCCCTCACCAACCTGAAATCTCAAAGGAAAATTACGACTGAGTTTACGACACAAAGGAATTGCATTTGTGAAAGCAAAAAAGGAACATAACACTTCTTCTGGTAGCTATTCATAGCTTCTCGGTGAACCTCGAACAGGACAGAATGACTCTGCCTTGATCATTGCACTAAAATTTGGGATTCTTAAAGTTGTTTCTTGATTTAGAGCAGCCAAGTTACCAAAGATGCCACAAGCAGCCAGAAAACCAACCGGAGATTCTCTATTGGTTTGTGTTGTTAGTAGTACTTGGGCTCTGAGAAAAAAAAAAGGACTGACAAGTTGTCTCAAACCACTTTTAATAACCAGAAATAGCAAATCAGAATTCGTAGTTGACATGGCATGACATGCTCTATTATCTACTTAATATTCGTCCCACGCTTTGACTGATTTGAGGCCTTGTCATGCAGCAGGAGCAGAAGTCATCCCACGTGTTTGTTTTTAGTTCCGTACAAACAGCGGCACTAACATGTCAAACCCGCTGCAAGTTTATTTCCGAGCTCATGGACGGTGAGTCACTTTGTGCTCGGCTGGTGTGCAAAGCGGCTCCAGCTCACACCGTCTGTAGCAACATGACAGCTGTACTGAACATCCAGAGCAGGTCAGCAGTGAAAAGGTAAAGATCGGCTACCTCGTGCTGCACAAACAGACCGACGCTGCTGGAGATGTGAAAAAGAAGCAGTCAGCGGTTTGCTGTCTTCATTTTACCTGAGAATATTCATTTTGAAGGTCCTCATCCTAAAATTATGTTTATTTTCACTTCATGAATATTTCATGCTGCTTTTATTTTATTGCAGAGCATCAAAGCTTCAAAATGACTGATTGTTTGACATTATCATCAAATTAGTCTCATGGAACTAATGTGATGGCCCTAGATATCCACCGTGTTTACTGGAATATAAAATCAAGGAAAAATGTTTCACTTCAGTTTCATTGCTACTTGTTCTTCACGGAGGAGAACTTGATCTATATACACTTGATGCCATCACTGGACAAATCAGCCCGAACATCCATCCATCATCTATACACCGCTTAATCCTCACTAGGGTCATGGGGGGCTGGAGTCTATCCCAGCTGTCTCAGGATGAAGGCAGGTTCACCTGGACAGGTCACCAGTCTATCACAGGGCTACACTTAGAGACAGACAACCAAGCACACTCACATTCACACATACAGACAATTTAGAATCACCAATTAACCTCAACATGTTTTTGGACTGTGTGGGAGGAAGCTGGAGAACCCGGAGAGAACCCACACTGCACGAGGAGAACATGCAAACTCCACGCAGAAAGATCCCGGGTGTCCTCACTGGGACGCGATCCAGCGACCCTCTACCTGCGAGGCAACGATGCCAACCCCCAAGCCATCTTGCAGCCCCAGCCCATACATGTTGTATCTTATCTATACTCTACGTCGCCTTCAGTTGTATCAGCTCAGACCTACAATTTATTCAGTGCTATCTTGATAATTTTATTACAGAATGATGACGAATGTGCCTCAGAATCGTTTTATTATGTTCAGCACACTTGCAGACAAAAAACCAAAGTGTTCATTTGAACTAAAACTGTGCAATATAGATCAAATCTGTACATCATTAATAATTCCTATATCAGTATTTCTATTCATGGAAGAATACCATTATTTTTTAATATATAGATATGTACAGGTGATGCGGTGGTTCGCGCTGTCACCTTTCTGTGTGGCGTTTGCATGTTCTCCCTGTGTAGTGGGGCTTCTCTGGCTTCCTCCCACAGTCCAAAGACGTGCTGAGGTTAACTGGTGATTCTAAATTGATTGTGAGTGTGTTTGGTTGTGTGTCTCCTTGTAGTGCTGCAATAGACTGGTGACCTGTGGTGAACCCTGCCTTCACCCTCGGTCAGCTCGGATAGGCTTCAGCAAATAATCAAACGAAGTAACAAAAAACAATACTAGAGGATTCTCGTAGATTAATCGTAGCAATTGGACTTGCTTGAGTTCCTTGAAGACATTTCACCTCCCATCCAAGAGGCTTCATCAGTTCTGACTGACTAGTTGGGAGTTCCAGATATCCTTAAGGAGCCATTAACACCTGAGTTTTGGTTTCAACTGGGGGTTTGTTGTTCCTCTCCCTCATTATGTAAGTCATAATGCTCCCCCTGCCACAATGGGGTTCATTAGGGTCTTTTGTGGTGTGAATGTGGTTTCATCTTCCTTCAAGGACCTCAAGCAAGTCCAGTTGCTACGATTAATCTACAAGAATAACCATGACCTGGATGAGTGAGAATCTTCACAGTCAATACTAGAGGATATATATACTGGCTGATCAGATCAGTTACACACAATAGGGGAACCTTAAAACACCTACACCAAAGCTAACAACAAAAACCAAAAAAAAAAACCCAAAAAGAACAATTGGTCTACTTAATCAAGAGAATAATAATAAACAAACCCAAAATATATCCAATTACCCAACACAAACCAGATAAATAAAGTAATATTTAAATCAAACAAACTCGATCCCCCCCTTGAAGCAGCAGGCACTTGGTATGGTCTGATTGGCTCTGCTATAAAAGCCTGCTTCTCCTCTGGTGCCATGTTTTGCCCAAATTGAGCATAAGACCGGACACCCCAGCATCAGCAAAACAAAGAAAAGATTAACTTAAACAATGCTGAACATAAAAAAGTTAACTAAATGTGCGCTACAACTACAACTTAAGTACTTCAACAAAGGCTAAATATATGAGTGTGATGTTTGAAATTCTAAACTGTGTGCTGCTACATATGTGTGTCGACTTAAACTAAAGTGGTTACTGGGGTTACTAACATTCATGGTGGAGATGGCTACAAGTGTGATATCTTTATTTTCCACATCTAGAGGAATCTGCAATGTCTACATATGAAAGAATCTGTACAATATCAACATTACTTATGTACATTTTTTGTTAAATTTTTTATTTCTCCTGATGTTCCTCACATGTTTCCCCTATGTTGCTGCAACACAAATGTCCCTACTGTGGCCTATTTTATCCTAAACAAGCCACTGATTAAGCCTGTTAAGGAGATTGTTTTTTCTTGACTCTGTACTGACAGGATTTGTGTTTTGTCCCCAGATGATGGGAAGCTTTCCTTTGATGAATTCAGATCCTACTTCTCTGATGGAGTCCTGACAGCTGAGGAGTTGAAGGAGCTCTTCCACACAATCGACACCCATAACACAGAGTAAGTCAGTCAATCACTTTATGGGATTACTTTAGTCCACGCAAGACAGAACTGAGATATGAGTGAAGGCTGAGAGGTAAGTGGTGATACGAACACGTGCTTAATGGAAGTAATAACGCTGTAGTGGAGAGCTCTGCTGTTTTCCTAATCCTGCAATTTGCGACTCCACACCTGCAAACATTCTCACTATCGCAATGTAGAGTTCCACCGATTTGATTTGATACAGACAAAACACGTTGTTTTACTGTGCAGTATTTCTGAAGAGTAATGTAATGTGTAATGTGTTTTTCTTGGGAAGTAAGTGCACATTTCTCAATAGCATCCTGTTTAATATGTGCAGGACAAGTGCTTTATGTTTGATGGACATTTACAGGCGACAGATTTGTGTCCGTTGTGTAGTGACACTTCTGTTGCAATGGCAGCTGCAAACTTATGTTAAAAAAAAAAGTGGTTTTAATCTTCATTTTAATTTCATTTGTTGACTCCATCCTTCTGAAAATCCCCAGGACCCACACTTTATTTTTTTTTGACAGCCCTCTCCAACCTTTAGCAAAGTTTAAAACCCACAAGATTTGCATTTGTGGAATCTCAATCCCTGTTCGGTCCTCTGCTGTTGTGATTACAAGTTTTTAGGTTACTTGCACAATCCACTCCAGCTGATTACATTCAGCTGTCTTTTGAAACCAGAGTTTACTCTCAAGTGGAAGCAGAGAAAAAATTGGGGTTTATTTGAAGACATACACTCATCATATTTACATAGACGAGGGCAGGCCTGTGTTAGACGTAGGTAGGTGTGCCAAATCAACTGGCAAATACGTCTAAATCGTCTGCAAAGGCTTCATTTTCACTGCTCAGTGATAGACTTGTGTTCACATTGTGTTTACATGGTACACTCTAAAAGCTGCTTTAGATCCAAAGTGTTGCAGACTTCACTTATTCAATGTTGCTTCTAAACTTCTTTACTCGCGCACACTAAACTGTACTTACGGCACTATCGTCTGTCGTAAATATCAGAAATCCACAGAGGAACTGGCACCATAAAACTGTGACAACTGAATTTGTCACCAACCAAAGTAGAGCCGGCGCATACAGCAGTAATCATTTTCTTAGTTTGTCGTCTGAGCTTAGCGTTCTTGACATAAAGGCATAAAGGTTTATGAGGAATCCTGTTGTGTTTTTACTGTTATATTTTACAGTGCGCAGTGAAATATTTATGGAAATTGGGCCATACTTTGATCAGAGTTGTCTATTTATTCATTAGCTGAGTACTGTTCAAAGGGAGACAAGCAGAACAAGATGTGAAAAAAACTACTCCAGGCTGTGAGTCGCTTTTGGCTGCAGGACACCAAAAAAAGCTCTCTGTTCGTCCATCAGCTTGTCTCCCATTCTCATTGCTTATATTAAAGGATTCAAGTTTCAATATTACAATAAAGCATTATTTTTAAACTATTTTTTACTGTAGTTGTTTCCGTCTTTTGGACACCTCTGCCCTCACATTTTTTCCCCAACGTATTACCAGATTAACTACCCCACAGTATCCTAGCAACCACTCAGAACTGCCATAACAACCACCTAGCAAACACCTAGCAATAGTCTGGCAGCAACGTGAACGCCATAGTAACCGACGGGAACATTGTGACCACGTTACGTATCTCCTACTGACCCAGTGTACCCAAATAATAATGATAATCTTTATTTATACTGCGCTAGTCAAAATCCGGGTTACGACGAGCTTCACTAGGAAGCAAAAAATAAAACAGACGAGTCATAAAATCATCAGAATTTAACAGACAGCTAAAAACACAGCACAGTGTACCAAACCAACACAGTGCTGAAGAGGCAGGAACCTAATCGAATGAAATAAGACAGTTCAAAAGAAATAAAACATTCAAACTAAATCAGAAAACGCTCCTCCGATAAAAGACTTAGAAGCCATCACTGACTCGGCTGACCTGATTTCCTCGGGCAGATCGCTCCAGAGCCTCGGGGCCCCGACTGCTAACGCTGTCTCCTTTGGTTTTTAGCTGGGCCGCTGGAACAGACAGAAGACCTCTTCTCAAGGATCTTAAAGTGCGTGCCAGTGCGCAAGATACTAAAAGTTCAAACGTAGCTGCGAAAGAGGCCGTGAAGGGCTTTAAAAATAATCAGTAGAATCTTAAAGTCAGTGTGATGTGCTCACATTCACAGAAACAACCTCGTATATATACTCAATAACCTCAGTGCATCAAATAAGATATTTTAGGCCTAATTTTACAACTGCATTGTTGCACATTACATTACTTTTTTAATCAAGACAAGACAAGGCAGGGCAATACAGCACAATGCATACTCTCCTGTGTGCTTTACACAACGCATTAAAACACAAAAAGACCATTTTTAAAGACGTAGAACAACATTAAATGTAGCTTGTTGCTTCTTTGCTTGTGTGGAGTCATGTCTCTGTGCACCTGTTGAACCAATATTCATTTTCTTATCACTCTGTTTTTTGGTCTCTAGCAGCTCTAAATGTCTATTTCGATGCTAAATCCTTAACAATGTTCACCAGTTAATTCCTAACTGTGTGTAGCTGCTGTTAGGTTCTGAGCAGGTAGTATACTGTGGATACTGAGACGTTTTTCCACTGTAAACTGCAGTGAGGGCAAAAAGAGTGACGAAAGAACAGGAAAGTTGCACACTGGGCAGCTAAACTAAAATGAGCTGAAGCTTTTCACATCGCCACAGTTTTTCTAATAAAAAAAGATTCTGGCCAAGGTTTAATAACGTTTATTTCATGTTGTTTTTACATGTTTTCTCAATTATTTTTTCTGTGATTAGTTATTAAACTCTAACCCCTAGTACACTGTATTTATATATGACCTCTTTAAGGCCTTTATTGCTGCTGAGTTTTACATTATTGTTCTCATCCAAAGGCTTTAAAAAAGAATCCAAAATCACAGCATCACTGTTTCTGCTGCTTTAATCAGACACTTTTATTTGGTGCAACTTGAAAACTAGGTCTTACTAAATCTGGTGCTCAACCTGAATCTCCCAGCTTGTTTACTGAAGAGCATCGACCGCTACATCCTCGTTCAGCTTTGTTTGGTGGCCAATTTGTAAGACTCTCCGACACTCAGGGCCCATTTTTGGCCACCAGCTGGAGGGACACCAAAGAGGAGATTTAGCTGCTACTGATCTACTTTTAGAAGTTTGTCACAATGTACCGTTTGTATAGTAACATAAAAATAAAGAAGACAGACTCACAGTGCACTAAACACCCACTGAGATGACCCCACAGACAGACTCTCTGTTGGAGGCCGACTCTCACATAACCTGCTGGTTTTCCGCTTTTGTGACCCTGCGGTTCATTTACTGCTGTGTAGAATTCACATGAGTAACCAGGTTATGTTCTGTGATCCACCATCTGCATAAATCATCACCAGGACAGTCCATGTGCAGGTGTGTGCCAGATCCAGTGGTGTATTCATCGAGTCGGTTGGTTTAACAACAGAACGACTGCGATGAGAAACAATGAGCTACACGCGGAAATTAGATTCACGTCACTGATGTTGCTGTAAGTCCAGATGTTTGCACCTGGAATGACAGCTGCCACAGTCACTCCACTTTGCTCCATTAGAAACACCAAAGGCATTCGTGAGAGAGTGACCCACTGAGCCACAAAATATATATAAATAGCCGCTAGCTTCGGTTATATAACGGCAGTGCAGCAGCGAGCTTTGCAAGCGGAGTTGTGCTGCATCTGTTTTAATGACATTTGGCAGGTAAGCACTCCAAAAAGTTTGTTGTTTTGGTAATTCCAAGGTTGATGAGTGTCTTCCTGCTACCAAACTTCCACAGTGACGTCCTCTCTCTCTCTCGATGTTGGCTTAAAACGATCACAAGTTCAAATGTGTCAATGGCACAGATGACCTGATAATGTCAGAACCAAACAGGGTTATGAATAATCAGGCTATGTTCTACGTCATATCTTGAACGTGGTTAAAAGCTTGATGAAAATAACAGTTTGCACTCTAGTTACAGACATTACAGACATCTCACCTCATATAGGGCACCAAAATGCCCAAAAACAGTCGTGTTGATACCTAAGACTTCATTTATTGAAGCTAAATCCTGCAAATAGTCACATGTAGAATGCATCATATCTTGGAAAAACACTTGACTGATCGTTTTGCAGGTTGTAGTCTGCTTTTATGCTCATTTGACAGAAGGGGTGTAAAAGTGCAAAGCCATAGCGTCCTCACCGGACTGAAAGTTATTGTTGCCAGAATAACACATGTTGATATAGGATGACTGTTAACAGAGGCCACAGGATATGTNTTAACCTCAACATGTTTTTGGACTGTGTGGGAGGAAGCCGGAGAACCCGGAGAGAACCCACGCTGCACGGGGAGAACATGCAAACTCCACGCAGAAGGATTCCGGTGCCCCCACCGGGACGCGAACCGGCGACCTTCTTGCTGCGAGGCAACAGTGCTACCAACTGCGCCACCTTGCAGCCCCACAGGATATGCATTTAATGTAATTATAATGATGTATATTCCAGACTGTGTTTACCAAAAGAGACAAATACAGTCGTGACTCGATAATCCGACCCTTAACAATCCTAAACCTTGATATCCAACAGGTTTTTAGGAAAAACGAACGGAACACATGAAAAATAGCCTTAACATACCGACAGCCTTGGATTCTGACTCCAACATGACATTTTATGTCACAAATAAGGATAACGGCGTATTATCTGACTGAACAATCCCACAGATTGGCTACGTTCAGACTGCAGGACTTAATGCTCAATTCAGATTTTTTTGTGAAATACGATTTTTTTGCGAGTTCGTTCACATTTCCAGTTAAATACGACTTGTATGTGATCTGCTGTGTGAACTTGATCCGACCCAAAGGTGTCCCGCATGGGCAGAAGAGGACACGACGATGTCACACACAGCGAGCGTGCTCAGTGTTCACGGACGTAAACGCGGATGGTAACGGTGGAGTGTATCTTGTGATTTTAAAGTTTTTTTGTTTTGTTTTTTTTAAGTAGTTGTCCAACCAGAGCCAGCACATTTACAATGTAATCGCCATGGCTGTGGTGGAAACAGAAGTGTGACCACTGACTAAACTGGCATCAGCAGACCAAGTCCTGCCTGTGCGTTCCGGCCACTTCCACCCCAATCGGACCACTCCCCTGGGGTAGAAGTGGACGTTCAAGCATCAAGCCCTCCTTGTATCTCCACCTCCGTCTTGACAATCCGACAGCCTTGCTATCTGACATAAAAGGTTTTACATTTGGTGTCAGATTATCGAGTCATAACTGTAACTTTGAAAATAGTACGTTTTAAAAAAGAATCTAAGAGATGCCACAAAGAACTGCATCCACAGACCTACTGCATTTGAATTATTTTGCTTTTTTTTTGTCCAGAAATGACCAAATTTAATAGTAGCCTAAATTAAGTGTAAACTAAAGTAATGATTTTTATTTTTCAAGGCAATCGGTTTCCTTGAGTTTTTAAGAACAAATGTTGAGATGGTCAAACAACCTCACTGGTACAAATATTCTGTCGCCTGATAGAAAAGGATTAAAAAGACCTGAGGATTCATGTGTCTTTTAGTCTGGAATATAATATGTTCAGCTTTTTGGGGGGCTATTTTTCCGTCAGCGATGTTAAAGCCTGACGCTTTTCATGGTACACCTCGAAAAATAATATGCAGCGTCTATTTTTATCATTTAATTATGGGTTGCAAATCCAGTTCAGGGCTATTGCCTCATTTGCTGTGACTTCCAGTGAAACCGTGATCGCAGATGTATTTCATAGACACGGATTAGTGACACCTGTTTGCCGAAACAGTTCACCTTTAAGGTTGCTGAAGACCGAGTAAGAAGCTCAATAGAGATTTTTTTCTGTGGGAGAGTTTAATCTGTCTTTGGATTCGTGTGCTTTTGTGAAGTCTGTAGCTGTTTGTGTTGCTTTTCTGCCTGGTCAGACTAACATGACATGATCACATTAATAAGAGGAAGGTTGTAGATCCAGGAAAAGGAGCTGCGTCTTTGTGTAAATTCACTTTCACCTGTGAGGGGAAAATCAGAGTTTTACATGGTCAGGGTGAGGAAGTTCCTGGAAAGAGAGTTTAGACTTTTTTTTGGTTTGTTTTTAAGGTTAAAACTGTTTTAGAAGTAGCTGCTCAGCAGGGCAGCAGCTGTTCATGCTGTGAAGTCAAACATTGGAGTATTGTAACCTGGAGAGACCACAACATGTCCAAATATGTTCTATTGCATTTGGGGGAAAATAAATAATTCATCAGACTTTTAAAAAAGAAATGGTGCAGCAATAAAAACATGTCTTGAGTGCTGGATTTAGTAAATCTGACTCAGTGTAAACTTTAATCCAAGATGTATTCATAGTGGAGGGAATGATGGCGCTCCTACAAAGTGGAATAATGACATGAGGTGGTTTAAAATTAGATTAGAGGGAGGTTCAGGTCAAAGGTGGAGTCATGGATTCAGTTGTGATAGTCAATTTTCAGTATGAAGTCAGTGAGGATCCAGATAAATTATGCACTCCGTATAATTTCTTATGTAAAATACGTGAGATTAAATGTGTAGATAGAGGTAGAGACTTTGCTATTGATTCGAGTTCTGGTGTTTGTGATTGAGTAACTCAGTAGCAGGATGATGTTGTCATCTGCGTCACCTTTGTTTAATTTGAACGCTCATCCTTATTATGATGTTGATTAAAATGTTTACCCAAGGCTCCTGTGTCAGCGGCGTTATTGGTATAATTAGACAGCAGCCTGAGAGTGAAACACTCTGAGCCACAGCAGCTGAAGAGGCTTTATAAAGACTGAATTCCTTTCCATAAATAATTACTGCAAAAACAGCCTCATCAGATCACAGCAAAGGTAAGACTGCAGTATTCACACTTACTATACTTGCTTGTTTGAAGTCTAAATAAATATGTTTCCACAGTTCCGGGCGAAGCTGTTTCATTTCCCGCATTAATTCTGACATTTATTTATCTGAGACTTTGAGCATCACGCTGACCTTTTTCTTAATTACTCTCAGTTGTTTCCATAGAAACATGTTTTTTTTCTTCACTCAATAGAATTTCTCTAACCACAGATAGTAATTTATGCTCTGATGATTAAAATCATCAAACATATTTGATTTGTTTTCCTGCTTTGGTGTGCCTCAGGGCTCACTTCTGGGTTCTTTTATGTTTTGATTAATTCAAGGATTAAAGGTTTCAAGGTTATCTTTATTGTCCCACTGGGGGGAAATTATTCTGCGGCAAGAGTTCACATATTAATAGGACACAAATGAGAGGAAGGTCCTGGCAATCCGATATAGCGCTCCTAAAGACCTGCCTGTTGTAAATGACCAAAAGCTTGGCCTGACTCCACCCAGAGATCTTACTCATCATTCTAACAAGACGTCCAAGTCTTCTCTGACTCGACAACTTTAATTTTCCAAACCAAGCAGTAATACAAACGGTTAAAACAGGTTCAGCAAACACCTATAAACGAGAGTCGTCATCTCAGGAGAAATATAATCAATAACAATGGCAAATATTTGTAGCTCTTCTCCTGAACATCAGAAGCTTTTCTAGGAGTTTTTGGCAACATGTTTCTCATTGTGTAAAGTGTAGTCACTGCATTTAATTCCACTGAATGCTGCTGCAGTTAAAGGGAGAAAAGCGAGACTTTAATCACGCTGATCATCATGCACAACATTATGATCTTTTAATGATGATATAATTTGTTAAACTAATTATGAGCGCTTCATAAGACGAGTAATGCTCCTGCCATTAGAGCTTTGTCAACAGACACGGAGCTATGAAGTACAATAAAAACACAATTAGACGCACAAACAGATGTATACTATTTGCCCCTAATGCCGGTTTACACTTGCAGTTCAAACAAACACGCACGCTTCACCGTCAACCATCATCACTGGGCTAAATCAGAGTTTCTTTAAGCCGAACAGGAACGTGTGCCCCTGTGTGAAATGAACACAGAGGGAGGCAGATGGCAAAGTAGTTAGGAAGCAATTTGGAAGTCTCAAATTGAATCCTGTATTGATTGAAGAATGAGTCACCGAGCTGCACTTTCTGTCCGGCAGCCTGGCCAACCTGCTCAGGCTGATGTCGAACACACTCCAAATGTTGCAATGCAGAGACAAGATATGAAATATATTCTTTAAATCTAGACAGTGTGATTTGCAGATGCATGAACTTAACAATATTTATTTCAGAGAGTGAACTGTGGCATGTTTTTGAACCAACTTTACGTCGATGATTAAGGCCTCTTTTACACGTAGCATAAACGGTGATGTTTCAATGGGCCTTTGGTTTACACATAAACAAAGCTACAAGTCACCGAAAACGATTGTATCTGAAAACTCCAGCCAAACTGGACATTTGGAAAAACTCTGTGTTTACGTTTGCATGTAGACAGGAGGAGATGGAGTTTCACAGGATGCGACAAAAGCGTCATCAGCGTCATATGTGTGCGACCCATGTTTGCAGTTTGGCTACATCCATATACTTGGACTGACATGTTTCCCAGTCAGTATTTTTACTTGTTTCGTACTCTAATACCACATTAAGGAGGAGCTCCACTTCTCTGTCGGTCCAAACAAACAACCTTCGCCTCAATATCGTTGAAGTAACAAGAAGTTTTTGTTTTTTTCCAGGATTCTGATTGGCTAGCATGGTGTTATGCTTCTCGTTACACTGCCCCCTATAGGTTTGGCATGCTCATAGCAGCTCTTAACGACGGGTTTATGCAGGTTTGTGTAAACAAAGATTTTTTTGAAAACCATCTTAAACATAGATCTGTTTTTGTGAATACCTGGCTACGTGTAAACGTGGTTTCAAGCCACATAAGAAACACTTTTGTGGTCTGAGTTGAGCATCTGGTTTCTTCCTCTGTTCTTTGCTGTCCTCTGTGGCTCTAAGTGTTTTCTCCTGTTTGGACTAATTGATTGCTGCAGCACTTTTTCCCTTGTGAACAATGTGCTACAGCTGTGTGTGGAAATTCCCCAGTCTCCGTTACCGCAACAAGAAATCAGACGTGGGTTTTTTTTTGTGTGTGTCTCTTAAAGTGAGCAATACAGCCAGAACAATTGTCCACTTTGAGATCTCGTCGTCGCCTCTCTTTCACATATGCACACTCAGACCTCTGCTAAACACACTCATGCATGAACATTAATCACAGGCAGCCAAAATTTCTCAAGGGTTTTCTATTGAAGATCTTTTTTTTTCCTGCCAGACCCACTCGTCTCTCTCTCTTTCGTCCCTCTGGGGGGAAAAAAACAACTAAATTATTCAGTTATTCTTTACATATTTCACTCTCCATTTGTCACCACACACTGATTCATCAAATCCGAGCCCGTCCAGGAGAAGTTTTTGCGGAGATGAAAGATTAGCCTGCACGCTGCTTCAAGCTTGGAAACCTTTGTGAGGAATTCTTTTGATTTAAATCTTTTTTTTCTGTTTGTTTTGCAGCAATTTGGACACGGATGAACTTTGTGGTAAGTTGATTCTTCACCTAAAAAAAACTTTTAATAACAGAAATAAGAAGCTGCAACGTTTCCAGACACTCGGGAGCTCCGCAGACTCAAATGCTGTTTGACATTTTCGCAGCATAAGGAAAGAAACATGTTAGATGTGGTCACATGCTCTGTGACCGTAGGCCCTGCAGGCTGTGTGAGTGAGGTGTCACACCAGCGCTGCTTCAACAGAACACCCACAGCCCTGTCCTAGTTACTTAACCCCCTTTACCCTCGAGGTCCCCTGCACCAGGACCAGGCCGGATCTCTTATGAAAACGTGGCACAATCACTTAACGGATGACTTGTGATGCATTTCTGCTGCGTCACTTGCAGTTGAGAATTTTTCAAACATCAAAATCACTGACTCATTCTTTTGTAAGTACCGTACGTAGGTATTTACAGCTTTGATTCAGCAGACGTTTCTCAAATCCCACTCTGGCCTGGTGATAAGGCTATTTGTTGTATTTCTAAATTCTCCCAAGTGTCTCTTATTCATAAAGCCCATTTTGCAGCTGTTACCGACTGAATTTATTCAAAAAATCGCCTAAAGGCTCGAGGGGTGAGCTCACTAAAATGTTAATTTGTTTTCTCTTCCCTTCTTTTTTTTTTCTTTTTTTTTACTGTGAAGAGTACTTCTCCCAGCACCTCGGAGAATATGAGAATGTCCTTGCTGCCTTAGAAGACCTGAATATGTCCATACTGAAGGCCATGGACAAAACAAAGAAGGTAAGATGATGGAAATGAATCATAACATCACCCTCTGGAGGTTTGACACAAAGTTTTGACACAGAGAGTCACTGTAATGCTGCTATGACCTTATTTATACCTGTGTGACATTAGCCAGCCTTCGTCCAGCACTGCACAACACATCTTCTACGACTGATTCACAGTAAGTGGGATCAACATCTGATATCTAAATAACTCTAAATGAAAATGTTCTTTCATCCCGTAACTCAAACTGTGGTGGTTGGATGCAACAAAAAAGCCAGATTAGGTCTTGAGTCTTGACAGGACAGACAAATATTCTGAGTCCAGCTCACGCTACTCTGGACATCAGCTTTACTAAAATACTTCACCATGCTTAAAGTATTTCCAGCAACTTGCTGAAAACTTTCTCCTCTGTACACAGAGTTTATTTATTTGATCCTGATGTTTCATTTTCCCTTTTGTTGCTCTTTCTTGTCCTTGAATTTTTGTCACTGAAGGCATTTCAAATTGAAAGAATTTCACACTGTTTATTATAAGAGAATTTGAAAATTAAACTTATAACATTAAATGATTTTTTGATGAAATATACAAACTCAGATTTGGTAAACATCACCAACAAGCCACGCATCACACATGATCAGCTCAAAGGCTGTTGGAAAGTTCCAAATCCAACATTTTTTTTTTCTTTTTTTATTCTTTTTTCTTTCTTTTTTTTTTTTTTTTTACAGTTTCTGGCTCTAATCAATTACGCAGTCTTTTAAAAATCACATGGATATTAAACCCGCTGGTAGGTTTCGAGGTTCAGGGGGTCAAAACAATTTACACATACAGTATGTCACATTTCTACAAATATTTTATTATATCTTTTTATGGGACAACACTGAAAAAATGACACATTGCTACAATCAGTGTACAGCTTGTATAACAGTGTAAATTTACTGTCCCCTCTAAATAGCTCAATAACAGCCATTCAAACAGCCATTAATGTCTAAACCGCTGGCAACAAAAGTGAGTACACCCCTAAGTGAAAATGTCCAAATTGGGCCCAATTAGCCATTTTCCCTCCCTGGTGTCATGTTAGTGTTACAAGGTCTCAGGTGTGAATGGGGAGCAGGTGTGTTAAATTTGGTGTCATCGCTCTCACATGCTCTCATACTGGTCACTGGACGTTTAACATGACACCTCATGGCAAAGAACTCTCTGAGGATCTGAAAAAAAAAAAAAAAACTCTACATAAAGATGGCCTAGGCTATAAGAAGACTGCCAACACCCTGAAACTGAGCAGCAGCACAGTGGCCAAGACCACACAGCGCTTTAACAGGACAGGTTCCGTTCAGAACACACCTCGCCACGGTTGACCGAAGAGGTTGTCTTTGGAAAATAGATGTATGAGTGCCGCCAGCATTGCTGCAGAGGTTGAAGGGGTGGGGGGTCGGTCTGTCAGTGCTCAGACCATATGCCACATCACACTGCATCAAATTGGTCTGCAAGGCTGTCATCCCAGAAGGAAGCCTCTTCTAAAGAAAGCTCACAAACAGTTTGCTGAAGACAAGCAGACTGAGGACATGGATGACTGGAACCATGTCTTGTGGTCTGATTAGACCAAGATACACTTATTTGGTTCAGATGGTGTCAGGCGTTTGTGACATACTGTACATGGTTATCATACATTTGTATCCACATATTGGCACATGGGTACTACCTCTTGGCTACTTCTACTAAATCTAGAGTGAAATAAGCCAACATCCATCCATTCATCCATCCATCCATTCATCCATCCATTATCTATACACCGCTTAATCCTCACTAGGGTCGTGGGGGACTGAAGTCTATCCCAGCTGATTCAGGGTGAAGGCAGGGGACACCCTGGACAGGTCACCAGTCTATCACAGGGCTACACTTAGAGACAGACAACCAAGCACACTCACATTCACACCTACAGACAATTTAGAATCACCAATTAAGATTATTAGAGAACCCACGCTTCACGGGGAGAACATGCAAACTCCACACAGAAAGATCCCGGGTGTCCTCACCGGGACATGAACCGGCGACCTTCTTGCTGCGAAGAAACGATGCTATCCGCCAAGCCACCTTGCAGCCCATAAGCCAATATGAATATATATATAATTCGAAATAAATTGATCTTTGAACATCACACATCCTGCTGGTGTGTGTCTCTAATGAGTTATGATTCAAGTGGTGTGACATTAGTGGCAAATTCTGTCAGTTGATCATCTAAAAAGTACTTAAATTTGGACGATGTAGTGATAAAACTATGAGACTCAGTGTGTTCCTCTCGCTGAAAATCTCTCCTAACATGCTCCCATGCTGCCCAGCTGGCTTCCTCAGATCTCCCATTAGTCAGCTTTCCATCAGAGAGCCAAAAAAGCACAAGCCAGAGCTCATCTGTGCTGGTAATTAACCCACAGAACATATTATAATTCTTATTGGACTCGCAGCCAACATAGAGCAAGAAATTAAATGGACTGTGACTGTGGTACCAAACAAATATTGCTTTTGATCATCATGCGTTGTGTCCTCTTGATCTCACTGTCTGAAGCTGAGTGGCTTTTACATAATCAGAGGAGAGAAGGAGGACGAGGAGGGTGGCAACGGGAGATAAAGCCGGACACCGTGGAGATGAGGCAAAATGACCAGAGATGACAGAAGAAGAAGAAAAATGGAGGACTGAAGGAGAAATGATGAGGAGAAATGGGAAAAGGATGAGATGAGGTGGGAGAGAGGTGGCTTATTAGATCTGCAGGGAGAGCTTCTTTTTCTTTCTGGCTCTCTCTCTGTAGTATCTCATCTGGCACATATGACACATGCTGTGAAGCTCTAATCGGCCCTCAGATCTGCGCTGAGGCAAACGCATTTCCTCATGGCAGCTGTGTCGGCGTCGAACCATCCATTTGTCTGTTGTAGTTTTGTATTAGCACAGACGGAAGTAAAAAATGATGACATTCAATTTGACTACATACTAACTGTGGTGACAAAGATAACCGCAGATAAAGGTTTTGGTTTATGAGGGGGAGAGTTTAAGAACAATAGTATAAAACGATGAAAAATTTCAACCTTGACAGTCTTTTTACGCCAGGAGAAAGGTACTATTTGTGAAATAGGTTTTTAAAGAAAGTTGGAGCTGCAGCAGAGAATTACACGTGTCTGAAATCTCGCCTTTATTTCTGCAAAGGAAATGAAATATACAGATACTTCTGCAACCCCTTTGCAATCTTTTCGTCGGCTCCAACATGTTGTCGAGCTGAAGTGCGAAAATCAAATTGCACTTCAAATGATTTTTGGTTCTCCCAGAGAATGGTTGAGAAAAATGAGAAACGGCAGAAGCAATCTGGACTGGATGTGTATCTTAAGGATTATTCACCTTGAACCGGACTTTCTAAAAGCGTTTAATCATTTCTCAAAGGAAAAACAAGACTCCGATTCCATCAGTGAGCGGACATTTAAAATGGATATCTGAGCTCAAATGAAAACAAATTACTCTGCACAAATTGGACAGAATTGCCAATAACTCCCAAATTAAGTTACTGCACTGGGCTGTAAAGGAGAGAGGCAGTAGTACACTACTGTTTCTTCCCATGCGCCTTTTTGAATTCACAGATTTTCCGTCTATGTGACGACATTAAAGGTTTTTGTGGACCCTAAAAATAAGTCACAGCACAAAATATGCAGAATTGTATGACACACTGTATTCCTCTGACTGTTATCACGTACAGGCTGAGCGAAGACGAGAACAGATGCTGCATTAGTCACAGACTAAAGCTCAGTCATCTCTGTTGAACTGTATATGTGTCTGAGTGGGTGGTCTCTGGCTGTGCATGCATGTGAGGGGGCTGGGTGCATGTGTGCACATTTGCAAGGTGTTTTTTTTTTCTTTTCTTTTTTGCATTGGAAGATGAAAAGTGTGCACTAATTTATATGTGCACATTTGCGGGGGAGCTGGATCAAGCCTGTGTATTCAAATTAGAATCACATACATTTACGTTGTAGGCGATACGAGGAGGGGATATGGGGGGATGCCATCCTCCTTGTTGGCAAAATGACCATAATGTTTCCTCCTTGTTAACCTGCCATCCCACTTCTCCCTTCCCAAGCAGTGCAGGACAAGATATGTTAACCTCGTGTGCCCGACTCACTGATCCTTTATCTGACTGAGGTTTGTACAAGTTCACATCTATGGCACAGACCATAGCTCTGAAATATCCATCCATGTATCTTTTAGATACAGACACAGCTACAGATACAGCTTTTACTGTGAGTGAAGCAGATAATGTGACTGAGGAAATGAACCTGCTCTGTCCACGCTGCAGTCAGCTGCTATGACTCCACAATCTAAGATAAAGTTTATACCGTAAATTCCAGACTATTGAGTACACCTGAATATAAGCCACACCCACTATCTTTAAAAAGAAAAGTTTTGTACATATACAGGCTGCACTTGTCTACAAGCTGCAGGTGTTCACGTTGTAACATGAGATGTTTACACAGAAAGATTTTCTTAAACTTTTAACTAAATACGTACCAGTAACGTACACAAATACGTAAATGCTTTTTTTCAAACAGTGTCTGTAACACGGGTGTTAGGAAAATAAAAAATACAGCAACCTACCAGGAAAAGTCATTGATCGCTATCTTCATCTTCCTCCTGCAGTAAAGCCACTAAACCCGTCTTCTTCAGTGTCGGAATTGAACAGCCTCAGAATTACTTGGTCACACACTTTCTCAGTCTCTCTTTTGTTGTCGCTCTCAATGTCACTGTGGTGTCGAGGCAAATTCGTAAAAATCGTAAAAATCCATAAATTAGCCGCATCATTGTTTAAGCCGCAGTGTTCAAAGCGTGTGGAAGAAGTAGCGGCTTATAGTCTGGAATTTACGGTACATTTTTGACTTCCAAGAAAGAAAAAAAACAAGCCTACAAAAAATGTGCATTTAGCCCAAGAGGAATTCGATTAAATCAATACTCACAATTTAATGTTATTATAATCCCGCAATGCTGATATAAAGTAGTTCTGCTTCACAGAGAGAACGGGGGGAAATATTTTCTGTTATTTTCAAAAATGTTTTTCTTGAGAAAATGAGAAAACATGAACTGCTTGATTAAATTCAGACCATTTCATTTCATTTAAAAGTGTATTTTTGCTTTAATCCACAGTTTTAAAAAGGACAGTTATAGTTGAGGAGAACAGAGGAGGTCATCTACTGCGTATACATGTCTGATCAAGATACTCGGGGGTTCATTTCTTTTTGCAGATATTCCTGTCTGAGGCAACCAAAGGGTTTCAATTTGTGACAATGAAATAAAATAGTGTTTGGATTACTGTTCACAGATGGAGGTCAGTTCAAATAGACTACTTGTAATAACTGGGATAACTGAGCAGGGATTTACAAATCGCTAAAACACAAATTAATTTAGCAAGTTGCTACTGAATATGGGCTGCAAGGTGGCGCAGTTGGTTAGCAATGTTGCCTCACAGCAAGAAGGTTGCCGGTTCGCGTCCCGGTGGGGGCACCGGAATCCTTCTGTGTGGAGTTTGCATGTTCTCCCCGTGCAGTGGGTTCTCTCTGGGTTCCTCCCACAAGGTCCAAAAGGTTAATTGGTGATTCTAAATTACCCGTAGGTGTGAGTGTGCTTGGTTGTCTGTCTGTAAGTGTGGCCCTGTGATAGACTGGTGACCTGTCCAGGGTGTCCCCTGCCTTCACCCTAAATCGGCTGGGATAGACTCCAGCCCCCCATGACCCTAGTGAGGATTAAGCGGTGTATAGATAATGGATGGATGGCTACTAAATATGAGTTGGATTCTGAATAGTCCTGGTTCTCTAGTTAACATAAGTCACTGAAGGAGGTCAGCTATGAAGCATTTTACATTTCAATCAGCTTTGAAGTGATTTACAATCAAACTAAAGCTGTTTGACAGAAGCGGAGTGAGGAATGATTGCAGGGCAGGTTTAGAATTGCCAACTTTCAGTCCAGCCTTAAATGGAGGGATTTAGGCAGCGCTGCTGGGTCAGAGGCCGAAGCAGAAACGTGTAGGAAACTACAAGGCCGTACCTCCGACTAAGCACTCATTTGACCTTTTGTACAACTAACAAGAAAAGATCAAGGGATCAGGGAAAAGGAAAAAAATCATGCAGACGTTAAACTGTTGAAAATGGCTGCATATTGGTGAGACAGACACACACAGAGGTACGAATCACAGGAGGCAATCTATGCTCAGATCGCAGGAGACTGACCTTTACCAGTTTTGTCGTGACTCACTCACACTGAGGGAATGTGCATGCAGGTGAAAGTCTACATGTGTGTGCGTTTCCGAGCGAATGTCAGAGGATCAAACAATACATGTGACTGACGAGACTTTTCCAAATGCAGCGCGGCGAACAGGTTTTGTCTTTGTCGTTAAATAGTTGTCAGAGCCACTGTTCAAAGTTTTGTCAGATATTTTATTAAAAGGGCTGATGGGAGCAAGTTGAATGATTTGCTCTGTATTCTGGAGGAGCTGCTCAGAGTTCACGTCGCTCACAGGAGGACACCCGCTCAATATACTGTAATTAGCGCGTGCTTCCTGATCTTCTGATAAACAATTCCAGCTTTTAAAAATCACGCCACCATTGTGCTTTTGTAACGGCAAGTAACGCTGAAACGTGTTTACTTTCTGCTCCTCTCTCATTCTTTTTTTCACTCACACATTCATGCATTAGTCATCCTCTAATCTAGCCTGCATTAGCGTTGCCTCCAAACCCCTCATTGCCAGTCGAATGTACAAACAGTCACGGTGCTCAGGACTGTGGGAGCAGGTGCAGTGTGCAAACAGCAAACTCTGCTGTGCCAAGCATCCTTCACTCCCCTTTGATTAGATCCAAAACAGCATTTGGCCTCCTGCTCTGTTTCAGGCAGAGCAAATGACATCCCTCCAAAATGTCATAGAGTTTGGTTTTCTTTTTTCTTTTTCCGTAAACACACGCTGGCAAAAACAAATGTGTCCCTGACTCACTAAATGATGGACAAGGTGCTGATGACTCTTGTAGTTCAGGTTATTTTTAACTAATGAACATGTAAACAGGTCAACTCCCACAGACTGTGCAGACTCCTGGTGCTGCAATCAGATTAAGATGCATCATCAAGAGTCAAGAAAGGGGGGATGATTGGTACAGTTATTGTTGTTTTTTTTTTGTTTTTTTTGCACAGACAAAAAAGCCAAAAGGTGCAACGATTCATTCTTCTAAGCTGCACTACTTGGTGCTTCTGTATTGTGTCAGAAATTTACATACAGTTATCACCTGATTTATGGCATTTACTGTCCTGGTTCCTTCTGCTGCAAGAAGCTCCACTATTTAAAAGAAATCTGTTTACATACAGTTGAATTACATACAGGTTACATACCTTTTTTTCTCACTGACATTAAATCAGATTAAACTTTTCCTGTTTGAGATCAGTTAGGGTTACCAACATTATTTCTATTTTTTTTTTCTTCCTATTTCTATTAAATGCCAAAATGATAAGAAAGATTTTTTTTTTTTAGATTTTTTTAATTGCTTTCTTCAGTTTACATACTTTTCCTTAGTATTTGGTAGCGTTACCTTTAAACTGTTTGACTTGGGTCAAATGTTTTGGGTTTCCTTCCACAAGCTTCTCACAATAGTTTGATGAACTCTGGCCCATTCCTCCTGACAGAACTGGTGGAACTGAGCCAGGTTTGTTGGATGCCTTTCCAGCTCTGCCCACAAATCTTCTCCAGGATTGAGATCAGACCTTTGTGATGGCCACTCCAACACATTGACTTTGTTGTCCTGAAGCCACTTTCTAACTAATCTAGTGGTATGTTTAGGGTCAGTGTCCATCTGAAGACCCATTTGCACCCAAGCTTTAACTTCCTGGCTGATGTCTTGAGATGTTGCTTCAATATTTCCACATACTGGTCTTTCCTCATGATTCCATCTATATTGTGAAGTGCACCAGTCCCTCCTGCAGCAAAACACTCCCACAACATGATGCTGCCACCCCCGTGCTTCACAGTTGGGATGGTGTTCTCAGGCTGGCAAGCTTCCCCCTTTTTCCTCCAAATGCAACGATGGTCATTGTGGTCAAACAGTTTAAGTTTAGTTTCATCAGACCACAGGACATGTCCCCAAACATTAAGGTCCCTGTTTGCATTTGCAAACTGTAATCTGGCTTTGTTATGCTGCTTTTGGAGTAATGTCTTCTTTCAGCCCATGTCGGCACAGGACTGGTTTCACTGTGGATAATGACTCTCTCTGATCAGCTTTATCATTGTGTATAATTGTTTGAACAGATGAACACGAAACCTTCAGGTATCCGGAAATTGTACCCAAGGATGAACCAGACTTGTGGAGGTTCACAGTTCTCTTCCTGATATCTTGGCTGATTTCTTTAGATTTTCCCATGTTGTCAAAAAGTAATTTCACAAATACTTCCTTTTCATTTAGTAGCTGTATGATGTATTTAGAAAAATTTGACACAGATCTCCAATTAGTAAACAGTGTGTCCGTTAGTCTTCAGTTTTTCCTTCATAGAAACTTTCATTCCCTCACTGTTTGTCATTAACTTATATTTACTTAAGGCTCTCCACCCTCCACCAACTAACTTGTACGGCCCATGACGTCCTCCTCAGTTCAAACAAGTCATTTGACAGATTGCTGACACTAGACAGGCCTGACTGATCAAACACAGTTAAGAGGGAGGATCTGAGCAGAATGTGAAGACCAAACGTTTGACATCTTCTTCCTCTTCCTGTCCTTCTCTTCTCTTTTCCAGCACCAGCATTGCGTAATCTCCTCTAAATGAATGTTGGCATATTTTAATTAGCAGCAGAGGGCCGGACGGCGAGCGACTCTGTTGGCATCTGAAATGTGTCGCAGCTCTCCTCGTGTTCGGCTCTCCTTCATCGTTCTTCCCACTCTAACTTGTCCTCCTCCTTGCCTTGATTGGCAGGATTATCAGGAGTCCACCCACCTGGAGCAGTTTGTGACCCGCTTCCTGCTGAAGGAGACGACCAATCAGCTTCATTCACTCCAAAGCTCGCTTGAGTGCGCCATGGAAACCACAGCTGAGCAGACTCGCCAAGAGAAGTAAGAAAAAAAAATCTCTCTGGCCCTTCCACACACACACACACACAATTAGTCTTTAAAGCCTGAACGAAATGCATTTTGTACAATAGCACCCATAATTACAGTTCTCACAGCCAGTCAGACAATTTTGTCCAAACCGCACGCATTCATTTACATCCCACATTTTAGGCTTGAAGGGTGCTTTCATTGGTGATGCCAACACAGGTTTGTTAAGAACACCTGTCTGTTCGCTGTAATCCACCAGATATCTATGATTCATTGTTTATCTGATTAATATGTAAAGCCTCTTACTTTGGGGACATGTAGGCGAAGTGGAGCAAATTAAAGAAGGCTTATTAAGACTTGAAAGTAATGAAGCGCAGTGGGTGGGATAAGACAACTGAGTGTAAGAAAGAGGATCTTCAAAGTTTGGGAACAGAGATCAAAGTGAGGTGTTTTGTGTAAGCTGACACACACAGATCAGCAACAACATTAGAGGTACCCATGGGTCTGCAGATCCTTTGGCGTGAGGGCTCTGTGGGTCTGTCTGGTGCATTAAGCAGATGCTCAATCTGATGGAGTTTGGAGGCTGAGTCAGTGCCTTGGGCTCTTAGTCATGTTCCTCGAGCAGTTTTTTTGCAATTTGGCAACACACACTGTCCTGTGTTGTGGAAGGAGGTGTGCTTGGTCTGCAAAAAATGTTTAATGTGTCAAACTAACATCCACATGAGGAGCAGAAGGTTTCTCCTCAGCAGACGATTACATTCAAACAAGATGATCAGTGTTATTCACCTCACCAGACACCTCAGGGAAGCAAACACTGACATTAATCTGAACTAGGTTCTGTTTTAAATCATGTTCACGTTTAAAGCTGCTCGTTAACAAAAAGATCCAGAAAAACCAACCGGATGAATTTCGTAAAACTTGCTGTCAATGTGGAGCCTAAACAAAGTCAGAACATTTAAGCTTGACTTTCTTTAAAACTGAACGATGAAGGTCTGTGTTCTGAGTGGATTCTAGCTGTAGCAGCTGATTTAATACAAACATTAAGCCACTGTCTTAAGAAATATGAGCATCAAAACATTAATTTCTTGCATTTCGGTGAATTTTTATAAACATTAAATTATGAATTTGAGCCTTTTCTGCATCAGTTTATAGTCGAAAGTCTTTAATTGTGTAAAATTAAGCTCAAGATTGTGGCGACGTTAGTAAACTAAACTGGTTTCTTTAACTGAAGTATCTGAAGCGAATGTATTTTTGTAACGAGCTCAGTAACGATGCTGCCTGGTTGTAAATTACAAATAAAATTGTGCTTTTCTGATCATCTTAAAGTGTGTTAATGAAAAGACTGTAGAGATGTCACTGGTTTTAATGTTTTGGCTGATTGGTGTACACACAGATGATCTTCAACCACTAGTTTGATTTTATGATCCACAACCTAACAGCTCGGTTCACTCTCAGTGCTCCCACAGCAGCGATAGAGAGCTGCTGCAGCAAACAAAAAGTTCAAAAGAAAAAAATTTACTCTGCTGTAAACTGAGAATAGTCACTAGCAAAATGAGTGGTGATGCTTTTTCTTACTACTGCCAGCCCTGTTTGTGAAACTGTGCCAAGTTTGCAATTAGACTATGGCGCTAATGTCATTATGGTTTTATTATTAGAGTCTTTATAAATGTACCGAGTGTGGGGGAAGAAGGGAGCGCTGGTGGTTCAACCTGAAGCTTGTGTTCTTATAGCCCTCTGTGTGTGTGGGTGTGTGTGTGTGTGTGTGTGTGTGTGTGTGTGTGTGTGTGTGTGTGTGTTCCTCTCAAGTCTAAGCGCACACTGCCGTAACAGTAAAACTGCGAATGGGTCATTAAATCAGTGATGGAGGTAAATTGCTGCTCCGTCATTGAACACAGACAGGTATTAAACCAATAGACAATACCTGGACACACACACACACACACACACACACATGCACACAATATGAAATCTTGTGCACGTTTTGTTCTGGTGAGTCATCATCACTAATGAACTGAGCCCACCAGGACCAGGGGCAGGACTGATTTCTGAATACAGACCAATCAACCACTACACACACACACACACACACACACACACACACACACAGAAGGTAACCATGCTTCTATATATCACATTCTCATCCACCTGTTTTTATTCACATTCTTAATTTGCAGATTAAAGAAAGTGAAAAAGTCAGAAATATTTTTAAAAAGAATATCCAAATGTAAAGGCAACTCAGGGCAGTAGGACTTAGCAATCAGCTCGGGAATTTTTTTGGTTTCAGACAAAAGTGCAAGAAAGCAATCTGTTCAAAGCAGACTGACCTTGTATCTTTACAAAACCAACAAACTGACAGGTTCATCCATTTTACACAAAAGCTGGCCAGACATGCAGAGGTAGGAAAGTAGGCAAGACCTTAGATTTTCTCTTTTGGTTTCTTTTTCCATCTTTCAAACATTACGGCAATCAGTGCCTCTTCATGTATACATCTGGGTGAAACATAATGAATTTCAGTCCTCTTTGTTCATACGATTGAGTAGATTTCAGACTCACTGTGGTCTTAATATCACATCATGTTTGTCTGCAATATGTCCACAGCTGACAAAACCATGACAAATAATTTCAATAATTGTACAGCTTCCAGTAGTAATCATTATTTTGGTTTGACGTTTTTTGGGGGGGTTTTTTGCCACTGACTCTATATTAAGCTGGACGAGTTCTCTTTGACGTCACCCACAGATTTTCAGAGCAGTGGTTCTGGCTCAATGTGGTGCTCCGACCGTCACCGTCTTGGCCGTGTTTAACACGTATTAACTCCTGTGTAGGGCTGCAAGGTGGCGTAGTTGGTTAGCACTGTTGCCTCGCAGCAAGAAGGTCACCGGTTCGCGTCCTGTTGGGGCCACCGGGATCTTTGCATGTTCTCCCCGTGCAGCGTGGGTTCTCTCCGGGTTCTCCAGCTTCCTCCCACACAGTCCAAAAACATGTTGAGGTTAATTGGTGATTCTAAATTGTCCGTAGGTGTGAATGTGAGTGTGCTTGGTTGTCTGTCTCTAAGTGTAGCCCTGTGATAGACTGGTGACCTGTCCAGGGTGTCCCCTGCCTTCACCCTAAGTCGGCTGGGATAGACTTCAGCTCCCCGCGACCCTAGTGAGGATTAAGCGGTGTATAGATAATGGATGGATGGAACTCCTGTGTAATCCAAAAGTTAGCAAGAGGCTGAGCGTGAATGAATGACTCTGGTTATGAACTTTCCTGTGAAAGCACCCACCTGTCACCGCATCCTTAGTTATGCATCTTTTCAGCCTCATTACAATTAAAACAAGTGTGTAATATAAACAATAAACCCCGTACAGTTTGTCATGAACAGGGGGATGTGCTATAAAAACCAAAACAATGTTTTGTACCAGGCTGCAAACATGTTTACTTCTGCTGTAAAGTTGGGCATTTTAACACTGGGGTTTATGGGGATTGACTCTCTGTTGGAGGCAGCCTCTAGTGGTCATTTGAGGAACTCAAGTTTTGGACACTTCCACGTTCCGCATTATTTTTAATTCCTGTAGTAGCTACTTGGTTTTTGCATTAGTTCTGTTTCTAAGGATCCCTGTAGGATTTTTATTGGATTGGATCATGTAGCTTTTATCATCAGTAACATTTCACAGTCTTATTCACAGTCAGCGGCAGAAAGATGATTGAATTTGGATGGTTGAACATTTAAGTCAAAGAGACCTTTGCAAACTCTCCTTCCCTTCCTTTTCCTCACCTCCTCTAAGTGTTTTTCACTCTCTCTATTCCTCCTCATGTTATTTCAAAGTGTGACCGTCCCTCGTTCCCTGAGCAGCTTCTTCTCCTCCGACATCTTTCTCACTTGAGAAACTCCCCCGTTGCACCGAAATGCAATCACTCTGTTCGTCCAAACATCTGGAGATCTGCTTGTTTCTCTGGTGGCTTTAAATAGGTTTTTGTGGTCAGTCTTATACACTTGAGGAGGCTGTGAACAAACGGGAGCCCGTATTCATGGAGGCATGGTTTGACTTCAGCTTTGTACTCTGAAGTTGTGCTGCTCATTTTAAAAGCAATGTTAGTTTTCTCACTGCAACTTTTTGGTTATTAGTTGCACAATGCATGGCCTCAGACGTAACAATCAATATGTTTGTCTTTTTCTTTGCTGCATCATTGATTTGCATTGTCATTTTCATTAGGTTGTCCAAAGGATTGTCGATCTGTGATAATGGCTCAGTCATTATTTCTCAAGGAACTGCGATGGCTTTCAAACTAATCTGGAAAGAATACGCAGACAACACTCTCTTATTCCCTCTTTCTCTTCACCTCCTATTCTCCTTGTCCTCCCTCTCAGCTGACATAAAAGCTGTGGGAGGAACACGAGGATTGGAAGGCTGCTGGGCTTTGCTCTATTAGTTATCTCAGACGGTTTTAGCAATTAAAGTTGTGGTTGAGAGGGATCCACCAACGAGTTCCTCCTCCATGCATCAAGGGTATAGACATATTAGAGTGCAGCTTGTGAGTTAATTACACTGCGCTTCTCCCACGGCTGGAAGGGAGCATTTAAAATACAATCTCCTGTAAGTGGTGTCATATACCACTGGCACACTCTTCTTAACAAAAGAAGATCGTTCTGAAGAAGCTGGCTGCTTGTAGAAAAAAGATTGCACGTCTTCACATTCAAATTGTGATGATCTCACTTTGAATGAGATGTCGAGTTAGGATTTTAAAAAAGCCATGAAAGATGTTCTTTTAAAATATTTGAAGGAACGTTTGATCCCCTTTGAAACATTGCCTACAGATTAAGGTGGTATCCAAACGGCTTTTTTTCAGTCATTTAAGGAACAAAAATATCAATAGATGTGATATTCTTATTCCCCCTTTTACCGGAAATAACTTCTTGTAGGCGTTCTGCATAATTGTCCAGCAGTCTCTTACATCAGCTTGCAGCTTCTGTGCAATCTTTCTTTAGTTGAAAGATATCTGATAGTTTTCACGCAAGTACTGTGCATTTTAAATGTCTTCACGTGTCGTTGGAGGCTTCTTTTTGCATCAGACAGTCTGCTCTTTGGCTTCATTTGCCAAATCTGCCCCACTGGAGGACTTTTTTTCTTGCAGTGGAATGATTTATTTCAAACCTTTTAGAGAGCTTTATAGATCTTTTGTCAGAATCAGAGGCATCCATAAACTCTTTTTTTGTCTGAGGAGCTCTGTAGATCTTGCCACGATGACACCAAACACTTTAATAGCAATTAGAGTTTTAAATGAGGCAAATTCCACTTTTCGCTCCCTAAAGAGATCCCGATTATTTGCACCTAATCTGGAAACTATATTTTAACTGCATGGACTGGAAGGTGTAGGAAATCGATCACTTTTTTTCATGCGACTGGAATTTTACACGACATTTGTCTGCATATATCTATAGACGCTGTTCCAAAGAGAATCAAATGTTGCTCGTTTGCTTCCACGTGACTGTAAATAAGTGTATTCATGGACTTGTTGCATTTTGGGAAATACATTTATTGGACAGTTTCCAAAGACTTTGATGAAAAGATCAGAACTACTCAAGTGTTGTGATTGATTTTATTCTTTTTTGGACATATTGGAAAAAAAAAAAACTTCCTTGTTAAGTTTTGAGCTTTAGAGAGGCTGAAGGGTGGACTATCTTTGGATCAAACCAGGCTAGTGGTTTTCCAGTATGTCTCAGTTGGCTGAGGCTTCACATTTAGCGTGTCCTTTATTGTGTGGTATGTGTGCTGTTGTCTAACTTTCAGCCAAAATACTAATTAGGCTATTTCACACACTGTTCCTTTAAATAGTCACTTATAGACTGTTATTTGGAGCCACAGCTAAATAAAAACCAAGCAAAAGAGAGTTGTTGTTTTTTTTAGTGTGAAAGCTGTTAATATCTGGCAATTCGTGTGGATGGTAACTGACCTGGAACTGAACAAAAAATAACGGTGTGAAGTCCGAAAATTCTAAAAAGACTGGAAGAAAGCCTTTTTCACACCGCCTTTGTTTTCCAAAAAGTAGTCCTCACACATATACTCACACATAAAAAATGTGCGTGTTCACACACATGCACACTTTCTCGCAGACACCCTGAGGACTCCTCAAAGTATGGGACCGGACAACTTGACAGCAGTAAGATAAATCTTAGGTGATGTCACCCTGTGGGTGCATGTACCTTGTCACTGGGATTAGCATCACTGTCAGCCCGACGCCACACACAGATATAACACAAAGTCCAGATAATTTCAGGTTTGCTAAATTTATTCTCAGCTTGCTCAGCCGTGCTGGAGACTGACTGTGGACTCCAGTCGTCTTCATTAGCTAAATGAACAACAGGAGGTTTGGTCAAAGCATGCAACATTTTAACTGCAACAACTCTGAAGTGTTAAATTTCTGAGCAACCTCTCATCCATCTGTTGGTTAGTGTGTAGGATTAAAGGTAAATTAGTACCAGTGTTACAGAGGGGTTACTCCATCTCAAACCATCGGGGCCCTTCTGCTCAACCAGCTCCGATTTGTTTGGATTTATTTTTTAACATAAACCGTGTATATTAAAAATGGTATCTGTGAAATTCTATAATGATATAGCAAACATTTTCTACGATTTTTTTCATGTAAAATTGCACTTTCAGCATGTTTTTAACGCGGCGTGAACTCTTACCTTATCTATTATATGTATATATGTGAATGTATATTGAAAGACCTGCTTAAGGGTAAAATCTTAACCTTAAGCATCTCTTAAAATTAGTATATACATTCACAGAGATGCTCAAGGGTAAAATCTTAACCAGGTCGTTTATTCCCAGTAGAACACAAAGTAAGAGAATGTAGTGATCATTCCCCCCCCAAAAAATGACACAAAACTACAAGACAAGTCTTCTCTAAACCAAAGATTATCTCCACCAAGTGAGGCCTGAAAATGTGCTCATTTAAAAACTAAACACATTTTCATAGGTGTGTTTGGAAAACCATTTAGAAACTCAAGAACTCTGTCTGTACTACTACTACTATTATTAACAACAGCAACAATGATAACAGACTGTCTATAAATATGTATGTTTTGTGATACAACATGCAGCCTACTTAGTCAGTCATTAAAATGAGTAAAAATTGCATTTTCATTTTTTGTGATGAAGTATTTCATAATAAAAAGTATTCTATATATTTTTCTTTTCATGGTAGCGTCATTTTTTCCCCCCATACTTCAGCTCACCTGTGATTTAAGACAATTGCCTCTACTTGTCCAGTATTTTGGATCTATGACATGAGGAAAGTGTCAGGCTTTTATTTGCCTTTTTATTGAATCAGAAGGCATTCATTTAAAATTTCACACATATCTTTATAAATATCCATATTCTCTGCTATAAAAATGTCAGGCAAATCAAAGATGGTTAAGCAGAAACTGTTCTAAAAAAAAAATGGATTATTAGAGATGGATTGGCCCAGAGGGTTTCCAAACTCAAGTAACATATCCTTTAGTGTAATAATTTATTTATTCTTTTAATTAAAGGGAAATATGCCAAATATCATGACGTCAGAATCATTTTTGGCCTTTTTTTGTCTCCAGACAGGGCCCTCTGAAGCCGGAGGGTTTGTCCATCCAGTGGTCGGGCCGTCGCTCTAATCGGAGGCTTCAGAGGAACAGCAGCCTCTCTCCCAACAACCCTCTCCTCAGTCTCGTCAACTCAGGTGGGTTTATAGGTTCTGCCGTCTAACGCTGAGTTTGAATACCTCACCAGCACCGTGCGCTGTTGTGTTGCATTAAGTTTGCTTCCAACCTTGAGAGATGTTGTGCTGCTGATGCCAGCAGCAAAAAAGCTGCTGGACCGGAGTGAATGTGTCTCCACAGGCCAGTGAGCAGAGCACAGGAGGAGAGCGAAGGTCGTGTAGGTGTGAGACAGAAAAAGAGAGACGGAGCTGGAGGAGGAGGCAGATCGTGTCCACATGTATTTCTATGTATAGGTCTCAAAGTCACTGCATGCTCTGGCACTTTTCCGGTGCTCAGGTGGAGGCTGAGTTGATGTTGTCTCACCAGCTGTGTCCCTGTTCGGTATTATATAGATACTATACATTATTCACTACAGCCATCAACAAAAGTTTACATACACTTATAAAGACCACACGTATCATAGCAGTGTTGAGTTCCCAATGACTCCTATAACTCAGAATTTTCTATGATGGAATCATTGAAACCCATGTGTCTTTGTCGCAAAAAATATATTTTGGTTCTTTTACAGATTTATTAAAAGCCTTCTGGAAATATAGAAAAATCTGCTGGGTCAAAAATATACATACAGAAATGATAATATTTGGTCAAACGTCCATTTTCACCCTCAACTGCCCACTTTTGGTGGCCATCAACAAGCTTCTGAAAGGCTTCTAATTGTATCTTTGACCCTCCTCTTGACAGAATTGGTACAGTTTAATTAAATTTGTTGACTTTCTGACACAGACTTATTTCTTCAGCAGCCCAGAACCTAATCTAGCCATTTCTTTACCATGCTTGCTGTGTGTCATTGTCTTGATGGAACACCTAACTGCATCCAAGACCCTATCATCTGGATGATGATTGGAGGTTTTCCTAAAGAATGTGGAAGTAATCCTCCTTCTTCAGTTTACTTTGTGTGAAGCACCAGTTCCATTGGTGCCAAAACAGCTCCAGAACATAATGCAGCCACCACCATGCTTGTTTGTTTGTATGTTTGGTGTTCTTGGGCTTAAGGGCCTCATCTTCTCTCCTCCAAACATATTTATGGTCATTGTGATCAAATAGCTTACTTTTTGTGTTATATGATCACAGAAAATTCCTCCAGAAGGCCTTCTCTTTGTTCATGTGATCAGCTACAAACTTAAGTCGAGCCTTAAGATGTCGCTTCTGGGGACGGCAGCCTTCTGGCACAGCAGCCTCTGAGCCCATGATGATGTAAAACACATTTGACTGTGGACACAGACACCAGTGTTCCGGCAGCTTCTAATTTATTGCAGACCTGCTTTTTGATAATCCTTGGTTGACTCTTGACCATCCTGACCAGCAGCAGGACATACCTTGTGTTTTGTTTTTGATCGTGGCAGTGACGCAACTGTACCATGCACTGTACACACACAAACATCAGTTTACATGGATGATTTTGGGATCCGTAGCTGCTTTGAAATGGCTCCAAATGACTTTTTTGACTTGTTCAAGACAATGATTTGCTTTTTCAGATCTTTGCTGAGCTCTTCAGACTTATAGTGTTTGTGACTGAGTCTAATGAATGGATCAAATGGGCCCTAATAAAAATGGGTCTGCAGCTGTAGTCAATTACAATCACTCACAAGAAGTTAAGAGGCTATGCCAATAAGAAACTTTGATTAACACAGCTTTCTACATCACTAAAACTGATCATTTAAGTTGCTGTATGTATATTATTTCCTCTAGTAAATCTATGAATTAACACATTTGCAGGATTGTTTTTTGTGACAACGCTGCATGTGTTTAAATGATTCAGAGTTATAGGAGTCATTGGAAACTCAAGACTATAATGATGTGCATGGTCTTTACAAGTGTATGTAAACTTTTATGAATGACTGTATATACTGCAAATTCTGACAGTACACAGTACTGTGGCCAGTGTACAAAAAACAATTACGTAAATGTTTTTGGGCTAACAGCGCATAATAAAAGACTTGCACCTTTGAGAGAGATGTAGCCTTAATTATTGCCCACATTACACTTTGAGTTATTTTACAGCCCCCTTCTCTGAGAGTAATTTTGGTTCCCACCTGCCATTGTGGGGAGTGGAGGTTAAGCTGAAGTGCATACTGTCCTGCCATGTTAATGAAAGAAGATTTTTCTTGCCCACTTTTCAGCTGCAGCCCAGAGAGCGTTGAGAACGTCACCCACCAAGAAATCAGGGTTACAGAGACAGAAAAGTTGCAAATACTGTCCCTGGAGCTGTTTTTCTACCACTTGTAATTTGCCTTTCTTTACTTCTACCTTTGAGTAGCTTATCCTTAAAACATTTTTTAGTATGTTCTTTTAAAAACAAATCTTTTATACTTAACTTTGTGTGAAATGCTACCTAAAACTTGCTTAGAATTAAGTGTCACTGTTTTTTTTCATACAAAGACAAATTCCTTTATTGCTGGTTAGGATCCTGATGATTTGTTTTTAGTCACACCCCATAAATCTCTATTTCCAGCCTGGTATGCATTTAACCATTGTTTGCACACAGTCAGTCTTCCACTCGATCTCCGTTGGGGCACCACCAGCTGTGGTTGCCAGGAGATCCATGAGACAAACCGCAGAGCCGCTATAAACCTTGATTACATGGCTCAAAGCTTTTCTATTGATTAGCACGGTTGTGTGTTGCACGACATGAAAGGAAATGTTGAAAATGTCTCCCGGCACCACCGCCACTTTTTATTACAGCATTTAGTTCAACCGATCGATGGATGTTTAAAATACCGTCGATGTATGCAGCACCTTTTATCCCTTCGCCTTTGCTGTCGACTCTTTCCGTCTGAAATCCGTTCTCCTCTCTGCCTCTCTCGCTCCTCCAGGTGTTTATGACGAAGACAGCCAGTGGATGATCCAGGTCAACAGACTCCAGAAGCTTATCGACCGCCTAGAACAAAAGGTTACTTGACCTTTTTTTCAACCTTTCCATTCTCCCTTCTCCTGCCCGCCTTCTTATTATTATTTTCTCTCCAGCTTCCCCTATTTTCGTCCCTTCCTGTCTCCGCTCACCACACCGGCCATCTGGTCTCTATATATTATTGTGTCAAATTAACCTCAAATTATGGCCAGTGGATTCACGACAGTATCAACAAATTAACTCAGCTCAACGACACCCGCCCACGTACAAACACATGCACATATGTTCAGAAATATCCGCTGCATCCAAACTCACACAGCTGCTGTCTGCCTTCATGTCCAAGTGAAGACGGATTTCTAGAAAGATGTTTCCCAGCAAGACAATAACAAAACATACAGACAAGGCTGCACAGAAATGGTTTTAAAAAGTGGGTTAGTGAGGTTTGATGAGCTTAAAGCCAGAGTTTTCAGTGTCATGAAGGTGGCTGTCTTTTTACCTGGCTAGATCTCCATGGTAACTGATGCTGTGGAGCTAGATCTCCATGGTAACTGATGCTGAGGAGCTAGATCTCCATGGTAACTGATGCTGTGGAGCTAGATCTCCATGGTAACTGATGCTGTTGAGCTAACCTGGTCGGGAGCAGGTTATGTTCAGATGGCAGGAAAGAGCGTCTCCCTTAAACCAAATTGTTTACTGACTATTATTTATGAGCGATACAGATTCTCAGCTGAGGGAATGTGTTTTATGTGCAAACATGCTGAGTTATGTGTTGCTAATATCACTGAATGAAGCCGTGTAGTTACAGTATCACACACTGAAAATATCACGTTGCCATGGGAACCCAACATGTATTTCGTTGGCGATGTAGAAATCACATAAATATGTTCTTATGTTTGCTTCTGATTTTCTGTCATGTCCGTTTACTCTGCTGGTATTGTAGCTGATAGAACACATATTAGAAAATGGATTATTCTATTGGTATTTATTACAGATTACATTAAATCAATAACATTAATTTTGTTTTGATTTGGCAAAAATCTAAAGTGATTTCCTGCATTATGGGACAGTGTCAGACCTAAATGCACTTCAATACAAGATCACGCTTATATATATTAAGTTTGAAGTTCAACTTTATCGTGCAGCTGTCAGTTGGAAATAAGTGGCTGCATCGGTAAAAAAAACAGTTTTCTACCAGCATTAATGTCTTGCATTACTTACAGTAGCAGCACTTTTTACCAGCATATTTTTTGTATATTCCTCATTGTTCTTCATGAAAACAACCTGTCGACTTAAGCAGCTGCACACGGTTGTTTCATTTTGTGCAGAAGAAGAGCACAACACCTCCTTTTTATGTGAACTTGCAGAAAGTCTAAGTTGACAAAGAAAGTTGATAACCACCTTTGTGATACACGTAATCTCTGGATGGGGCTTTCGTTTTTGTAGAGCCGGCTTAGACAAAGAAAGCCTGGCTATGTCAAACTTGTTTCAATCCGATTGAGAATTTGTGGCTGGACCTAAAAAGAGCTGTTCACTCACGACCACCGACAGAGCTTGAGCAGTTTTGTTAAAAGGTAGAACTGCAGTGTCCAGATGGGCAAAGTTTAATTGAGATTCATCCACATAGGATCAATGCTGAAGTCTGTTTTCACTTTGACATGAAAGCTTCTTTATTGTACAAATTTAACTGACCATAACTCAATGTTGAAAAGCAGTTAAAGGTGAAACTTCCAAGGGGGGTGAATAGTTCTCATAGGCGCTCTGTGTGAAGATAGTTGCACATAGGGACTCATTAAGAATCATCCCCTGTTCAGAGTCTTTCAGCTCATTGCTTTGTTTTGGTTTTACAATATTATAATATATCTGTGTTGTGTTTACAGTTTGTATGTGCTGCCAGTGGCCAATCAGTTTGCTCAACTTGTATAGAAACTGTGGATGATGTGCAGTTGAAAATGTGTCGCTATTAAAGTCCGCCCGTCATTTTCTGTTTCTTGTTGCTCCGCAGGAGGTCCGTCTGGAGCCTGTTGAAGAAGAGGTCTTGGAGAGCAAATCGGTGCGTTGACTGACTTTTATCTACGACTCGCTTGTTGTGCTGCAGTGACCACTTTGTGTCACTCTGCTCTCGCACGGACAGGGAGGCCACGCCGATAATAAGCAGTCCGTTGTCATAGCAACAGCAGGGTTTAAAGATGCCAGAAGCGTTTTCCTCCTCTCCCTCCTTCCATCTTTACTGCGTAGGGCTCAGTATTCAGTGACGGAGCTCCCATAAAGGAGCAGACATGGAGGCTGCATGAGGTTGAGGCGCAGTTATTAAAAGGATTTTTCACAGTCAGTGACATAATTGTTTGCATGGGTGCTTCCCATAAGTACATATAGAACTAAATCTAATCATTAAAATAACCACGAATGTATGACAACAGGTAGCCAAGAGGAAACGTGCTGCAGTTTGACAAATTATCAGCACACATGGACAAAGTTGTCTGTGTTTTGGAAATTGTGAATGTTTTATGAGTTGTTTGGACAGTTTGAGCTTGCTATAAGTTAGCATTATACTCATTTATGTCTATCAGTGGCCATGCAGTGGACTGTTTAGCTCTGCCCCATCGAATACGTAGACTTTTCAACTACAAATACCTCTGTACGCATTGACAACTCTTTGTACGCATTAACTCTTATTACATGTCCGAATTTTAATACAGATGAGCAGATTTTTTACACATTTGAAAACCTTTTTACAGACAAATTGTGAGACAACTTTTGCAGATTCCGGTTCGCATTGACAACTTCTTGTACACACTGACAAATCTCACTTCGGACGAACGGATTGAGATACAGACAGACAACTCATACGCATGGACAAACAATAATAATAATAATAATAAACTTTAATTATATAGCACTTTTCAAAATAGAGTTACAAAGTGCTGTACAGATTCAAAGAGAAGTGTAAGGAAAACAACATTAAACAACATTAAAAGAGGTAAAAAGCAAAAAATACATAAATAAATAAATAAAAAATGGTGAAGATGAAGCACATAAAGCATGAAAGACAATAAAACAATATAAAAATATATAAGAAAAATAAAACCCAGTAAAAGAAGACAATTAAAAGACAATAAAGGAAGGAATAAAACAGTTAGAAGATAAAATGTACTGCCCTTGATACTGCCATCAAACGGAGTAAAAGTCCACTCATAAAACAACTCCTGTAAAAGCACATCTGTAAACATGTGTTTTTAAAAGAGTTTTAAAGGAGGATAAAGTGCTTGCAGATCTGATCTCGTCAGGGAGACTCAGGCCCGGTCACCTTTGGTCCTCAGCCTCGACTGCGGGACAGTGAGCAGAGCCTTGGTTGAGGACCGCAGGCAACGACCGGGCACCTATGGGCCAAGCAATATCAGTAGTTTAGCTACAATTATGCCCCCATATAAAACCAGGAGTTAAACAGTCAGATTATTGTCATTGCTTCAGCTAATTGTTTGGTTTATAAAATGTCAGAAAAATGGCCGTCACAGTTTCCCAGATCCCAAGATAATGACTTATGCTGTCATGTCCCACCACCATTCTGAAAAGATGAAGTTCCCAGGATGGAAAATAAAACTGAAATCAGCAACACAAGCTCACACTGGTGAAGCAGGAACCACAGAGTGTTGCTGCAATGAGTGACTTGAACAACTAATCTGTAATCAAAATGAAATGGTTGCTAATATTTATTTTTGTGAACCAATCTACCTGCAGCTGGTTGTAGGTTTACATATTTTCCATATGAAAGCATTAATTATAGATTGCATTTCATCTCAGGAGTTATTGGTGTCACAGCCTGTACATGAGTAGCATCATAACACAGCAGCACAAATGAAACCATACATATAAATATTAGACATCACTGTCACGCCTCATCAATAATTTGACACAGACGTCTGTGTGTGTGAATAGTCAGTATGCAATTGGTTTAATGCGGCGTGTCACTGGGAGCAAATGGGCTGCCGAGCAAACCAGTAATGACCCACAACACTAGACTGATGAATGTTGGTGTGACTGTGAGAAACACACAAACATGCACAGAATCGTGTTTTCGTCGCTTCAGAGGACATTATATTGACTTACGCTCATTTCCTGCCGACTCATTAACACACAGTGCACCTTGTAGCCAACAGGCAGGACATTCGCTTCCTGTTCCCATCATGCTCCTGCCTGTCAACAATTCCTCATCAGCCAGGAGATGATTAGCAGCCTGTCAACAGTGATGATTATTGCAGATTTTTTTTCCTGCTGTTCACACCTTTGAACAGGAACATTTTCTTGCTCAAGTCTAGGACAGCAAGATTTACTTTGAAGTTTCTCTCTGCAAATTCCTTCACAAGCTGATGCCGAGACAAGAGGATATAGAAACAGTGAAATATCTATAATCGCTCACCTTAGGCTTTTTGTTCAACACACTGAGCCTGAAGTTATTTTTAAAAATGACACTGCTAAAAATAACCTGCATATCTTCTCATTCAGACTGAACCAAACAAACAGCTACAGAGTGTGCAATCAGACAGCACACTGCTGATCTGTAATCAGACCTGTGACATGCAACCCAGCAGCGTTTGTGTTTAATGTGGCCTGTTCCTACGACAAGCTGTTTTAACATCCAATAGCTGAGTTTAACAATTCAGAAATAAAATTACGGATATCATTTTGAATCACTGAAGAGGTCATTTGCAAAAACAGATAACTCCATTTTTGTAGATTTTCAGAAAACTTATTTTTTGTTGTTTGCGTGAGATAATATCAATCAAACTGAAGCTGAGTGGATTTGACTCAGTAGAAATGACATGACAAAAATAGAGAGAACTTAAGTTTGATTGATATTTTCTTGATGGAAAAGTGGGTTTTCTGAAGGTTTGTACTTCCACTGTGACTAGTATGAATTTATATTCCAGATATCTACAAGGTGACGAGACAAAACAAGTCAGAAATATCTGTAATACAGTATTGACTAGTCAAAATGATAGTTGCACATATCTGAAACACCATCATGACCAGTCCAAACTTTTGACACGGTTCATATGTGGTTTTCTGTTGAATTTGGGTGTCGCAGTTATGTTCATGTTTAAAAAGCAAACCGGCGCCTCTCGCTTGCCGTAGTTTCTGGCACATGTACAGAAATCTGCCGTGTCAGTTCATGTAGTCGAAACTCAAATTAAAGATTGAATTTTTTATTAATTACATTTTGACTTTGCAAAATTCAGGTTTACGTTATCAAGATAAACTTGATTTAAGACGTCTGAATAGGACATTGTAGATATTTTAAATTCAAGTGAAAAAAAACATAAACATTACATTATATTTTAAGGTTGTCAGAATTAAACTACAGATATGTGAACGTAAGAATAATATGCGTCATAATTCATTTTTAATTTAATATCCATGATGTACATCAAGGATTGTGCAACTGAATTGTAAGACATCTGAGAAACCCTTATACATGAACAGTAAAAGTCACATCATTTGCCCTGAAAAATGGCGAAATAGACATCAGATATGACAATCACAGGTCCAAACACTATCATTGTGGATATTGGAAATGTTCTTTTTAATATTAAGGATTGAATTTGTATTTCTATATGTAATACATGGCCAGTCTAGCTTTTAAAACGGACATCAACTTGGTTCTGTCTGTACCTTAAAGGTGCAACAGCAGCGGCCTCCTGCATTCAACAAGGAGGCGGAATAAGGTCACAACAGTCCTGCCTTGAAGAGTCTATGTGAAAGGAGCTCATGTGGAACCCTGCCAGGAGATTTCTAAACACCCCACCAACTCCAGCCGACTCTCTACATACCAGAAGCACATTGTGACCTTCTGACTTCGTGCTCCCTCATATGTGCGTTTTGTCTCCACAGCACATCCTCATAGTCCAGAGGCAGCTCTCGGTGCTGGAGGAGGAGCTGGAGGAGTTTCGTTTGGCTCTCAGACAGTACATGGAGTGTGCCTGCGCCCAGACTGGATGTCTACAGTCAGTTCACATTCTCTTTGTTCACTTTTTTTTTAGTCACAGATTTACTATTTATATCTTCTTCTCCTTCTATTTTGTCCACATTTCTGCAACTATTAAGAGCAGCGAAAGAACAAAAGAGAAAAATGACAAACAGGCTAAAAAAAAAAAAAAAAAGCAGAACTAAACACATCTGCACACTTCTGTTTGTTCTGGAAGAGAGATGTGTCCTCTAGTGATCCTGTTGAGAGTTCTTCTTTTTTCTTTGGTTAAAGATGCTCATCAGGACCAAAGGTAAACAGATGGTGTCTGATGCTGGGCTACATCTGACAAAATAGACTTCACTTGACAGACAGGCTTGTAAGATCAACAGTATGAAAATAGTACACCTGCTCTTCTGGTCTTATGGGAAGCGAAACGTCTTTAAACAATGTTGGAAATGTATGCCTTTTCCAATGTATAAAACATATCATCTGTACTTTGATGTAATGATCACTGTGTGAAGGCAAACATCTATAGTTTAATCCCAACACACTAAGAGCAATTATCATTTAGCAGTGGAGGCAACAAAGTCATACTCGGATATGAATACAAGAATATTATCCTTCACCTTGGCTAAATTGCGTGTCACCAAATAATCTCAACTCAAGACCCACTGATTGTTTTTTTTTCTTCTTTATTCTGAGCTGTCACAGCCACCGTGAGTAGTCGGCTGGAGAAAAATGAAGGAGGCCTTGCACACCCAAGGCCAATATATCCAACATATCATTTCTGTGAACAGAGGCTCGAGCTGTCATCGCTTTCAATATAACAAGGTCCACACTTATAATCACAGCGAGCGGCGGATGAAGACGGCGAGCTGCAGCTGAGAAGCTATATGGATTTAAAATGAATGAAATTCAGATTGAAATGGTCGCTTGTCGAATGTGTGTTCAGACTGTATGTCTGTAGAAAACAGTTCAGTCGTGCAAACACTACATCATCAGGTTTTGCTCTTTAACTGTACGTGAATTGTCCTTTGTAGTAAAATGGAATCAAATAAATTGATCCTCTCTGTGGCTTGGAGCGGTTTAAAGCCCTTCTCAATATGAAACAAGAAACAGGAATCACAAAAGGTTCTCATCTCACTAAGAAATCACCATGAGATTATGAACAATATTTAATCAACCTCTTGAACCTCAAAAGCTGACAAGTGGACAGGCACGGTTGGTTTTTTCTTCTTAAGTAATTTTTTTGGCCTTTGTGCCTTTATTGGATAGTGTAGTCAGAGAAAGACAGGAAAGTAGGGGAGAAGACATGTGGGAAAGGGTCATGAGCAGGATTCAAACTCATGACCTCCACATTGGGACTGTAGCCCTGCACATGGGACACCAGCTCAACCAGGTGAGCTATTGCGGCGCCCTCTTCTTTTTCTTTTAACTCACCAAAATGACTTTTATTAAACTGTGAAAATAAAAAGAAATATATCAGATTTTCAACTCTTCAACAGTCCTTAAACTGATCGTATGTGACGTTTGGTTTTGTTGTGGAATTCTGGAAGAGGCTGATGTAGGATGAGGAACCCGACACACAGAGACACACTCAGATGACTTAGGTTGAAATGAGGTTTACTGATCAGGAGAAGTGACACTAACAGAACAGCAGTTCAGGCAGGCAATGCCAGAATCGATTCTGAGGATTTCTCTCATCCCTGTGGCCTTACACCATCCTTCGATGGGAGCCACATCTGGATTTATGGATCAGAGAAAAACAAAGATGGTTCAGCACCTTGGTGTAATCTGGCCTTGAGAGGTACAGAAAGTGCTCGTCTATCCTCCTACAATAAATCTACATGAGGTTAAGAATCTATAGAAGATTTGCAGATTAGTACACATCTGCTACAAATACTACTTTTACATCAGAGGAGTTTAAGGGAAAAGTTCATCTCTAGAAACTTAACTCCAAGAGTGGAAAGTGATTTTTCCTTCACAGGTTTCATCAGTAAAATAAACCAAATCTAAGCTTAAAATCATAATATTTCATCAAAATCAAGCTCGATTTAAACATATACAAGCATTAAACAGATCCAGCAACAACAAAAAATCATAGAGTAGGAAGGAGATAAATATGGCAGCAAATTAAAAATGAAAGTAGTAAAATATCTGCAGTAGCCGATACAGAGTCACCATTATTTACAGTATTGTTGACACCTGTGGGGACCTTTTAAAATGCTTTACATATCCATTGCAGATTTTTGAACATTAATGTAAAACAAACAGCCAAGAAATACATTTTGCATTTTACATGATTGATGGCCTGGTCGTGCTGTTTCCACTGAAGTGCGAGACGTTATATTGCAGTGAAAAATCAGTGAGTGAAAATGTAACCGGAGCCAAAAACTCTTTGGAGTTCCGAAGGTTAATCATAAAACATTAAAATCAGAAACTGGGCTTCAGCGTTGTGGCTGTAAGAATATTCATCTCTCCTGTCAAGACTCTAGACTTGCTCTGGCTTTAGCGTTGCATTCGAGCACCACGAGAACATTTGCATTTTCATTTTCTCCAGCCAAAGACTACAAATGCCTCCACCGTCGCTCTGCGGTTAAACTCATCTTCAGCAGAACAAACTGAATCACTCTCGTATCAACTGTCAGACTATTCAGCGGCCTAAAGGCCAGCGCGACATTTGCAGGCTTTGTCATGATCATTTCTCTGAATGCTCTGTTTTCTAGGTGATGCAGTTAAAAATAAATTAAGTCCAAATGTGAGTCCAACAAAACACTGTTGTATGTAGTTCTAATCTGAGGGTGAAGCCACACAGTTGTTTTTGACGGAGCCGTTATTCCTGCTCACATTCGGAGCACAGAAAACAGTTGAGACGGGGAGGCTGTGTTGGGGACATGATGTAGCACACTAATTAGCAATTGCATGACTTGTGCTCTCTCTTGTTTTGCATTTGGCAGCATCGCAGTTCAGCGGCTGGCAAATGAATCACGCTTCATTCTCTATGAATTCTGGGAGCACAACAACGTGTGGAAGAAGTAAGTGTTCGCCTGCCCCCATATGTATGGTGATTAATGCACCGTGTGTGCTCGTTCACATAAATCCCAAATTATGTTTGGTGTTCGGAGACAGTGTGTTCTCTGCGCAGCTTTTATGAAATTCATGAGAAAAACCGGAGCAACTGAGTGGAAACAAATACAAGAGGGTAAAAACTGAAATACTGCAGACACTGTATTTTTGTATTTTTTTAGATTTGATAACTTAAATTCATGTCTTAACGTGACTTTGGCATCCATGAGCGTTTCACATGAGATGTAGTTTGAGCCTAACAGGGAGCGACTCTCTTTATTTCATGACAATATATTTCATTTAGCAGACGCCTTTATCTAAAGTGACGTACATCTGAGAGTAGATCACATTCATGCTGCCATGCAAGGTGCTGCCTGTCACTGGGAGCAACTTCAGGTTCAGTGTCTTGCCCAAGGACACTTCGACTGTGGAGGGGCAGGGGATCGAACCACTAACCTTATGATCAGAGGACAACCCACTCTACCACCTGAGCCACAGTCGCCCCATTTCATGTTCTAAGTTTGATATACTCTCAGAAAAACAACGGCTCTTAAATGGTTCTTCTGGAATCTTGGGTTCCTAAAAGCACCATCACCACCTAAAGGACTTCAAATGGTCAATAAAATGTAAGAAAACTGTAAAAATCATACATTCCCAAATGTTTATTTTATTTAGATGGGTTGGGTTGACATAATAATGTTGATA